GTTCTGTGATTTAATGTGCATGTTGAATGGAAACCACAAAGCAAGAATCCGAGCTATAACCCGAACCATACCCTCAAAGGATACCCCAGATCATACCTGCAACTCATACCCCCTTGCCAATTTCCCAGCACGGGCAGGATAAACAAGCGCATGCCCCTGTGGCATTGCGGGTGCAGAAGCTTCCCTTGAGCATTTGTCATTTGGGAATCCCATCACAGCATTCCGTTGCAGGGCACGTGGACGGTCCAGCCCTATGCATACATTTATGTACATACACATGTGTGTTTTGGCATGTGAGGTGACAAGACACATATTTCTTTATATATATATATATACATGTACATATCCCTGGTTCTTGTAGACGGTAAGTGGGAAACTACCCCACTACCTCCAAACCACCAGCCCAAATTCAAGTCACCAATTGCGGTTAAGGTTTTACAAATGGTTTATTGGGCTAGACATTTATGTGTTAATGCCTGTATGTGTGTTTGTCGTTTATGTTTTCGTTTTTTGCATTCTCTGAGCATATTGATCCCGTGTATCTCTTATGGCAGTCCAATGGGGGCCCTTGTCCTCGAAGGAATTCGGCATGGCACGTGCTCCCGAGTTGGCGTGGTTCTAGAGCCTCTTTGGGGGTCCACGCTTGCGAAACCTGTCCAAGCCGTTTTAGCCTTTTTTAGCTTCAAATTTGAATCGGGGATTCGTTGAATGGTTTGTTGACATAACCAATGGGTCTCCAATTCAATTTGTCATACCCGTATGTTATATATGTATATGCTCTGAGGTTTTAGAACCTTACTTTAAAAGGAGGGAGCCTTGTTTGACCTCATAGCTGACCTGCTATGCGCATGGATCGTTTACCTTTAACTTCTCGGAACATATGCATGTGAAGCAAATAAACCTGTGCGCGAAATGCGCGAAGTTAACGTTACCTATCTCCATAGCCTTCAATCCACTGGGTCGCAAGCCTCACTCCTCAAGCTTCGGGACTTTGGGTCGGATTCTTTGAGTAGTTGATTCCCAGAGGCTGAGTTCCCGATAAGAGCCTTGGAATTCGTCTTGCTTGCCTCTCTGTCGAGAGGGGAGCCAGAATTGACTGATCCGTGTGTCTGTGCAAAAAAATGGCATCGGCAGGCTAGCTGGAACGATCCAGATTCTTTTTTTCGTGACAGCACTTGCTACCGGGCTGTTAGGAAATACCAGCCAAATGATTTGACGAGCCTTTGTCGTGAGGATTCTTCAAGTGAGCACGTTCATAACTGTTCAAAATGAGAGGTGCCTTAAAATTGGGGACCCTCAAAATGGTTGGTGTCCCTTTCACTTCCCTCTAAACCAACCCCAAAAGGGAGTACCCTCAAAAAGGACAACCTCACATGATGTTTGAGAGTGATTTCACTTTTGGCCACCTGAGTTACTGTTGGTCTTCATACCTTTTGGGAAGACCGCTCTAAAGGCCAACAGGAAGTTCGAACTTCTTGTTGGCCAATCCACCTGGCTCCGGATCATTACCTCCTCCCGTAGGACAAATGTTCGATTTCTAAGGGGTGTCCAGTTCTTCCCGGCCAAGGCTTTTATGGAACTGCCAGAAGGAAGGCTAGGGAGCTGAGTCGAGATTCTGATAGGATCGCATATCTTGGTGAACCGGGGGAGAACAGGTGAGTTCCACAAAACATCGCATCTAATCCGGTTTTCCAGATGTGGGGCTGGTGTTATGGTGTTCATGTTTCGTCTTGCCTGCTTTTGGAGGGACCCTTTTGGGGGTTGGGTTCAGGGAGAATCACAAGAAGAACCTGTCAGCCATTTGTGGCGCCAAATTTTCCCATTTTGCCGCATTCCCATTTGGTGGGTGTCTCACATTCTCTATGGCGATTCGGTCTTTGGTGTGACCCCGAAGGCCCAAACGGACCTTTTGCAACCCAATGGCTGTTTCATTGAAGCTACCAGCTTTGGCACCTTCTGCTCGGGGAAGACCAACCCAGACAATTCGTCTATCCCAAGAAGCGCTTCTCTGCTTCCCACAGAACGGGTCACTGGCTGCAACTGGGTAACGTTGACCCTGGATAGGGGGGTGTTTCCTCCAAGAGTGATGAATGACCCCACCCTATTAATCATCCAGGGGTTTGTTAATCCGGGGTTCCCATTCACAGCCACTGTTGAATCTGCCAATCCCCGCAAGCCCTTCTTTGCCAAATTGGACTACTCCTGTGCGTCTTCGCCTGAAGTTATGATTCCAGATCCAAGATCCATGAAGATATGAGACCCGAAGGGGGACCATGGAACCATAGAAACATGGGTTGGCGTGACTGATCATTCCTGACAAGGGGAATCCCGGTCGAGTCGCTTTGGAGTCGGCTTTTTAACGTTTCGTCTAGGAATAGGTGGCACTGCTTTAGATTGGTTTCATTCCGTTTACCAGGGGCCGTCGAATTGGCCAAAAGGTCACCTATTCGAAGAACCAGATTGTTTGCTGGCATACCAGGGCTTGGGAAGGTTGTACCCAGATTCCCCTTGAAAGCACAGGATTCCATCCAAAAAAGAAACACGCCTTGGCATGGATTCCGAGACTTTGAGAGTATGTTAAGGGAAGCTTCCACAGGGATCCGAGTCTGTCCAGTAAACCAGCAATGACCAAGAAGAAACCAATTTGGTGCTACCTTGCTACTGGGTCTTTTGTGTGAGACTTACGAGTGTGGCCCTTTTCGCCCCGAGTAACACGTCTCGATCGCATGTGCCCTCCTTTTCCCAGTAGTTGGTCCGGTTGCAAACAGTTGAAAGCCAAACACAACCAATCAGCAGCCTGTCGACCTTCCGGTTGGTCGGGTTGAAATCATGCAGGTTCTGAAAGAGGATTCATTCCTCTTTTTTCTCGATGAATTATTTTGCTGTGGATTGTTCTACTTACTTTTGGGAACCGTGGCTGTTAAGCTTGCCGAACAATCGCTTCGGAATCCTAGGAAGATGCCTTTTGAGGTGGTTTAGAACTCAGGGCCAAATAAGGCTCTTTCGGCCTCGTGCGTGGCTTCTTTAGTGAAACCCCTAGATGCGGAAGGGAGGGGGATTCCCTCTCGGGTCAGAAAGTGTCCATCAGAGACGCAACTGGAGGTCCTCCGTCTTGAATGGCGAGTGGGCAGTTCACCTGTGGGGGAACACAAACACACCCTCCAGGGGTAAGGCTGAAATAAGGCAGAACTTCTCTTTTCTTTCGGGTGGTATGGTTTGGGGCGTGGGAGAAGCAGTTGTTGAATGAGTCTTTTAGGAACATGTGCAAGGAATGCTTGGTTTGAGACCTATTCTGTGATACCAAGGAGAATGCAAGACTTGCCTACTTTGGTCTCACAGAAAGGCTTCTCTCCCACAACCAAGGATGATGACCCAGATGGCCCACAAAATCACATGGTCTTAGCTTCCCAAGGTGACTCTTTCTGCTGGAACTTTACATGTCAAATCAAAACGCCAGATTGCCAAAGAATATGTCTTGGTGCATCAAACAAACTGTTTGACGATTCATGATTATACATGTAAATGCGTCGACACGCATTCAGCATGTTTATGGTAATATGTCAAATGTTTCACCACGAGATCCCTGGACATCGCTCAAGGGCACACGTGGAAGGAGTAACTAGCAGCCAGCACAGCCCATGTTCCGCGTGAATCAACTTGGATACGGCGTAAAGCACGTCAAGCGCACGCCGCACCTTGCGCCCTAGACTGCTTTGCCAAAGGATGCTTTCCAAAGCTTTCAAGAGTCCGTGGTCGTCCATCGATGGTCTGAGTGCCAGCAACTGAGCTGAGAGAGCGACAGTTGTGATGGATTCTTACGTGCCTGGCAAGCTCTCTTCCAGTTGGTGTTGCTCGCTGAGAAATCATAGCAGCCCCACGTCCCTTAGCAACTCGAGAAAGCTTGCTCCTGACAGTCCCAATGCTACCAGCAAGGTTCGCCAGTCATGCCTGGCAATAAAAGCTGCCTGTCCCGCCGTGTAACCGTCATGTGCGACCACCGGCATAGCCATCTTCCACAGCTCGCCCAAGGTCCATATGCTCATATTTCGCCACGACCCGCGGGGGCTGCAAGCTCATTTGCGTAGGGCAAAGATGCAACAAAGTCAGGATCGCAACTGCTTCCGGCTGGCGCGCCGTGCGCACGGGCCTTTCAGCATGGCTCAGATTGATCAGAAGAGAAAACACATGTCTTGTCAGGCATGCTGTCACGCCATGCTGTTCTGCTGTAATAATAATAATAATAATTAATAATAATAATAATGTCCTGCTGTAATGTCCTGCTGTTGTGCCGCCATAACATGCTGTAGAAAACCTGGAGCTGCGCGAAAAACGGGGATAGGGGTCATCTCATAGTGTCAATCCCCGATGCCAGTGAACGAGTTTGGTATTTCCCCAGACCCCACCCGCCCTGCACATATACATACATACACACACATACATACATACATACATACATACATACATACATACATACATACTTACATACATAAATACATACATGCCTGCCTGCCTGCCTGTCTGCCTACCTGCATACGTACGTACATAAAACACGTACCTACCTACCTACCTACCTACCTACCTACCTACCTACATACGTACGTACATACATACATACACTTCATGCGTTCATTCAATCATTTGTTCATTCATTAATTAATTCATTCATTCATTCATTCAGTCATTCATTCATTCATTCATTCATTCATTCATTCATTCATTCATTCATTCATTCATTCATTCATTCACTCACTGATTCATTGACTCCTTCTCTTGTTTTTCATTCATTCACTCACATGTATTCATTCATTTACTGATTCATGCATTCATGTTTTCATACATTCATGCATTCATTATCATGCATTCATGTATTCATGCATTCATGCCATTCGTACGCACATACGCATACATTGCATATTTATAGTATACACACTTATGTACCTACACTTTTTCATATTAGACGGGGCCTAACTCGAAGGAGAATGGGGCGGGCAAAGCTTCAGGCGTCATCGCCCTGGATTACGACGCTGGCCTGGCCTTGCCGCTCGGCGTGGCGGTGCTGGGGGACACGTTGCTCACGGCCTCCTACGGCACAGGCGGGCCGGCCGGTGGAGTCCAATATTGCCCAGTGCCTCCAGGCAGGAAGCCAGGGGAACCATCATGGAGGTAAAGATATTTGGTAGCTTAGTGCCAAGAAGATCTCCAAGGCAACGATGTCCTCCAAAGGTCCAAAGGTCCAACCACTTAAATGTCAGATTGAGTTTCATACCCATCAGCAAAAAGGTCTTGCCATCTTGCCCCACTTGCATTCGCAGGGAGAACCTGTGGTCAGTTTGCCAATTTATGGCTGTTTTTGTAGAGCAACAGCGAGTTTCCAGTTCGGGTCTCCTCCATGTTTTTTTTTCCCCGCAGACTGGGCATGCCACAAATTCCGAACAGAATGCTATTTTGTGAGTACGGTCCAAGTCAAACCCTGGATGAATACACCGCAAGAGAAACACCTGGTGTGATCCAATGGGAACGGATGAGAGGAACTCCAGGTGTGATCCCGTGATCCAAGGTCGCTACGGTGGGAAGCCAGGTATCATTTGCCTTTGGGATGATTCCCCCGACTTAGTGGTAACTGGGTTGTTTGATCATCGATGGAGCTCGAAACTCAATTCGGAGCCATCTCAAGAGTGGTTGGACATGAATCCCAACCTAAATGATGTGCAAAGGACCCCAATGCACATGACCAAAAGTGTTGCACAAGTGCAGAACCCCCTCAACCACAATCAAGCCCCGAGAAGTGTTGGCGGGAAGTGGGACTTCCCAGTCCTTGCCCCCGTTTTCAGTGAGCCAACCATTTCTGAACAAGTGTTTGGTTGAACTCGTGGAAGTTTGGTCCAGATTTCCCACAGCAAAAAGCCTCCAGCCTTACCCTTTGAGGTCCCCGAAGTCTGGGTTCACTCCCAATGGTGTTGCTTCCGGATCTTGTGGGAGAAGCCACCGATTTGAACCTGTCTAACTTATTGACCGGTCCAAATTCGCCCTAGGTTGCCCTTGCCCTTGCAAGAATCCAGAATGTGGTTTAGCCGGCCTTGCGGGCGGAAGGTTAACCGTGCTTCAAGAGGTATCGAAAGTTTAGAGCGGGAAGTTCAGTGTCCCGCAAACTAGCATATTTACAACACCGCCTTTTGGTTGTGTCCGCCTTCAGGCTGTACTCTTCTTAGCAGGGTCGAACGAAGCATCGCGCGCTAGTGGTCGCATCAAAGCAGCAAGGGTTTACTAATGCCACAGGGCGCCGCCGACCCGGGGACAGGGCTTCGACCCATTTCTTGGAACTAACTCCCCCAGTTTCTGGCTCAATAGGAAGCATCACAAAGCCATCGAGTCGAAGCTGTCCAAACTCCCCCAAAGTCTAAACTATGTTTTTCAAAGCTTCCACCTCGGCGATCCTTAGAGTTTCCATGTGGATTCCCACCTTAAGATCCCCTCTGGCTGGTTCCGCACTCAGAATTGGCAAGCCAAATTGGTGGGTTCTACGTTCAAACGATAGAAGTCCTATTGGGTTTGGCTGCACTCAAATTGGAACGAGGTCCCTTGACTTCGCCCCCTTTCAGGTCCCTTACTTACAGCGCCCTTTGATGCTCTAAGGAGGCTGCAGAAAATGGTTGGTTTGCTTCCCAACCCAGCACAAGTGACTAGGACTTTGTGAATCCTAAACATACCGAAACTTTGGTGCATTTTGCCAAGGGATGTTAGGACTTTAACTTTTTGCCAACTCATGGGTTTTCCACTAAACCACTAAAAGTTAAACTTTTAGCAGGGGAGCAGAAAGCAAGCGAGGAAAGGTTTTTCCTCAAGCCTTTTTTCCCGATTTCCCGCGCCTGGCTCTGGGTCCGGTTTCCCTTTCAGGCCAAGTCAGGCAGACCAACCTCACCAGCGGCATTACCACAGACATGGCCGGAAGGCGCAAACGAACGATGCGGTACCTTTTCTTCACTGTTTTTGGTATGTTTTTTGGTTTTTTAGTTTTTTGGTTCTGTTCATTTTACTGGGGGTCTGCAAAAAACAAAGTTTTTAGCTACCATACCAAGGGTAGAGATGTTTTGAAACCGATTCCCCAGTGGGCCACAATAGAAAGGTGATTCCTTGTTCTACCATAACGGGTATTGTAAGACCAAGCATCTTGGTAGAAGCAACCGCGTGGAAGAACATCCGCGGCATGGAGACCGTCCCCATGCCTCTAGGAGAATTCTGCCAAATCGTGCTTGACTTTCCGTTTGCGTTTCTCTGTTAATCGCCCAAAAGCCCAATTCAGGGCGAGGTCGAGATCAGACGCATTGATCAGCGCTCAGAAATTCAAGGTCCAGGAATTCAGGGATCCAAGCTCTGGGGGTCGACAAACTTTAAACTTCGCTTGGCGTAAGGTGAAGCTTGGCGTTTCCCCAAGTTGCTCCTTTTCCATTGCCCTCCAGAAACTGGAGTGACAGATGGGAAGTTTGAAGTCGCGTTTCAAGTTTGATCTTTGCCCAGCGGGGGTGTCAATGTTCCTTTTGACCTCTGGGTTTGGGGCAGAAGGGACTGCACTCCCGAAAGTGGACTCGCCACTCACAAAACTGAGTCGGTTGCTCGTTTAGACTTGTTCCATTCAGAGAAGCTACTGTAGCGGCCTCAATAAGAGGTACGTTGAGACCAATTTAGCATCATGTAGTCATGATCATAAACTCACTATTTGTCACTTTTCGACATGGCCCAAAAGGTTAATCCTGTATTTCCGGGTCCTTCGAGCAACTGGATGAGAGAGCAATGTTTGTAGTTTGTAGTCCAGTCGTATAGTTCACCAAGATTCTAAGATGGCCCCCTTTTGAGCAGGACGTTTTCGCATCATGGGGATGATGCTGGCAATGCTGGGGATGCTGTCCGCGTGCCCTGCACTCCTTTCCCAAAACGTGAACCTCCACCCCAGCACCTCTCGCAACACCTACCCTAAACCAACCCACCCGGGAATCCCCTTACTCTTTAAAGTGATAAAGTAGGCATGGGATGCACACCCCACTTGGGTTCACAGATGGGTACCCAGACCTCAAGTGGGTTGCCTCCTGTATCCTTTAGGGTTTCTCCTTAAAATCGACCAGCCCCAACAAAAGCAGAGTGCAACATCTCTTTCCCGGCAAGTCTAGCGGGGGGTCAGCTGGTCGGTTCCTCTTGTACAGGCAGAATGGCAGGCCAGCTAGCCTGGGAACTGCTTGGAGGCAAGCTGAGACTGTTATCAAAGTCGGCAATTGGGAATGTGTCCCGTGAACCTATCGCGGGTGTCTTTGATAGTGGCCTCTAAACCTCCAATTGCGTGTGTCCTTGCTTGAGTGTCCTTTAGGGTTTTGAAGGAAGGTCAAAAATAAAGCCACCAAAGAGAGGGATTCTGCGAGCCCCTGTTGGCAGGGGGTGCCTTCAAAAAAACATGGGCCCTTGGATTTTCTCTCGCCGTCGAGAGGCGCAACTTGGGCTACTTCACGGCCTCCCCGGGCGCTGGGGATGGGAGTCGCGCCCTCGACGCCATCCTTGCGGGCCCGGTGGCGGTCATCGCACACGAGGAGCGACAGGCGCGTTGTTGTTTGGGAGCGACTGGGCGGGCTCGTGAGCGAAAGCCATGTGGGTGTTTTTGTTTTCTTACGAGACCCCCAAATCAGATTTTGCGTGTCCTTCTGGTTCCCCTTTAGAAGGAGTAATTACCCTATAAAAGACACCCATGTAGCTGGGGTCTCCCAACCAAAATGGGTTTTGTAAGGTAGGCTGAAGTTGGAAAGGCAGAGAATAGGATTGTTGTTCACGTGCAGATGTGGCTCCCACCACCGCGTCCAATTCCTAGAGGAAAAGTTTGTCGGTGGCTCATGGTACTAGATGAACCCCTGGTCAGCGGCATTACATTGTGCTTGTGCGAAGCCAGTGGGCACAAAATGATGAGTTCATATGCATGCACCTGCGGATGTTGGACGTCAAGGAAGCCAAAACGAAGACCACTTTCTGTCTTCGTGTTTATTTTATTTACTTTTGTTGGGGGGGGGTCCCATTAGTTGGCCACAGACCTCCTGCTTGTTGCTTCTTGTCATCTAACCATGCAACTTGTGGACGGAGTCCACCCGGTTTCCCCGCGGTTTCTCGATGTCTTTGTGACGACAAACATTCCCTCAGACCATAAGCTTGTTGAAGGGGATCGCACCGATTCAAGGGCAAATCGAGCTTACCAACATGATCTAGCTTTATAAATACTACATGAGAATCGCTTGGTTCGGACTTTTTTGCATTTCCCCAAGCTGCGAAGCATTCGGGTTCTAACTTCAAGACGCTGGCTCCGACGTCGTGCTTTCCACTGTCTTATTGTCTCTGTGTCTCTCCTGCAGGGTGCAGGCGAGGGACGCACCCCTGCAGGCAATGCTGTTGATGCTCGTGCCCTTGCCTTCCCCTGCCTTCCCCTGCCTTCCTCTGCCTTGCTTTCCCGTGCTTTCCCTTGCCTTTGTTTGCTTTCCCTTGCAGATCAGGGCAGCCGCTTGCCGTTGTTGCCTTGCTGGATTGCAGAGACATAGGTGCACCCCCCTGCACACATTGGACTATTCCTATTTCGCCTTTAGCAGTTGTTGCGCTTTCCACCCAGCGTCGCCGAGGTTCCTCTAGCCGCACTTCGGGGTCCGGCGAATTTGACATATCATAAATCACAGATGCTCCATTTGGGGGTCACAACCGGTTTTCAACATGGCGCTCCCAGCGTTGCAGCCATGAGTGGTATCTCTCTGCCCGAGTTGCGTTTTACACTTGTTGGAAAGACTAGTTTAATTCCAAACAGTTTGGGCTTTTGATGTTTTTAATGTGGCCATCCACTCAGGAAGTGAGACTCGAGTGGGTTGAACATTCATGTATATAATGCTTTGTGAACATTCATTCAATGTTGTGCTCTATTTAAGGCAGGTTGGGGGGGTGTGGTCGAATGGGACGTGAAAGTCGACGCTTTCGGGTCGTCGGAGGTGGTGTACATCGCGGAGAGCGACACTGGGCGCATCCGCCAGGTCAACCTCTCCACAGGCTCGAAAATCAAAGCTGATGGATTATTTCACTCTACTTTACCGGGTGCTAACTAGCCCATACTGGTTGCGTGTCCCAGCAGCATTTTGTGCCAGGCCCCGTGACTTCCTGGACTCTACAGGGTTTCCTCCAAAACGAGTTTTCTTCAGGGTGGACTAGTCATGAAACATGATCCAACCATGTTATTTGCAGCCCAAATGTGGACCATGTTTGGATGATTCTGAGAATTATTTGCTGCTTCTCTATTGTGTAATCCACACAGGAAGTGAGTTGTGACTTCGGTGCACTTACCACAACCCGCCCATTGCGACACCCCAAGAGGGCCAAATTCCATCGAGATACTCTCGGAGCCAACAGGTGGCTTACGTGGCGTTTACAAATCGAATTGACCGCAATCGCCAGGAAGCAAACTCGGAATCCAAAAGCGTCGTACACTGCCTGCATCCAATTCGTGCGTTTGTACGGACTGGAAAGACACCCGGCGGGAGCGTGGGACACCTTTTGACCTTTGTCTTGAGGGTACCCAGGTACCGGGGGGTGGTTTTAAAGGCAAACCAAAAAGAACCCCACCAAACAGAGGGGGGGGCCTCCTTTGACACACTTCACTTTGGGCCTGGGAAAGCCGACCTTGAAAGAATTCCAGGCTGCTCTTCTTTGTACCAACGTGGAGGATCCCTTTTTTCGCAGCGTTCGCGAAGGTTGAGTCCTGTGAGATCCGAAAGTTGAGTTGCTTTTTGGGGAGATCCATTCTGGCCATCAAAAAGTCGAAGTGGTTCCAGGGCCCCGTTCCCAGGTTGTTTTCCAGGGCGAAAGGCCTACTAACGCTGACTTCGGATTTGCATGAGGAGGACCCTGCTTGTTAAAGGACCCCCTAGAAGAGTTCATTTCCGTACCAAAAGGGAACCACTCCAAATTAGTACATTTAATTGGTGGATGGGTTTGGATCCAGTTGATATACCATGGGTTTTTTGTAGACCAATCCTGTAGCATGTGTTTGATTACGACATATTACGACTCAAATGAAGTGTCTTTTCTCGAGGGTATATCCTTTTTGGGGTAAGAAACAAAAGCAAAGGCCACCATTTGTTTGGGGTCCCTTAGTTAAAGACATGCCCAATGGATCTGGAAAACGATTTGGAGGTGGCTGGCGGATCCACCCCTGTAGGATACTCAAAGCATTTCATATTGCTAAATAGGGACCAGGGGGAAGAAGAAGTGAAATCCCACAAACGGCGCATCCAAACCGGTTTGTAGACGTTGTGCTATGGCGTTGCCCAGTGCCACCCTTTAAAACCCCACTTGGTGCATGTTGTCGGGACCCTTTTTAGGGTTGGTTTGAAGGGAAATGAACAGGCCAATCCGATAGCCTCTTTTTTGGGGCTCCGAATCCCCCATGGTGACAGATTCCCATTCGGCGGGTGTCTCACTGAACCATGGCGATGCGGTCTCGGCCAGGGATCATCGCCACCCTCCCGCCGTCCGTGCCGCTACCGGGCTCCCAGCCAGAGCTCTTCAGCCACCAAGCTGAGATGTGCGGAGAAAACGAGGTTCGCTTCATTCCCTGAGTCCAGGACGAGTACGAAGCTGCTTTTTGTGGACTATGACTATCCCAAGGTGGACAAAGAAGCCAGTGTCTCATTTTCCCAAAAGACCCGGTGATTCCAGGCCCCTTTACCAGGAAGGGCTGCCCATGGTAGCTGGGTCCACACGTGGAGTTCGATGGAGAAGCTCTAGCCCCAATAAATTAGAAGGGTGCGAGGTACTTTGGTTAACCAATTTAGCACAACTTGGCCATCAGAAGCTCACTTGCGAACCGACCTTTTGACCAGTCTACCGTTGGGCAACTGGGATTCGAGTGGGTGGAGGTGTCTTTTCATGGTGTGTCTTGGATGAAATGAAAAGAGGGAGCCCGCATTCCCTCACATTTTCAAAGAGGGGTCCCTTCAGCAAATCCTTCGCATTCGGGTGCGTCGTTTTGGGGAAAATCCTCTGTCGGGTTGTTTTGGGCAGCACCATGTTTGGAGGTCCCCTAAAACAAGACACCCTCAAGTGAACAACTCTAGCTTCAAATTTCCCTCCTTGGTTGTTGAACATCACCCCTGGTATTTTACGAACATGGGTCAAGTGAACATTTTGCAGGGTTCTTAGAGGGTCATATTTGAGGAAGTCACGGCACCTAGGAAAGCTTGAAAGCTCGCCTCTCGAACATAGCAACGCCTCAAGGCTGTGGTCTTATCCCAAAATACGTATGTTCAGGGTAGCCTGGGCCTGGGTAGACAAAATATGAAGCAGAATCTGGGGAGAAGCTCCTCAAAATAAAAGCAGAGAAACCTGGACAAATAAACCACCCTCAAAAATCGGAAATACAGGTTCGGTCAACGGAAACATGTCCAGTCCATTGGTTGTGACAGGGATGAGCTCTTCCCGTGCCCGGGGGAGCACCCAATCCTCACAGTCACAGTTCCTGGACTTCGGACGATCGGTACGGAAAATGAATTCCTGCGGTTCCCTGGTGGTTGAATTTTGACCCATACCCATACCCATACATGTGACTGCGTGCAGGACCTTTCACTGCTTACTTCATGTCCGAGGATTTGTTGACGTGGCATTTCAGAAGGAAGCCAGGAGAAATACCTTTCAACAGCTACAGTCCAAGCGTTGCACAAGAATCCGGGCCCGCCAAACCCAGGGACCCTCAAATTCTTAACTTCAAGTTCAACATGCAGAAGGGTGTTTTTGCTCCAGGGTCCCTCAATGTCTTAGCAGTTTCTTAACTTGCTTGAGCGGGTTCATTGGTAATTGTTTGTTCCATCGCAGTTTGAAGGCTCGGGATGGCTCGCGCACACATACAAAGCACGGAAGCAACATCACGCTAGAGAGAGAGAGAGAGAGATTGCAAAATCACATATGCTTGGCACTGAACAATGCCGTCTGACATGGAGATCATTAGTGATGCTTCGGATGCAGATACCCCGACCCCGTGGGCATTGCTACACCTACAAAGGATTCAAAGGCTGGATCAGAAGGAGCTGCCTCTTCAGCTCCTCCGGGGCAGCCAAGCCATTCTGAAGACCAGTTCAGGGCAAGTTTACCCGGTTCAAGGGCCACCCATCGGTTCTGATTCGTCTTTAAGACCACATCCATTCCAGTGCCGCTTTTGCACCCGCACTTTCCCGACTTCGCAAGCAAAGGGTGGGCACGAAGCTGCAAAGCACAAGGTTTTGCTGGCGGAGGCTTCTCGTGTCAAGCCTCTGTTTCCTCCTGGGATGGATCCGCCTCATCCACTGGTTGGCAAACGTGTCAAGACAAATTTGGAGGTAACGCTGGCTCACCTCGCCAAGGGCGAGCCTGAGTCCGGCATTGTAGAGTCGGTTCACGACGGCAATGCGGTTGTGGTGACAAGCAAAGGCAAGATGACTTTGAGCCTGGAGTGCTTGGATCTTGTTCTTGATGCCTGACAAAGACAATGCTGCTTGCTCCTGAGAAAATGAGGATGCGTTTGTTTGCAGCTACATCAAGAATGGATGGAATTAAGAATTTGGGGCCTGGAGACGAGGGACCCTCAAATTCTTAAGGTAGGCACGACTCGGGCAATATAACATAATGGCTGAAACTCTGGCTCCAGCCCCTCAAATTCTTATCCAGTGTTTTCTTAAACAGTGCTTGCGCTGTATAAGAATGACTACTTGCCCGTCCCAATTGGTCAATCAAACCTGGCAAAAGTCCCTTTTTTGGGTGTTCCAAGAGCGGAATAGTCAAAACAAAAGATTTTGTCTTCCTTCTTAGGGTCTTCTTCAAACATATATTGTAAGGTGGACTAGGCTTGAAACATCACTGTTCAGCTTTTGTCGCAGAAATTTAGTGGAGGCCTTTCCTTTTTGGAGGGTTTCCCGCAGAACATCATCTGCCAAAAGACAGTGTGTTTGTTTGCTCCTCGCGCAAGGTATGGCGCTGGACACGCTAAATCACCTGCTTTACGTTTCCTCGCCTTCAGACCAGGCGGAGAACCCGTTGATCTTTGTTTTCCTCTAAAAAACAAGTGCCTTTTTTCCCTATGGCCGCAGGGGCTCTGGATAAAAACAGTGTTCAACATCACCACGATGGTGCCAAGTTCATGCCTTTCAGAGTGGTGAGGTTGGAAGTGGAACGTCTGGTTGGCACCTGTCTTTTCTGCTCCTGTTTTTGGAGTTGGAGGGTCTGTCCACCTTTCATTGGTACTCGTAGGCTTTTGAAGACTTAAAACTACTTTCCTTCCAGAAGCCTGTCCACTCTGGTTGGAAAGCCAGCCACCCAGCGGGTTGCTTCAGTGGTTCCTTTTGGGAAGGGTGTTGCCTTTAAAACCAAACACGGCAGGGACCTGGGACCTGGATAGGGCTCCCTGCCTGAAATGGAACGCATGGAGGGCGAGGGATTTGTTTTTTTTTTTTTCTGGGCGCATTCAGACCGACATAGGAATTCCCCCCTTTTCAAGGATTTGTCGTTGGACGTAAGTGTCGCCAGTTTAGTGCCAAATGAGAAGTTCAGACATGACAGCCCACGGAAGTGTGACTTGGGCCGGCCGGGGAAAGAAACAACCCCGTCTTGACCCCTGATTAACCACAGCATCCCCAAAATGTGGTTTTCAACCGCACGACATGTCCGTTTGGATTTTTTCCTGAAGCAGTTTCAGGTTCCCCGCTTTGTCTTCTAGATGGGCTGAGAGTGTGCGCCAATAAACCCGAACCCCCGCAAACAAAAATGCCAACTGGACAGGTCACGTTTCCGCGATTCCTGCACCTTCGGCTGCCCATGAATTCTGCCGAGCTCAGCCAATGAAGGTATTCCCGTATTTCGGGTCTGTGAATCTCTCCGTTGCCATGTTGGCTCAAGGGTTTTGCTTGGTGGTCGCCGCGCGGAACACTGCCCAGGACACTTCGTGCAGAGGGTATTGACACCTGTACACAAAGTTGGGTCGTTCGCCAGTGAGCCGGGGCACCCCGTCCAAGGCTTCCCCGCCTTATGGTCGCAAGAGAGGCCGGGGTTTCAGCCCCCAGCCTTCACGGTCCGTGGCGCAGCGGGCAGCCGCAGGCAGAGCGAGTGCCAAGCAGCAGCTGGTGATGAGGAGCCACCTTTTCAGCCGACGCTTTGAGGACCGCGACGCAGCCTCTTTTTGGCCTGTTTGCAACATGGGGCGGTTCCCTCGATCAGCTGCGGGTCGACCTCCGCGCCGGCGCGGCGGAGCACGTCGGCTGCAGCGGCGGCGTCGTTGACGCGCTCGACAAACTCGCCCGTATTGGTGAGCTGCAGCACGACGCCGCGGTCGCACCGCGCGAGGCACGAGCACCCATTGAGCACCTTTAGCGCAGGGACCGCCTCGCCGTCGCGCGCCAGGCTCCCCGCGGTCGTCTTCACGACGCCCAGGTACTTGATGGCGTCGATTGCGGGCTGAAGCAGGCGTGTGTCGCCCGCGGACAGGTACGCAACCGCCAGAGGCGCGTCCTCGGCAGCGGCGGGACGGCTCCTGAGCATGGCGGCGGCGGCAAGGGCAGCGAGGTCGCGTCGTTCGAACTGAAACTGCCGCGTCGACAAGAGCTGCTGCTTCGGTGGTGCCAGCGGCGGCGTAATGAGCGAGGCGAGCGCTGCGGCTCCTTCAAGAGGCACAGCGTGCCCCACGTGGACGCGTTAGTGCTGAGGCCCAGGAAGGAAGCTGACGCAGATTTGCTCGGCCGTCTTTTCCCGTCAAACACACATACGGCGCGGTGTGCCTGGCGTTGCTTCTTGCTGCTGTTCTTCTTCCCTGCCGGGGCCGCCGTCGCAGCCGCAGTTCCTGGCTGGGGCTTCTGCGCAGCACGGGGTTGCGCTTGCGACGCATTGTCGTTGAGTTGGGAGCCAGCCCTCCATGCGCCCCTCACGCACATTTGCTTCACTTGGTCTTTGCCTGGATGGGCGATGGCTGGGCCAACGCAAATGCAGTGCGAGGATCAGAAGTGGCTGAAAGACACCAACTATGCGCCAACCTTGCTTTCTCCTGGCCGCCACCCTTGCGGGAATGGAACCGGGTCTGTGTGTCCGTGTTTACCTTGCTACAAAGTGGAGCCGAAGTGGTGTTTCGTGAGCTGGAACTTGGGCAAGGCCAGCTGGTCGACTACAAAAAGGCTGAAGTTCTTTCGTCGGCTTGCTTGCACCTCACCGTTCAGCTTGGCGTGTGTGACATGTGGAACCCACAGTCCCCCAGCGGCGGTAGCTAAACTGTCGCTGTCTGCATTGCCCGCTGCAAGCACAAGGCTTCGTTGCGAGGAGTCTCGCCCACCCACCCGTCGGCACACTGAACCGGCGGGGCTATTTCGCCTGGCATGTTCGGCTTCAGCAATGGCTACCCTAAAGCTATGGCCAGTTGAAGATGCCCTTTGCCAGTAGCTACCCTAAAGCTATGGCCTAGCAATGATCCTGGCTAAAAGGCCTTGTCATTAACCGATGCGTGAACGGAAAAACAACTTTTGCAAATGTGGTTTCTTTTTGACTGGCCCGTTTTCACAGCTTGAAACAAGGCACAAGCACTCCAGGCGCGTGGTGTTCAAGACCAAGAGTGGCCACCGTTTCTTGCGCGATCGAGCTACGTAGTAGTTCATAACTCTGGATAAGAAGGGGCCTTTTGGGATTATAGTTTGGAAGTATTTTGCACAAAATGGTACTTACAAAGTTGGTTGCGCACCCAATGACCCGAAAGGTTCCACTTTAAGATAGCAAATTCATATTATATTTCATTTTACTTGGATGCCCAACTCACTTGTACGTTAAAACCATGGAAATATCTGGGGTTGGTCCCAACTCACTTGTAAATTTGTATGCCTATATCTGCAGTCATCCTACGAATTTCTCCATCCGCTTCAGATTGCTTATTTGGTTTCCCCAGATCTGGGCACATGTGTCTTTGTCCAGGGGGGCTGTAGGAAATGGGCGAGGTTGGAACCCACGCCTCCAATCTTTGTGGGCCCAAGCCCCGAACCGAAGCATTCCGCCAGGTGGTCTACGGCCTGCGCCTGGACGCCCAGCCCTGCCTGGCGCCTTTGGTGGCAAATGCTGCCGCGCCCGCCTGCGCCGAGGGCGAGGAGAAATTGGCAAAACCCGGGGTCCACGTAAGATCTGGGCGCCGCGTCGTGTTTTGAGCTTCGAGTTGGTGCCGCCAAGGAAACCTTCAGAGGCTCGGAGGGCCTTCCTCGCAAAAGGAATTTCAAAGGCAACCCCATCTGGGTTTAGAGGCTCCTCAAGTATTTTGTCTGTCAAGATAGGACAAGACAACTCTTCAAATCAGTTTGTCATACTTTGAAACAGCCAGTCTCGCAAAAGCCCCTCAGGGCATGGAGGGCTTGGTGTTTCAGTGAATGCGTGATCCGGACTGCTGGGAATCAGCCCTTAAAGAGGGCAATCGCCGGGGAACTGGTGCAGTTGGGGAGTTGATCAAAAGGTCCGTGATACATGGGATGACCGTTGGTTGGAAACCACTTAGAAGATGATATTTCAGCCACAAGTTGCCAGATAATATTGATCAACCCCCTATGTCAATGGAAGTAATTAATGTTATTGCCTCGTGTTTCGGCATGTCCCACTGACCGATTTTGTTCTGAAGGACACCCGACGGACGTCAGATGTTTGTCGTTTCCGCCACACTCGTGCCGTTTGGGTCTTGATATGGTTTGCGTTCTTTTGAAGGTTTCGGGGTCACTGGAAAATCAAAAGGGTCCCCACTTTGACATTGCACCAATGGCCACACCCATATAAGGCATGATTTTCCTCCGAGCCAGTTCGCGGGATCGAGGGAAGAGCGAGCGCCTGAATGTTTGTTGCAGACGTCCGGTGCTCTTTTTCTCTTTTGGTGTGAGGGGGTCAGCTACCAAATTCAATGGTGGCCGTTTTTTTCCCATGGCTGCTGTCTGACCGCTTGGAAGAGCAGCCAATGTGCCTCGCCCGGTGCTGGCAATGCGCCCCATTTTGTTCGCTTAATGTGTAGATTGAAGGTGCGTAAGGACCATTTGTCATTTCAAGGCCATGTCCAGGTATGGATTTTGGAGGTATGGATGCATACATATTTATCTATCTATATACATATCCTCCAGCCTTCAAGGTATGTGACTTTCATAATTAAGTGGTATAAGTGGTGTATATCCTCCATATCTCAAAAACCCCTACCTGGAAATGCCCTTGATCATTTGTTGCACCCGGTTCAACGCAACAACTCGCGCTCGAACTGTTTGCCCCCTAGGAGGTTCAGATCGACCACTGCACGCCAGTATGTGCAACTGGCTACGAACCGGACTTGGAGAGTTTGCAGCTTTGACGCGCTGGGGGAGTGGCGGGGAGAAAGGAAAAGCCTCGCCTAATCTTAGCTTGGGATTATATCAGCAAGAGGAGCCCCCTATGATGACAGGTGCCTTGAAAAGGGATTACCTGTGGTGCCGCCAAATAGTCCAAAGTTGTGAGGTACTTGACCTGAGGCTGCTAGAAACGCTCCTATCGCTTTGCAAACATACTAACTTGTTTTCGGGCGAATCGCTGAAGGGTGTGACCTTTTTGGGTTCAAGGTTGCTTGCAAAGGCCAAGACACTTTCGACATGCGGGCCAAATGGAACCATGCGACGTCAAAGTACAACAGGCGCAGGAACTCCTGAAAAGCCTGAGGGCAGTCCAGTGATTCCATTAACTCCCGGACTCGCTGGTCTATCATTTCAGTGATCTGTGGCCATCCACTCAGAAGGCGAGTTTAGCGGTAACCAGCAGAACCACCCTTGCAACAAAAACACTGGCGAAGGGCCTACTATATTGGCAACACGCTTGCAAGAAACGGTTACCTGTTGCCAACATTGTCATGTTCACCCCAGGAGCCAGACGCAACAAAAAGACAAACACATACAAACACGTAGCGGGTCAAAGCTGGATCCGCTGTGGCGGAGCAAAGAAGGCTAATGGAAGAAGATAGGGTTTGAGGAAGAACGAAAGGCTCACAAGTTAGTATGAGATCAACACATAACACATTTAGCGCTTTGTGGGTTTGACGGATTTGTGGTGGCCACAAGTCGGGGCTTTGGTTTGGACCATCTACTCAGAAAGTAAGATGTACAAAGCAAGTTACAAGGGATTAAGCGCAGGAATGTGTTTTCACAAGAAGAAACAACGGTTGGTTCCGAGCCTGAAGGGTTAAGCATTGAACTCCACAGTTTTGCAGCTCGTAGTGTATGGTCGGCTTGAGAGGGACATGAGGTCATGGGCGAGGCTCCGAAAAATAAACCACCAAAGAAGCCAGTCTTTTGGGAAGGCAAGCAAGTTTGAGAGGAAGTGACCAGCCGATTCCGGTCGCCCACGCAGGCGGTTCCTTTTTTCCCACCTTTGTTTGGAGGGGGATTCCTTCTCCCATTCCAGGGGCTTGCTTCCTTTTCCATCTTGAGGCGAAGGAAGCCCTTGAAAATTGAGCCTCATTTTTCGCTCATCCCCCCCTTTCCGGATGGCCAGGCACTGCGCGCACGGCATATTGACCCCGCCCAGCTTCAACTGCCGCGAGGCCCCGTGCCTGGTGCCGTGGGGCATCGCCGCGCGGCAGAATTCGGAGGGGCGGGGGTTTGGCGCCTCAAATCCCCAGTTTGGGAATACTGTGGATGGACGGAATCCATTTCGCACCACTTAAGAAAGCCTGGAATGATTCGATTCCCCTGTCAATACCAACAAACGGTGGTTTCCCATGGTTCTCAAGTGGTGCAGGATTTCGTCCATCCACAGTATGTTTGGAGCCAAATGGCATTATTTGTCGAAACAACGCATGATTTTGGATTGGTCTGTCTTCTTTTTCTGGGTAGAGCAGTCCTTTTTTAGGGCTGCATGAGAGGGACACCAACAAGAAAACCGTTAGACAAGTTTAGGGGATTCCCCCAAGAAAAAAACAGACATGCCCATGTATCGACCTGGTGGCAATTCCTTTGACATTTATTAAGGCAACGTGGGTCGCAAATCAGGGGACCTCCAAAAGGCTTGGGTTTGGGTTTCCTTTTGGCTTCCTTTTGCGACCAGCCAACAAGGGTGGCTCCCCCCAAAAGAGCAATCATGACCCACCCAGCACTGGATTGCGATGCATGGTTTGTTGAAGGGAGACACCCTGAGACACCCTTTTAGCATCAACCAAACAAATGAGGGCTGAATCTGTTGTTCCCATGGCGACTGTGGGCAGGGGGGAGTGCATGTGGGAAGCATGTGCAGGGTCACCACGTTTTGTTCTTGCGTGTTTTGATTCTATGGGTTTCTGCGTTGTTGTTACTTTATGCATATTCTTCTGTGCGTGAACGTACAAGATTCACGCCAGGTACCAGTTCAAGTTGGCGGTTTATCCACCCACCACCGGTCCGAAGTGGATGTTATCCATCCAGTCCCCTTGGACGGTGCCGCCTTGTGCCAGATGGCCCAAGCCGAGTTGCCCTTTTTCGGGAGGCCAAGATCGGGGAGCTGAGGGCCCAATGATTTTTTCGGCCAGGTTGAAGTCAAGGTCTCCACATGAATCCTCCAAAGTCTCGGTTCTGAAAATTTCTGTGGCGACTCCTGGTGTTGCAAGTTTCCTGTTGGCTTCCAAGCCAAGAAAACCAAGTCCTTGTTTCAGAAACACCCATGTGAAGAAATTGGGTTGCTCTTCTTGGGTTCCCGTATTCTCAGGCCCAATGTAGGGATGAGGGAAAGCCCACCAACCATCCCTGAGATTTTCGCTTGGGATCCCTATCTGGGACCAACCAACCCTGCGACAGACGTTGAGCCAAGGAGCACGCGGAGCTCCCACCTTGTGAGGAGGGCATGAAGGTGGCCTCCGGTGACCTGCGCCCCCGGCCGAAAACAGTCACCTGATCACCTGATGCGGGGTTGGGCAAAGCGAGGGCGGCTCTTCATTTCCACCAGCGTGCCGCAAACCTGCAAGTGAAACTTCTTGCCTGGGAGGCAACGCCCGCCAAGATTCCGTGTGCGCGCGTGTGTGTGGGTGTTTGTCTTTTCGCAGGGACCTATTTTGGGGTGGGGTTGAAGGGAAACCCATCAACCACCGAAGCCCTTTTTAGGAGTTCCTTGATTTAAAGACACGCCAAAAGGGATGACATTGGGTACACCAAGTTTGAGCTAGGAAACGTGATTGCTCGTGGAATTCCAATGTCAAGGGGACACAGCAAAAACTATATGCGTGTCAAAAAGCAAGGTCACTAGGGGGGTGCGACGGCACCTTTGATATTGTTTTCCATCTTCCGCTTTCGGTGGGTGAAATCTTAGAACAATGACCGCTCAAACAAACCCTTTGAGTGTGGGCGGTGATGTTGGTTCGATTCGATCTGAACAGGAGGGGGATCAAATCGAGCTCTGTGTGTGTTTGTGTGTGTGCGCGTGTTGTTTTTTTGCTTCTTTTTTTTCTTCGACCAGAATGGTTCCTCTCGGTTTCCCTTCAAAGCCACTAAGACACGCCCATATGTATGTTTCTTCCTGGCCTTAGTTTTTGGTATTCTGGGCTGCGCTTCGGGATGGATTACAGACTTTTGAACAAACAGACGGCCTGATTGGCTGAAACTGGACCCTGCCTCCCGTTGAAACGGCCCTTTGGGTACCTTTTTTGGCTTGGATCCCGGATTGACTTTAGGCTTCCCTTTAAAGCCACAAACAAACAAAAGACGAGCCACCCATGTTGGTTGCAACATGCAAGAAGAAGCAATTGGGGGTTGTTCTTGCCTCCCTTGGGAGCGGAGGCTTCACGGTCAGTGGATATAGACTCGGCACTGTCCTAATGTGGTTGCGAAATCCGCTTAGGCACCACTGTTCAGAAGCCTTGGTTTCTGATTCGATTCCCTAACAAAAAACACATCAACCAAGGTTTCAAAGTGGTGCGAACGGATTTCGTCCATCCATAGTATGAGGGGATGATAGGGGATGAACGCCCAAAACAATAGCAACAATGCCAGCTCCCGCTCACATCAGTCATTTGAAGTTCAGCGCTTCAGCAAGGCTCTGCCGTACTGGATGTGCTGAAGGCTGTCCGGCGCCACATAGTACTTGTCAAACGGGGCAAGACACCTTTACTTTCAAAATACTCAGGAACAAGACACCTCAAGCTCAGGAGCTTGTCTGGGGGGGGGGGGGGCTATTTTCTGCGGCACGGGCATCCCGGCAAGGTTCAACAGTCGACTAGGGCTGTTGTGATAAGATGAAAACTAAGTTATTAGATTACGGGGGTTTGAGCCCAAAATGTACAGGTTGCGTCAAGATAGGAGTCAACGACAAGTATTTTAGCCCCTTGCCAACATGATCCCCCTTGAATGGGAGTGAGTTACCAAGCTGTTTCAGGAATGCCCCCTGAAATGGATTACTTCCCCACAAACACACCATCCACCCCTTCTGGTGTTCCAGATTGATCCAAAGGTGACATGGGGTGCATGGTTCAAGCCCTGCGCGGAAACCGAAGGTGCACTGCGCGGTGCATGAGCGGCTACTACGCGGACACCAACCTGACCTGTGAGAAAGGTGCGTGAGACTCTGGCCTCCTGTAAAGGGGGTTCCAAGAGCAGGGTTGAGAAAAAATTTGGTGTTCGAAACATGTTTGAGCTTTTCTCACTCTCTGAGTTCCTGGACTTTATACTCTTGGGTTTGCACCAACCTGGTTGCAAACAGGTTAGACTTCGCCAATCCACTCGGGGAAGTGAGCTTTCCAGTGCTTGCTTTTGCAAGTTCGGGTCGCTCGGTTCGAAGAGGTCCAGCTATCTGGCGAGTTGTGATTTTCAGCCTTTAGGTTGTGAGTTATCAGTTCCAGGTCCTTGAGTAGGAATTTATCCATCGGGTGCTTTGTGCTCCCGGAGCGATGTATCTCTTGAAAAGCCCGATGGATGTGACATCTTCATGTTGCCTTGAAACAACCCCCCGGCAAGGCGAAAGGCTTGCCCTGATCCGCATGAAGGGGCAGGTAACATCGACCAGTTCCGGGGTTCCCACTACCCAACATAGGCTTTAGGTCCTTTCCCAATGTCGCCTTCGGAAGGGCGGCCATTGGTGTCTTTGTGTGGATACTTTTGTTTACGGCACATGCTTCTCTTCCATCATGAGTTTGGCCTTAGGTTGCGGGGCTGTATTTGGGAACCAAGATCCAAGCGGAATTGCGCGATTTGATCAGGAAAGCGCTGTCTAAGATGCAACTTGCTGACACCAGGAACGTGTAGAGAACAGTGAGCCGTACCTGCCTTGCATTCGGGCGTGTAAATGCCAATGTGTGTTTCAAGGAGAAAAAATGAATCCATTTTGGGAGGTCTAAAAAGAAGACACACGCAAACGTGCTTTTGGCCGGTACGTCTTGATGTACCCCAGTCCGAGGCCTTGACACCGATGGACTGGAGCGTCCATGCCACCCCATGGGGGCAGGGAGACCTTCCAGGTTCATCTAGTTGCGCCGTAGCGTTTGCCTGGCACCTTGGATGAAATCTAGGAACACGTCACACTGAAGGAGTTGTACATGCTAGGACTTTCAACCGAAAGGGGAATGAAAAAAAGAGGGCGACCCCGGAGGGCCTAGTAGATCTCTCGAAAGGACAAACCATCAACTCAGCACTCAACTTTTTGGCTCTTTCACGTCTCGCTGCTCCGCTCTTTTTTTTTGGAAGCAAAGAATCCCAAGCCCTTGGCTTCCGTTTTCGGGGATCCCGACTTCATTCCCAACTACCATCTCCTGAACTAACTCCTAGCCTGGTACCGAGGTTGGGAAAGAAGGTAACCCACATGAGGAATCCACTCATTTTGTGGGTCCCCTAAAAAAGGTGGACAAGCCAACATGGATTTCTATCCCCGGGTGAAACGGTGGAACCCGGTGATGCTCCCAGCGAGTGGAAGGCGTCTTTCAGCCGAGCACCTTCCAGTGCCTTTCGCCCACCACTGTGACGGCGCGGGTTCCGAGTCGAATCCGGGCCGAATCCGTCGGGGATGAATCCAAAACGCAAGAAGTTTGGTCGACTTCCTGAGTTCCTTGACTTTCTACTTCTTGGAAAGACCATTTTAAAGTTTGGTTCTCGATCGGAAGTGAGGAAAGCTGACGTTCCACCCAGCCCTCCACAACCAAACGTCAGGCTTCATGCGCATGTCCTTTTGATAAGATTGGCGGATTCCACGGTCGCCAAACTCAAGCAGTACCTGAAACGGGCCACCTAGCGTATTAATGCTATGAACACTGGGCTTAACTGCAAACTGGCTGCTGCCTGGCGCGCATTTGGTCCATCTGGGGATCCGCCATTTTGAGAACCCACTAACTCAGGTACCAAGGGAGTGTTGTCAACGTTTGGCAACATCTTACCTTCGCTGTTGTTGGCAATTGTTCGGTTTGTTGGTGTTGTGGGTTCTGTTCAGTTGTGGGCTGCGTCAAGTTTTCGATGCCAAGTGAGGACATTTTCGGGCGCAGGACTTTTTGTTGGGTCCTCTCTGATTCTCTTCAGGCATGCTTCTGGAACCTGGTCCAAACCCTGGGAAAAATGGTGGCTGAAGAGAAGTATGGGCGAGCATGCCTGCTGAGAAGTATGGGCGAGCATGCCTGCAAACCAGTCCGGCAAACAACGGAAAGCGCCTGCCACGGCATGCGATGGCTTTCCCTTGTTTTCCCTTGCTTTCCCTTGCCTTCCTTTGCTTGACCTTGCTTTTTCCCTTGCGTTGCCTTGCTTTCCCTTGCTTTCCCTTTCCGTTGCTTTCCCATTTCCTTGCTTTCCCTTGCTGTCCCTTGCTTTCCTTTGCTTTGCCTTGCTTTGCCCGTGCTTTAGCTTGCTTTGCCTTGCTGTCCCTTGCTTTCCCTTGTTTTCGCTTGCTTTCCCTTGCTGTCCCTTGCTTTGCCCGTGCTTTTGCTTGCTTTGCCTTGCTGCCCCTTGCTTTACCTTGTTTTCCCTTGCTTCCCTTGCCTTGCTGTCCCTTGCTTTCCCTTGTTTTCCCTTGTTTTCCCTTGTGTTCCCTTGCTGTCCCTTGCTTTCCTTTGCTTTGCCTTTCTGTGCCCGTGCTTTTGCTTGCTTTGCCTTGCTGTCTTGCTGTCTCTTGCTTTCCCTTGCTTTGCCTTGCTTTGCCCGTGCTTTTGCTTGCTTTGCCTTGCTGTCCCTTCCTTTCCCTTGTGTTCCTTTGCTTTGCGTTGCTTTGCCCATGCTTTTGCTTTCTTTGCCCTGCTATCCCTTGCTTTCACTTGTTTCCCTTTCACTTGCTTTCCCTTGCTTTCCCTTGCCTTCCTTTGCTTTGCCTTGCTTTGCCCGTGCTTTTGCTTGCTTTGCCTTGCTCTCCCTTGTTTTCCCTTGCTTTCCCTTGCCTTCCCTGGCTGTCCCTTGCTTTCGTTTGCTTGTCCCTGCTTTCCCTTTCCCTTTCTTTCCCTTGCTTTGCCCGTGCTTTTGCTTGCTTTGCCTTGCTCTCCCTTGTTTTCCCTTGCTTTCCCTTGCTGTCCCTTGCTTTCCTTTGCTTGTCTTTGCTTTCCCTTGTTTTCCCTTTCCCTTGCTGTCCCTTGTGTTCCTTTGCTTTGCCTTGCTTTGCCCGTGCTTTGCGTTGCCTTGCTTTCCCCCTTGCAGTCCCTTGCTTGCTGTCCCTTGCTTTCCTTTGCTTTGCCTTGCTTTGCATGTGCTTTCGCTTGCTTTGCCTTGCTGTCCCTTGCTTTCCCTTGTGTTTCCCTTGCTTTCCCTTGCTTTTTTGTTGCTGCCCCTTGCTGCCCCTTGCTGTCCCCTGCTTTCCTTTGCTTTGACTTGTTTTGCCCGTGCTGTTGCTTGCTTTCCCTTGCTGTCCATTGCTGTCCCTTTCTTTGCCTTGCTTTCCCTTGCCTGGCTTGCTTTCCCCTACTTTCGCTTCCTTTGCCCTTGCTTTCCCTTGGTTTGCCTTGCTTTGCCTTGCTGTCCCTTGCTGTGCCTTGCCCGCTTGACCCAAGTCAGAGCAAACCAACAACTGCACAACCCTCCTGCACTGAATCACATACAAGCAACAACCCAAACCAGCGCCCGTACTTACACACCCCGTGTCGTCTCCCTGGGACCTGCAAACCAGCCTTGCGGTGGCAGAAAGTGCTCCAAAACATACTCCCAAAAAATGGGGGTATTTTTCCTGCGACATCCCCAGCATCGCCGACCACCACAAAAACTTCCAAAACAAGCGACATCCCCTGCATCCCCGGCATCCCCTGCATCCCCGGCACCCCTTGTGCGCCCAAGTCCGGCGAGGCCGGAAGCAAAGTAAAATGATGTAAAACTGGCACGCTTTTTGGCCCGCGAGGGCCACAGACGAAAAGGTAAGCGCGAAAAACACAGGGAAAAAAACACCAAAAACCAGCCTTGCGGTGGCAGAAAGTGCTCCAAAAAATACTCCCATTTTTTGGGAGTATTTTTCAGCTGACCAGACCTGTAAATCTCCCGGAACGAGGTTCCCCACACCCCCCCCCCCACAACTTCGTACACTAACTCCCAGCGCTTCAAGAAGCGCTTTCCGTCATCAAGAGAAGTATGGGCGAGCATGCCTGCTGAGAAGTATGGGCGAGCATGCCTGCAAATCAATCCTTCATCCTTATGCCACACTTATGGGCTTGTGTCTGACTGGACCCCTGAAAATGGGTGGTCTCCGTTGGTTTCCCCTTTGCCACCCTCAACTGAAGACACGGCCACTTAGATTTTGAAACACATAACTACATGGTCAGTCTGGCTTTGTAGTTCCACGTTTTCTTTATGGTTGGTCGGTTTTTATTGAACAACTAGCATGACCCCCCCGAGCCACGGCGAAGACTCCACACTCTTCAACTCCTTGTGTCTCCCTCTTCCGGCTGAGGGCGGGCAACCTTCCATTGAACTCTTCTGCCGCCAGGTGACAGCCGCTCAGGCAGTAGCCGCATCTTGGACTCGACTGGCGTTTCCATTGCCTAGCCCCCCCGCCCACAACTGCATTCAAATTCTGGGGGTGTGCGATGTCACCCATGTGGGGCTATTTCATAACATCCTTTATTTGCAGATACGGGGTACATGTGCATGAGTTGCCAGGACCAGTTGGGATTGGAGAAACCATCCAGTTCGTTCATGGCAACATGCGCCGAATTACTCACTCCCTGAGTTCATGGACGAAGACCATTTCATCGGCAAACATAAAGTTTGGTTATTTTTCTGGGCCAGACCACTAAATCGGATGTGAAATTATTTGGGCTGAAAGTGAATCGTCGATTCACCTTTTGGTTGTCCAGTTTTGGTCCAGTTTTGGTCGATAGGGAACACAAGGTGATGACCCCTTGTCCTTGGGGAAGATGAGACTTCGATGAATCAACCAAACATTGACTCCTGGGATCCCATTAGAGGAAGATTGCAGCTGAAACTCGCAAGAGTTGTAGCTTGCCCACAAGGATCAGGGATTTTGGGGTCTCCAAAACTTGTTTTGCCTTTAAATAGAACCTCGGGAGTCTACTGGGCAAGGCGTGCCAGATTCATCCCAAGCCCCACTCAAACAGATGCCATCCCTCACTCCCTGAGTTCATGCACTTTAGTCAAAATTTTGGTTTGGACTATTTCAGTGGCAACAAAAAGTAAAAGGTGTGGCGACTTTTCCTTCAGCCAATCCACTTGATGGGAAGTGCGAAATCTGCCGCGATTCGCTGAGGACAACTCCTCCGCAACCACGGCCGCCCCAGCCAACAGCGAGGTGGACGCGGCCGGCTCCGCCGCCGAGGTGCGTCCGAGCGGAGCGATCCGTGAAGCCAGCCGTCTGTTTAGACCCTCGAGGGAGGTGTTAAGGAGAACCCAAGATTTCCATTCCTGAGACCAACCCATTTCCACCGAAGCCCTGAGAAAGCTTCCCAGATCAATTCCCAGTGGGTTGCGGTGCCTCTGTTTCGCCTTTCGTTTGGCGGGGGAAACGAGATACCCAGAACCCGACTGGGTAAACACAATAAAACCACAAAAACAAATCCACAATATAGTCGTCTCTTCTGGTTTTAGAGGGAAGCCAACAGAAAGCCACATCCCAGACTTGTGTGCAATTCCTTTCAACTTTGTTTGGAGGGAAGCCTTTCAAAAACAAGTACGCAGGGGGTCTGGATTATATCATGGCTGGTCTTTGGCGTGGCCGAATCGCCCCTTAGCCCCGTTGGAAGCAAACTTGAGTTTTCGTCAAACTTACATGAGGGTGGACCTTTGGCTTAGGGGGGGAAGAGCAACCCGGATATAAGGGGCTAAATAGTTACTCATGCTTTCTTGGCTTTAAAGTACCCCTAATTGGCCTCTTACATCACCTGGGCCCGCAAATTCCCTTAAGCATAACATGCCCCAAAATTTTGGGTTCATGGGCCTGCGCTGATGGTGAGGCTTGTCCTCTAGAAACACATTGGCAAAAACCCAAGGATGGCTTAACCACGGCAGGATGCTGAGGACCATGCAATACGTTGCCCAGTATGATGTTGCACCCCCTATGTTACAGCCCTGCAGACTGCATCACCTTTCGTTAGCCAATGTTGGCTACTTTTGTTACCGGTCGAGTGTGCTGCCCCTTCAAGCAATCCCAGAGGCTTGCTCGGTGGTGACTGTGTTTACAGGTGCCTTCGCTTGTAATGTGCGTATTCGCGGCACATGCCCCTGTGACTACATTCCTTGTTATGTCTTAAAAGCTATCATTCTGTATGTTTAACTCAGTTGTCCATCTGCGCCATCTCTCTCTGTTGGAGGGGGTGGGTGGATCCCGTAAAGTCATGTGTCCAAGGGTTGTTTGGGCACTCCACCCAGGAATTACACCCACTTGGAAATGACCTCAAGTGGAGGCCGATCTCCAGATCAAGGGCTGTTTGTGGGGCTGTTTGCCAAAGGCGTCTAAGATGTGATACACAAAGCATTCGAAGCTCTCGCTGAACAGGGGCGTTGAGCCCTTTTGGTGGGAAGCCACAGGTTGCGAAGGGGCGTCTCCAGGTTTGGGTGTTGGCGTCACGGATGCTTGTAAAGCCTACATATGACGTATACAACCTTCATACCTCCAAAACCCATACCTGGAAATGAGGGAGAGAGAGAGATGGAGGGAGAGACTCAGGCGGATTCTGAGCTCTGGGTGGAAGATCTCTTCGGCGGAATGGTAGTGCACCTATGTCTCAGCAACCCCAGACACCCCTCGGGTTAGATGCGACGCGGAGTCATGAGAGTCCCACCACAGGCAGTGGTGCCCCTTTTTGTCGTGAATGTGATAAATTTGGAGGGGTAAATCCCTGCAAGAACAGCCATATCAACCAAGAAAGAGGGCCGATTCGTTTTCCCCATGGACATCCACTGGAAGTCTGGGGACTGGTTTCGAAGGTCAAAAGGGGCAGGCGCGAGCCTTCTATTGAGTCCCCAATTCCCTCATCCCTTTGGTGTGGGGCTGGGCGTGCAGAATAGGTTCCAACAACCAGTCCCGTGTCCCGGTCAAAAACGAATGTCTTCTTCATCACGAGTCGGGTTATGTGGCAAGATGAGTTTGAACCAGACCCTGGCGCCTTGTCAAGGAGAACAACAAAAGGTGCAGGTGGTATCCCCAACAGCCCCGGAACCTTCTGGAACCCTCCGGAACACTCCCTGAAATTTGCCGCAAACCTTAAAGCCAACCAAAAGGAAAATCACCATCTTTTTTTTGGGGGGGTCCCCTCCCCAAGAAAGAAATCAATGTTGGGGAAGAAAGGAGGCCATTTGGGAAGAAAGGAGGAAAGGAATTGGGAATTTACATCCGCTTGAGCACGGCCCTACCCTCTTGTTCTTGGAGGCCTTTCAGCCACAAACCACCCCACAGAAAGAGCGGTAGGTACCTCACTAGGCTGGGAGGAGTAAATGTTTGTTTCTTCAAATATGTGTGCAGTCACATGTGCGTTGGTTTGAACTTGACAAATTACCTTGTTGGCGGCAAATGATGATTTGCCATCTAGCTGGAACACGAACATAGCATTTGACAGGCTGACCATGTTTGGTGTGCTTGACGGAAGGACAGGAAGGCTCCCCCCGTAGTTCACGATCCTGCACCCTGAACGTAGGTCGATCCCCGTGTTCAAAAGAAGCACATGACTCTTGTCTCAAGATAGCTTGAACCTCTTGTTTGCTCGGTGTCAAATAGCATCCAAAAAGAAGCCAACCGTCTGAAGGAATCGGGCCCCTAGGTACTGAGTCAAACGGTATATAGCTTGCTTTCCGTTGCTAGTGGAACAAAGACATCACAAATCACCATTTGGTGATTGGTACTTTGAAACCGTATTACTTCGTGCTCGGAAATCCAGGTGCGTTTTGTTTTCGCGGTTGTTTCGTGAAAACCGTCACCGCACGAGGTATGATCCCTCCACCGCTGTGCGCAGCGAAGCGTTGGTCTTAGAAGAAAGTATTGCACGTCTGGAGATAGGCCTGAAAACCAAACTCGGCAAAGGTGGCTATGTTTTGTTTTTTTTCACAGAGAACCAACTGACAAGTGGTTGTTGACATACATATCCACCTAAATCATGTCCACCAAAGTGTCCCGTGTTTAAGAACGGCACTCAGGTGGGTGAACGTTTGCTAAAGTGTGCCGTCTTTGCCCTGTACTAGAATGATGATGGTTCATCATGAAGACTGCATCCGACTGGAAGCTGTTTTGCATTTTAAGATTCATTGAATGTTGCTTGGAGCAAAATCTGAGATAGTCTTGAGGGAAAGCAAAAGGTCCGGCGACTTAAACAATCGCTTGTGGTTGCAAGCGCAAGGGCGTCAATAGGTTGCCACTTTGCGATGAGGGCTTCCACGAAGCTGGAAATAAACACATCAATAGTGACAGCTTCTCTTCGAAACTAACAGGGGAAATCAATAGTCTTAATAAAATGAAGTAAACAAGTGTTATTTGGCGCCAGGCTAAGACCCCAAAGATCAAAAATATGGTTCGCTGGCCAAACAGGGCAAGTAACTGAAGCCCACGAAAAGGCTGACAGGTTCTCGAAATCGGTATATAGCACTTCCGTGTTTTTGGGGTGGTTCTTACACTCCCTGCAAAGTGGCATGAAAGGAAGCCCTCCTTTCAACCTCATCTTGTGATTGACCCTCCAAACCGGCTCTGTCCCAATAGGACGGGGCCTCCGCCTCGCTTTCTGCGATAAACGGGATCCCCGGAATTTCCCACAAAGTCAGCTAGCACCGGCGCCAAAAAGCAGTGGTTGGGACGCGGGTGCTGGACAAGGACGGTTTGAGCTTTGGGGTTGATATTAAGGGGTCACCCTTGGGGGTTGCGGCTATTGATGGTGTGGTTCATTGTGTTTTTTGTTTATGTGGTTATTTGGTCATATACATGTTTGCTTGAGCTGGTTGTTACATGGTGTGTCTTCTTCGAGGGTACCTTGTTGTGACATGGGTCAGTTTTAAGGGGGAAACAAAGAAGGGAGGACCACCAAGCTGGGGGGTCTCCTATGTTGCGAACCATTCTGATATCCATTCAAAGCCTCAAGATACCAAGAAAAGGCAACGCATTCGGGCGCCCACTCGGCTTGGGACAGTTCACTAGGCTCATGGGTTGAAAGGACCCCCGAAAGGTTACCAACCCATTTCCCCTGCAGCTTCGGTTTGGCAAAGCCGCGACTCGCCACAGAACTTTGGGGTGGTTGAGGTCTTTCGTTGGAGCGTTCCCCCAAACCTCGAACAGGCGGCATCGGGACCTGGGAGCACTAAACCTCGCAAGGCCCCAACAGCGGTTGTTTAAGCGCGGATAGATGTTGCTCAAGTTACAGTCCGTGTTAAATCTGTAGCGCTCGTTTCTTGTTTGGTATATGAGAAACCAGGGCCCTCAGACCCCACCAGAAAGGCTTCCAGAACTCTTCAGCCAAGACTTGTTCCATCAGAATCCTTGCGAAGCCTATTGAGCCTACAAAGTTCCCAAAGTTCTCCCTGCAAACTCCTGCGAACTTTTCTCCCTACAAACTCCATTCCCAAAGGCAAGCCTTCGGAGCCTCGGATCTTCGGGGGGAGGCCATCCTCTTCCCAGGTGCCGCTGGAAGGATCCTTCAGCTTCGAGGCGGAAAGCGGAAAAGCGCGCGTGCTCGAGTTGTTAAGGGAGGGGTTCCATCCCCAAATGGCTGTGGCTCAAAAAGCCGGCACCAAAATGGAACCCTGGTAAGTGGAAACATGGACCAAAACCTGCGTAACCCCTCCTGTTTAATTTTGAGCCACAGCCAAATCTCCAAGGCAAAGCCGGATATATATGAGCCACGGACAAAACACACGAAGACCACTTTATCAAGGCGGGGTACGTTTTTGCATAACACATGCCAAAACCATGCAAAACGATAAGGTCTCCCCCAAAAACGATAACCCTTAGCTAACACACGGCTCTATAATAACCCCTGCAGTTGCAACTTAGCTAGCTGTGGGACCCTTGCGTGGCCACCGTAAAACGAGAAGGCGAGTCGCCACTTTCGAGCTGGAGCTGCCAAGGTGTGCTTCGTAAATACGACACTTGTACTACAAAGTTGCGATTTTCGAGCTGGAGCTGCGGAAGTGTACTTCGCGTACTAGACTTGTACTACAAAGTTGCGATTTTCGAGCGGAGCTGCGGAAGTGTACTTCGCGTACTAGACTTGTACTACAAAGTTGCGATTTTCGAGCTGGAGCTGCGGAAGTGTACTTCGCGTACTAGACTTGTACCACAAAGTTTCGATTTTCGAGCTGGAGCTGCGGAAGTGTACTTCGTACTAGACTACAAAGTTGCAATTTTCGAGCTGGACTACAAAGTTGCGATTTTCGAGACTTGGAGTTGCTGAGCTGGAAGTGTACGCGTACTAGACTTGTACGACAAAGTTGCGATTTTCGAGCTGGAGCTGCGGAAGTGTACTTCCCGTACTAGACTTGTACTACAAAGTTGCGATTTTCGAGCTGGAGCTGCGGAAGTGTACTTCCCGTACTAGACTTGTACTACAAAGTTGCGATTTTCGAGCTGGAGCTGCGGAAGTGTACTTCGCGTACTAGACTTGTACTACAAAGTTGCGATTTTCGAGCTGGAGCGCTGTGGAAGTGTACTTCCCGTACTAGACTTGTACTACAACATTGCAATTTTCGAGCTGGAGCTGCGGAAGTGTACTTCGTGTACTAGACTTGTACTACAAAGTTGCGATTTTCGAGCTGGAGCTGCGGAACTGTGTGCGTACTAGACTTGTACGTACTTCGTGTACTAGACTTGTACTACAAGTTTTCGATTTTCGAGCTGGAGCTGCGGAAGTTTACTTCGCGTACTAGACTTGTACTACAAAGTTGCGATTTTCGAGGAGCTGCGAAAGTGTACTTCCGTGACTTGTACTACAAAGTTAGCTGCGGAAGTGTACTTCGCGTACTAGACTTGTACTACAAAGTTGCGATTTTCGAGCTGCGGAAGTGTACTTCGCGTACTAGACTTGTACTACAAAGTTGCGATTTTCGAGCTGGAGCTGTGGAAGTGTACTTCGCGTACTAGACTTGTACTACAAGTTGCGATTTTCGAGCTGGAGCTGCGGAAGTGTACTTCGCGTACTAGACTTGTACTACAAAGTTGCGATTTTCGAGCTGGAGCTGCGGAAGTGTACTTCGCGTACTAGACTTGTACTACAAAGTTGCGATTTTCGAGCTGGAGCTGCGGAAGTGTACTTCGTGTACTAGACTTGTACTACAAAGTTGCGATTTTCGAGCTGGAGCTGCGGAACTGTACTTTGCGTACTAGACTTGTACTACAAAGTTGCGATTTTCGAGCTGGAGCTGCGGAAGTGTACTTCGCGTACTGGACTTGTACTACAAAGTTGTGATTTTCGAGCTGGAGATGCGGAAGTGTACTTCTCGTACTAGACTTGTACTACAAAGTTTCGATTTTCGAGCTGGAGATGCGGAAGTGTACTTCGCGTACTAGACTTGTACTACAAAGTTGCGATTTTCGAGCCGGATCTGCCAAAGCTCGAAAACACTGTAAAACGATAAGGTCTCCCCCAAAAACGATAACGCTCAAAAAAGTACTAAGGCCAAGTAAAGTGTTTCGTCCGCTCCTCATATATATATATATACTCCCGAACCCGAAAAGAGGGTTTGGCAAGAAGGAGTTCCTTTTATAGAGGTGGTTGTTCGTGTTCCACGGCAAACTGCAGAGTTGGCACGCGCACGTGGACCCGAGAAACGAGCTGTCGTGTCTTCCCTGCGAAACAAAACCCCAAAAAGAGCATTGAATCAATAGATGGGCTCACCCAATGTGAGTTTAAATAGCGTCCTAAGACGACCAGGCCGGATTCTTTTCTCCGGGACTTGAGGGCACCGAAGCGGTTTTTGGTTGGGATCGAGAGTCGATGCCAAATCCACGGGGCTCCTTGTCCGCGATGTCGGCATCCTCGGATCGCGAGTCGAGCGGATCTGACCTTGAAAAACCAGGTTTGGTCCTGGATGCCGCGTAGGGTTGGTCAAAATACTTACCTCTTAAAAACACAACTTTTCGACTTTTTGGGAAACATGGGCTATATGTCTGTAAAAGATTAACTTCCCCAGGGCTTGGAGTTTTAAGGGGTAAGAATAGGGGACCCCCAGATGGCGCGGTTCGTTTTGCATTAACCTGAAGGGAGCCCTCGTGAAGCACACACCCACCTTCTCGAAGGTTTCGAGGGTCCATCGATCATGTTCGGGCCGGCCTGGGGTCAGGGGAGTACACAGACTTCGCAACATGATTTAGGCTGAAACAGTGGTGGCCCCAACATTGCCAAGCTTTGCAAAGTCAGGCAATCCTCGCGGATGCAGCTTACCCTGTTTATTGTTGGTTCCCGTCAGTCATTGTTCCGGAGAACATTTTAGTTCATGATTGAAGAGGTTCCAAATCTGAAAAACAACTTGTTTGGTTTAACTAATCATGATCCAGCCCTGGTTTGGATATGTGCAACCGGTGACCCCACAATGGTGGATCCCGTTTCAGTTTATCTTTAAGCCAACCTGAAAAGCGTACCCTCAAGAAGGACACGTCCCTTTTTGTGTTGGAAGTATGGGCTCGGTCCCTGCAGGGTTTCGAGTCCATGCAGCCTTGCACATCAACAGGCAAACCTCGTGAATCCATCCCAATCACTTTTGGGTGTGCGAAGGGTGGGTCAATCCAGTTGCCCAAACTTGATGGCTATTTGGTAACGGATCTTTGGAGTTCAACTGCTTGGTTGACACAGGCCGCATTTTCCGTATTGGACCCACAAAAGTGAACAACTTTTGCAGAGGGGTCATTGCAGCAACCAAGCAAATAACCATGAGTTGTTCGATTTTCCCCTTCTTGTGGGCTGGGGTTGCCCAACCAGCATCCGGGAGCTTCCAGGAAGCTCTGCAAACCGTCAGACACCGCTCCCAAGCCCATGCTCAACCCAACGAACCAGGGGCAAGAAACAAGGTGTCCTGTTCCCATAAGGCACCAAGGCCTAGGTCGACCGCTGTACTTCTTCGTGTTTTCGGCAAAAGTCACCTTGTCACCAATTCGCTTCATGTCTGTGTACACGGCTAGTGATTCTTGCCTATGCTTCTTGAGAGGGCATGGGGCCCAAAGGATCTTGCTTTTTCTAGGTGGAGGGGGGCGCAGGATTTCCCAGTGGGGATGATCGCTTATTGGGCTCCGCATAAACCAACTGCAATTGGAGAAGGAGCCCCCTTTTTTCTCAATAACACTTTTCTTCCACGTGCGATAAGTTGCCAAGTTAGGGCAGTTGACGGGCAGTTCTGTATGGAAAAAGAGCGCATGTGAAGAAAGCGGGTAAACTGGATGCGCTGTTTGTGGATTCCAGCATGTTCCATCCAGGTTGCTCCACCTGCAAAGGGGTGTCTTGCAAGTGAGTAATTACATCGATCCCAATTGTTGTGTATTGTTTGTAGCTTAACCGTACTCCATTGCTGGTTTTGACTGCCTGTTGGCTAAAGATGGGCAACCCGGCAGCTCAGGGGGGCGGGGGCGCTGTATTTCCTGCAAGGGTTGGTTTAAACAATACGTGTTTGGGCCATTTTGAGGTGAGTTGATTTTTGGTGGGGTCATGTTTAAAGAGGAAATATCGGGGAGCCAGACATTCGGCGCCGACGCCAAGAAAGGATGGATTCCCAAAAGGGCAGTTTCAGCATGGGTTGATTTTCTACCCGGTTTCCATCTTGGTAGAACCAAACTGGGTGAGGCCGACCTTCCTCTTTGTTCCGACCTTCCTCTTTGTCCCACATTTTCTATTTGGGTGGGGACCTCGAACAAAAGCTCGTCTTCCCTTTGGTTTCCCTTGAAAACACCAACTCCCTTACACCCGGGCTCAATTCGGAGGCTCTGACCTCGGGCCTCACGTTCGCCGAGGCGGGGTGCCTGATGGCATCGGGGGATCGGAAGGGTTGGTTTGCTGGATTCCCTCTCACTGCCTCCCTTTGTTTGGAGAGTGAACCTTCTGCCTTCCAAGTGGCAAATGATTTGGAGTTCAGCCTTTTTCTGGCCAATCCACTCTGGAAAAAGACCAGCCAGAAAGGGGTACACACAAAATGACACACCGGGCAACAAACACATCTTTGTTTTGATTGTTGCCTCTTTGGCTTATTTCGGGTCTGAAGTTTGTGTCCCAGACCTTTTGGTGGGCATCATTGGTCCACCTGAGGAGGTTAAGACGTGTTCGAAGTCTGAAAGCGATGCCAAAGGGTCGGGGAACCCAATTTGTAGGTCCCCATGTTAGACGACTCAACTCCCCATGCTTGGGCGGGCCAAAGCAATGTTTGTTTCATGGACCCCACCACGGGAAATCTAGTGACCATCAGTTCCTATCATCCACATTTATCATGGAAGCTTGCTAACCATTTATTCACTTTGCAGAGCACACATGAACCCCTTTTCAGGGTCAACAGGAAGCTGCAAGGAACACAATTTTCGGACAATATACTCACACAAAGAGACCACTCAGTGAGCTATGCCAAAACAAAACGGCATGAGCTCCGTTGGGTCAAGGGTAGTGCCCAAACCGGCTTAACGAGGCCAGCGAAGCAACAAGAGGGAGGTGGAACACCGACCGCCAGAATTAACACGGTTCCACATTGCGTTTGCAGTTGTGGTTGGACCACCACCTCGATTGATACACAGCCAAAACCATTGGCAACGGCAAATGACGTTGACAACCCGTGATATTGCGCTAATTTCTGGGGAGAGCATACACGAACGAACGAGCAGACAGACAAACAAACAACAAGCAAGCAAAGAAAGAACGAAGGAAAGATAGAACGAAGCAGACAGACGGACAGACAACAAACAATCAAACAATCAAAGAACCAACAAGTAGTTCAATTTTCCATCAGTGAGTGAGGGCAACAGCTACCCAAGTGTTTCAAGTGGGTCTATCAAAGATCCTCAAAGTTCCTTGAGGGAACCACCCCCAAAGTTGTGCCTTGACATGTCAGCCTTTCAGTGAGCTTGGGTTTTGACCTCAACTTGAAACACACATCCACGCTTTTTGTCCCTTCCCATTCTTCCGTGACTTGGTGTGTCAAAGTAGCCACACCGAACATCGGGCGGTTTCCCTTTCAACCAGGTATCCTCGAAAAATCCCACACGGACATATCCATTTTGGGGGTACCCCAAAGACGGATACCCTTCCTCCCACGTTGCCATGGCACTTCCAGGTTTCACATGGCGTTTGGGAGGAAAGGTCCCTCACTTGAGCCACAATCAACAGTCCCAGCCAGAGATTGGTGCGGATATCCGCTTTGAATTTCCAGATGGGCTTGAACATCGACAATTATAATTCCGCGACCGGTTCTGATTCTGACTCTTTTGATGACTTGGTTTGGTTTCAATGTCCCCCACAACCCCAGTCTTCTTGTTTTGGCCTTGCAAACAATGCCCTTGTTTTTTGTTTGTTTGTTTTTTTTCTGGAGAAAAAACAAAACGAAAATAATAGGTTGTTTGATTCTATCCCGTTTTGCTTTGTTCCTAGGGTTTAGCAGCCTCAGGTGGGTACATCCATTTTCATACCCGTCGGTTTTGTCCCACGCAGCACACGGATCAGCCAGGTTTCGTTGCTGGCGCAGGGCTCCGGCTTGCGGCGGCCCCTGAGCTTGGCGCTGATCCAGGCCGATCCGGGACACCAGCTCGACACCATCGCCAGAGCTTGAGATTTGGCTGTGGGTCAAAACCGTTTTGGGATGCCATTTTGGGGTAGGGGAAAATTCACCACCCATTTTAGAACCTATTTTAGTTGGGATTGGGATGTTCACTGGGGATATGGGATTTTGACCCATGGCCATTTGATCTTTGGAGAACCTTTTGGTAACAAGTCGGATGTGTTTTATTTCTCGGTCCCTGTGGATGGTTGCGACATCCAGGTGTTCGCAGCACGAAAAGAAACCGCGGGAATGAGAAGAACATTTGTTGGTATATATAGGGGAATCATCAGACACCAGAGTTTCTGAGTTGTGGTGCGAACTGGAATTTGCAACCATCCACAGTAGGTGTCCTTTTTTGTTGTTTTGGTATAATTATCCCACTCTCAGCTGTTCAAAGCCGACCTTTTCACCTTTTGGTTTGCCATGTTCCTTCGATTTTGCTCGTGGCCATCGTGGCCCAAAAAGGTTTATCGCGTATTTCTGCTTTTTTGGGCAACTGGGCCCACGTACCAACAACACGAGCAACGGGTCAAAATCAATTCACCGATGATATGTTGTCTGCTCCTAAACGATACGGAGGCTCAATGCGTTTTTTGGTTTTTTGGGGGGTTGGTTCCCTCAATTTAAAGGGAACCTAACAGGAAAAAGGAAGCCATTTGAGGGTCCAACCTAAAAATAGAGACGCTCAGATGGGAGTTCCCATACAGGGAAATGGAAGCATTGGGGCGGATGGACCACATTCTGCACCAGATGATATGCCATGGAGACTGGTACCAATCCCACCTGGTTCCTCACAAAAATCAGGGAAACGGCATCACTTGCATCTCCTTCGCATTTCTCTGCAAATTGGGCCCACTTCCTGAGTTGGACTTCAAAGTTTTTGAGACGACCGTTTTTGTGATCAGGTTGAACACTTTCCGGCTCGACTGAGGAAGTGACTGGGGGAGGTGGACCTTCCCCTCAATTTCGGCCCCTTGAAATCCGCCATCGGGTACCTCATAGAGGAGTCCTGACACGTTCCGCTCACTCCCGGAGTTCCTGGACTTTCGACTTTAAGGATTGGACCATTTTAGCAGTAAACAAATGAACAAACATCTAGGGGTTGATTCCCCATGCTTTTCAACCATCGTTCTTTTCAAAAAACTGGCTGCTTCCGCTGGTTTGTTGATGGTTTCCTGAACAGGAGGATCCCTGGAAAGAATGAGAATGGAAGGTACCCCTAGAAAACAGCTTGGTTTTCCCCTTTTTGTGGCCCATCCACATCGGGAGTGAGTCCGTGCCCGAGCGAGCGCCTTGCCAGACCTTGAAGCTGCTCCCGGAGGACCTCGAGCTGCTGGCGCTGACGGCCACGCTGCCCTCGGGCGGCCGGCGTCTCGCCAGCCTCTCGCGCCGCGGCAGCAACGGAAATTCCCGCAAGATTCGGCTGCGCTGCTCCGCAAGATTTGAGCAACATGTTGTGGGTGTGTTGAAACATTGTAGAATGATAAGGAACCCCCCCCCAACACCGAGATCCTCAAATACTAAGGCCAAGCAAGAGGTTGCGGCAGTCCCTCATATGTTATGCTGTAGAATTTGAGGGTACCCCGGAACAAAGGGTAGACTTTGACGAAATATATGTGTTTTCTGGGTACCCCAGATGTGGGCCAAGTGTAAACATCGACAGCAACAACAGCAACAGGAACAGCAACAACAAAGCAAACAAATGCAAAAAGCACAACAATATTGGGCTGCAACAGGCTTTCAACCTACTCTTTTCACCGGCTCACTCCCAAGCAACGGTGAAAGATTGGATGCGCATTTTTGTTGGCCCACAACAAACGGACAGGACACTTCCATCTGATTCAGTTTGCTGCCCAAGCATTTTGCCCCATGTGCGGTATCCAGGAAAATATGGCCTGATTCTGTTTCAGATTTCGTCTAGCGACATCTTGGCGGGTATTTCTCTCTGCTTAATTAACACAAAATAACTGCTTGTGGGTTAGACGAAAGCTTGCCCCTGTTGCCTCAACCGCCCGCGATTTGCAGCCGTAGACATCTGATGCTTTGGCCGCAAGTGCGTCCTCATCGTCGCAGGCAAGATTCAAAAGCAGACGTCACAGCGACGCAGCCTCATTCTCTTTCTCATCAAACACCGGGACGTGGTTCTGTGTTGCGTCGTGTCCGCAACAATAGATTATCAGGACTTTGCCCGGCACGGTACGTTTCCGGTTGTTGCCAAAAGTGTTCGATTCACTGCCCACACTCATATATAGATCTTGAGCAAGCTACAGAGGAAGACCTTGGACTGATTGTTGCTTTTCACCGAAATACACAGTTGAGCATCATTTGGGTGTGACTCTTGGGTTCGACGTCGAAGAAATGTGAGGAGCTCGTGTTTGGACACTTTCCAAACGCGCAACTGCAGCCGTGACTGGGGATATCCCAAAGGTGAGCAGATGGCCCTAGACAGATGCCATGACAAGATGATGATTGCAGCCACAGTCGTGCGCGAGGATAGCACCACGATTTTTATGGCCTGGGAGCGAGTGTTCGAGAACTCACACAATTGAGACAATGCAAGTCAGTCAAAGCAGCTTGACCTCCAGACTCATAGTTCACTAGATGCGCTCAAGGCTCGTGCCCACCCAGCGTGTGTGGAGCAGACAGCATAGCAAGACCTAGCTCTTAATCCTTTGTCTTGCGCCTCTTTGCGCACCTCTGGGTTTTGAGCCTACGCTTTCTGGCTGACACAATCTGCCCTCGCTTGCCCGCGACTTTGGTCTTCAACCCTTTGGTCTCCGCCTGCCACTTCAGTGACCCAAAAGCTTGAGCTAAAATTGATTTTTTGTGGGTTGGTGAGAGACAAATACATTGGCCCGATTTTGCCCAGAATGTTGAAGGTTCAGGATCCAACCCAAATTGCCACCAAGCAAACACGCGACCAAGCAAGAATCACAGAGAAAAAAGCAAGGGAAGCTTAGCGAGGCATCAAGGAGAAGCGCCTTGGGACCAAAGAGAAAGAACTTGCCGTTTTCTCTGCGTGGAGTTTTGAATCAGATACCCCCCGCCCCTACCCCACATCAACTAACATGTGCCCCAAACGTTGATTGGAAGGGGTGATACTGTGGATGGAAGAAATCCTGCACCACCTAAGAAACCCCGGAATGATGAATCCCCTGTAAATACCCATGAACAATGGTTTCCCATGGTTTCCAAGTGGTGCGAAAAGGATTTCGTCCATCCACAGTAGCGTCCTTACTCGCGGAGCGAAAGGCACCGCTTCAGCCTGGCCTTTGCCGTGCCCCGGCCCCCGCTCCTCGGCAGTGAGAAAGGCTTCGGAGAAGAGGCTGAGAAAAGGAGGCGGTTCAAAGCAACAGGTTAAATCGCCCAACGCCGCCATGCCCGCCTCGGCAAGCATTTGGGACTTAAAAATTGTCCATGGCGGTGGGCAAATTCTATCGAGGTTACGTTCGGGCGGTCGGCGGGTTGAAAGTTTCTTGCTGGGGGGTGTGCTTATTTTCAGTCACAATGTCCAAATGAATTCTCGAAGCGGATTCCCGCCACCATGGCGCTTTGAAGCCACAACAAGATGGCATTCCCATAATTGCAGTTCCTGTGAAATATGGTGTGTCGGGCCCAGACAATAGCTACTAGATCCGATTGAACTTATGCAGCAATTTTCGCACCCGCAAGCCCCACCCATGGGTGGGTTGTTTGTTAGTTGTGCTTATGTTTGTCGCGCCTTTTTGTGGTTTCCTTTTACGGGGAAAGAATAAGCCGCATCGCCTTTAACATTGAACACCTCCTTTTCTGAACCACACGGACGTGGCCAAGCCTGCATGCGATATAAGCCTTGATCATCAAGCATTTGGGTGGAGCCAGTTGTGAACGGGTTAGACGGGCGCTGCTCAATTGTAACAGCGTGTTCCAGCATAGCGCAACGGTGCTCCCGCGTAAATCGGAAGCCCAAACGTCAAATGGCATTGGTCTTTGGGTTGGGAAAAGGTGCCCTTAAGAATTGGATGTTGCCCCAACCGTTTGGGGCTGATGTCCATTTGCGATCATTTGCGTGTATGTTTTTGAGGGCACCCCAAAAAATTGCGGTGTTTTCCCTGTGGTTTCCGGTTTGACAACTGCAGCAAAGGGGGTAGCAACTCCAACGAGACCCATTTGCTCGGGTCCAGGTGTGCTTGGGTTGGCACTCACCAAAATGCAGGCTGTGGGTGCCGAAGATGGCGGAGGCCTTACGCCACTCCACCGGCCCGGCGCGGCAGGCGAAGGGCGAAGGGAGGTGAAGGGTGCACCTTCCCCCTTTGGGCGAGTTCAACCTCACAGTTGCCATGTTTTCGGGTTGGGTTTTTTGATGTTTTTGGGTCCGTCGGACCCTTCAAACGCTCGAGAGTCTTGGTTCAACCAAAAGCCCATATCAAGAGGGCCAAGAAGCGGAATGGATATGTTAAGCACGTATCTATTCCAGGGTCCAGAGCATTCCTTGCTTGAGGGGAAGGGGCTATTTCTTAGAGCTTACCCCGCGAGTTGGGACGAGTCTGAGCCAAACCTTCGGCTGTTGGGCAGCAAACCAATGCAAAGAATTCAAGTTGAGCTTCTCTGGGCCGCTTGTCGCCAGCTAACTCGCCCGAGGCGCTCAGGGAACCAAGCCGACAGCTGTTGGCGCGCTTTTGGCCTGCGAGACTGGGTGTCCTCAAAGGGGTCGGACCCATTCGAAGGGTCAAGACATTGGGATGCCAACAGTGATTCAAGGGCCTGCGCAGCAAATGCCCATGATGGACATGATTGGGTACACGATTGACTGGTAAGCCATTTTTTTGAACTGTTGGGTACCCGAAAGTATTTTTGTACACACACTAGTCTTCTTTCTAGGTCCCCCAGTACCCTTTAATTTTGTTTTGGGGGGGAGGGTTCCCCTACTAAAATAGACTACAGCAAGAATTCGTGTACCCTTATTCAGGGCTCCTTAAAGATCTCCATTTTGCCTAATTGAAACATGTTGCTTTTTCAACACTAAAATCAAGTTGGAGTTGCCACCATTTACAAGTTGCAATGTTCAGGTGTATAATGCATCCGGATCCCTGCTTCAGTGAATGTGTTGACTTTAGATTAGCATGGCGGTTTTCTTGCTGGGTTTCTTGGAAAACAAGTTGCAATGTTCAGGTCTTTTTCATGCATCCGGATCCCTGTTCGAACCTCTCTGGAGCACCTAGAAAGTTCCAACCTCATGGACCTGTGGATTTTGATCTACTCACGTGACGCACGGCGCGCACGTTGGGCGCGGCTCACGACGCGGTAGGCCTGGGCGTCTTCGCTCCAGACGGTGCTGTTCGTAGAGGCGGGCCGAGATGTTTTTCGCGAAACGATTTGGCAGGCAGACAACATCTTCCATATCTAATAATATGCGTGGTTTCCCCTGTTGGTTTTTCAGGGAATTTATCGCTACGGCATGTTTATTGTTTTTTTGCAGGGGACTCGGGCAAATGGAAGGAGTATGTCGAGTTTGAGATGGACCATGTTTCAGATGTCCCGTTGGTGGTTGGGTTGGTGACTTTTTAGGATTTGAACCCCAGGTTCTTGTGGCTAACCGGGAAACTACCCTCAAGCGCCAACGGAAGCTTGTTTGTGCACATGTGGGCCAAGTTGTAGGCTCCAATCAAAGCATACGCTTCGCGCGTGTTTTGTGTTTTGCGGCACCGCGGGTTTAGAAGGATCCGAAAGGAAAGCCGAATCCATTTTGTGTTCAACGTATTGGTGGACACCGGGTATCTTAACCAGAAGCCCCAGCCAAGGCTGTGTTGTGTTTTTTCTTTGAAAGGTCGGGTCTGGTTTATGTTCGCAAGCGACTCGTGGCTCAAGAGGCTTAAGCCCACCAACTGAGTGTACTTTTTGAGGGTACTCTTTTGGAGGTTTACTCAACTGACTCTCTGAATTCATGGACTTTAGTCACTTTTGGGGTCTGGACCATTTTAGCGACAAACAGAGAGTTAGGACTTTTGTGCCCATCAACTCAGGAAGTGAGTCAAAGGGAAATCAACAACCTCGCAATGTTTCAGGATTGACGTGATTATTTTGGAAGTTGCGATTACACTCCAATGGTAAACAAAACATTGTAACATGTCCCAATTGACTCGGGAAAAGAGGAACGTGGTTCCAAATCTTGTGGATTCTGAAAATGATTAACGCCTTTATGGCCACATTTGTTACAACCAGATGGTACTCTGGGGGACCAAACTGCTGCATTTTTCCCAGTGGAATCGCACAATCCCGGACCTGCCCTTTCGTTCGTCTTCGGGCTTCTCGGCTTCAACTCAAAACCGCCCATTCGAGAGCCGCCGAGCTTTGTTTCTCGTAAGAAAACCGAAATCAAGTACTTGTTTTGCCGAAGGGTCTTTCGTTGACATGGGTGAAACAGAATCTGCACGTTTTTGGCTGGGTTAGGATCTGAATCGATTATGTTGCGTCTGGTTTGTGTGTGTGTATCCACGTGGCTATGAGTTTTAATTGCGAACCGCCTAAATGGACATGAACCCCAACCTTGATGTCCAGTTTGGGTCCCTAATTAAAACTCACAGCTATGTGATACTACAGACCGGTCCGGAAGGGAGCACAGCGTGCGAAGTTTTCGGCGAGGCTATGGCAGACGTGGCGGCCAACCGTGACAGGCCCTGCCCTTTGCCCACCGCACCGCCCCTCGGAAGTTTTCGTCTCGAGGGCGGGGGGGTTGTTCAGGCGGAACATCGCAACAGCTGGCGGGGGAGCGTGGCAAAACATGTGGGTGTCAAGCAGTTTTGGGAAACATGTGATGAAATCACTACAATGTTAACATCGGTTTAATAACCCCTTCTGAGACAATCAAGCAGGTTTCTTCCTGCAAACGTCAGATTCTGGAACTGAAATAATCGGATGGTCTACCTTATTGTGGGCAACAATACTTTAGTATTGGGCGATACTACTGTTGAATTGGGAATGATAATTCCAGAACTCCAAAAGGATTCCACAAGGAGCTTCTGTCAATGATTCCATTTGATGTAGTATTGCTGGTGCTTCCTTTTTAGATGTTGATTTGAATACTTATCCATTTACTTATATAGTACAGTGGGATTTGACTTCTTAGGTGATCTAGTGCTGCGGGAGCTTCCTTTTGAATCTGTCATTTTTTTGATTTGGTGTTGTTGGATTTGAGTTCCCATTTGATTTTAGATTGCTGAAGCTTCCTTTTGACTGTTTTGAGTGTCCATTTGATTGAGTATTGCTGGAGCTTAAAAGTGGTGCAGCCCAGATGGCCCCCATTAGTACCATGTGGACCCACATTAATATGGGCTGGGCACTCATGAGGGGTACCTCATGAACCCTTCTCAAACCATCAGTTTTCAAGAAAGGGATATATTAAATTCAAGAAGTCACACTTCCGGCAAGCCCAACTTGTTTGCATGTCAGGGAGTTATGGCTGATGTTTGTGCCGGCTTGGCACTGCCGCCTGGCTGTGCTAGTACTAGTGCAAAGGTGCAGCTGTCTTTGCTTTGCCATTCAAAAACAACTGGAAAACAAATGAACAAGAAGCAGGGTATCGCAAAAGTATCATGGAACAACCGGCATCAGTTGCATCACCAGTCTTTGTGTAATATGTTTGTGGTCTTCTGCGGGGTCCTGTCCAAGCTGTTTAATTTGCTTCTCAGGGGGGGATTCCTGTGGGACCTTTCTGAATCCTAAGGTGCCAGGAGCCACAAGGAGTAACCCCACCCTGGTACCCTTCAAACGGCGCTTCCCCGGAGTGACTGTGTTTGACCAATCCGCTGTCCCAGAAAAGGTGCCCAACATGGCACCTGTGGAAACAGTGTGGGCTGGGGGGGGGTTGGTCTTTAAGGTTTTGTCCCCAGGATGGTGTTTGTTTTCGGCCCAGACCTCCAGTCGTGCCCCTTTTCCCTTGAGAATCAACTACCAACAAAAAGGATACTCTCCTTTTTTGGGGGGGGAGGGTCTGAGCTTTTCGTGGAGTCCCAGAGCATGCCAGCGACGAAAAGCAAGCATGCGTTCTTGGCAACATGTTGTTATTTGGTGTTGGTCGATCAATGTTTGTTTAGTCAACCTCTTCCCAGGCCAAGAGTCGTTGAAAGTACTAGTGAACTTAATCAAACTATTGAGCGCGTATGTGTTTCCTTCTGTGTGGGGTTGCAAAGTCTCAAGATCCGAACGGCCAAGGGAAAGTTGTGCTGCAGCTTTGTTTGCTCCAAGGACCCATTTCTTCTTCCCAGGTGAACGGAGTTTTGGAGCAACCCTTCTTTTGTTGCCCTGTTCCCAGTAGGCTACCCTTAGTTTATCTCGATCGATTTTCCGGTGGAACCTCTAGGGTTCGGTTTGATGCCCTTTACGTCTGGAAGCCCTTTGGAATGAAATCGCAACGAGGAAAGGCCAGCCTTTGCACCAAGAGAGAATGCTTACCAGTTGCCCAGGCTACCCTAATCATTTTCTCTCCATTTGCTTTCAAGGGGGAGGGTATGCTGTGAAGCAGGGGAGAAAGAGAAAGCCCTCGAATACTCTGCGAACTGAAGTGGGTCCAGTTGTTTCTTGAGCCGAGGACTGACGCGCCGCTGGTGATGTGCGAGGCCCCCGATTCGTTTTGTTTTGTCTTTTTTCTTTTCTTTTTTTTTGTCTCGATAAAGTTCGAAACAAGTCTGGCGACACGAAAGTGAACCCACATACAGAACTAGAAAGTTTCATGGATAAACACATCTATTTGCTGGGGGTTGGAAATATGTATACCAAAGAACACAATTAGCACCCATCTTCTTCCAAAGCTTCCTTTGGCACCGTTTAACAATTACGTGTAGAAAAGTAGACCAGGGACCAAACAGCCAGCGAACCTTTTCATTCAGTCAGGGTTCCAATATAAGAAACCAGTTCTTGGTCAAGGAGAAGGTTTCTCTCGGTTGCTTTGAACAAGGGGTTGAAAAGGCACTTGGGTTCTTTTTGGAAGAAGACCATGACCAAAACTCCAGGGAAAACGGGCGGTTTTGCACAGAGCGATGGGCTGTGGCGCGAGAATGACGAAGCTATCCTTAGATTCATGGGTCATGGTGTAGACATGACTGTCCACAGGGTTGCTCCAGTTGGCCGAGAAAGCGACCCAATCAGTAGAAATTGGCGGTATCCTTTGGTGTAGCTTTTTATTGACCTTGATTAGGTTCTACTTACCTTCTTTCGGGTTTATAGCAAGGCCTATATGGCTGTGATGTTTAAGAGTTGGAACCCGGGTCATTCAGATTCATGCCCGCACAAGCCGTAAACCGTATTAACCGTGGAATGAACCCAATGCCCCTGTTTTGCGGACACAAACATGGCGGCGTCAGGAGGCGCAGCGGTTGACCCCTTCGGGGGGCATTTGCAGTACTCGATGCCTGGAGCCTTTGGTGCCCAGCGAGGCGAGGCCTGGTCATTTGCCTTGGTCAAATTTGCTCAGCAGCGCGGAGTTGTTTGCCATCTACTGCTTTAGTCTGGTGTAACCAAGGACCAAGGGTAGGGGTGGGGTGGGGTGGGGTGGGGTGGGGTGGGGTGGGGTGGGGTGGGGTGGGGGTGGGGTGGGGTGGGGGTGGGGTGGGGTGGGGTGGGGTGGGGTGGGGTGGGGTTGGAGACCCAAAGGGTAGGCCAAGAGTAGAAGGGCAACAGAATGGGAACATTGTCGAATCAAATACCATTGAAATGACAAACTTGCGATGGGGATGGGAATCCTACTTTTGTATCGCAGAACTAGGGCCCCAAACCTGTAACATGCCTCGGGGTTCCAAGGTTTTGTTCATTCATTGGCCCCAAATGAAACCAAGTTCGACGGGTCTATGGTAATTCTAGACAAATCCCTGCAAATGGGCAATGGGAGGAAGCAGCACAGCTAGGGGAGCAAGTTCACAGCAAAGTTTCCAAGCATATAAGTATGTTTGTTTGAAGGGACCCCCAAAATGGTGGGCGGTCCTTTTGGGTTTTCCTCCAAAACCATTAAATGGCTGCTGTTCGCACTCTCCTCAGTTCGATTTTTTCCCAGACCTGCGGCCATGGGAGAAAAGGGACTCGTTTTGGATGAAGTTTCAAGGGACACCCCTTCAGCGAGGATCAAAAACAAATCGATGGAAGAATGGCTACTGGAGGTCTGGCTTTAAAGGCCGCCGCTGACAAACATGAACTGTAGCTTTCCTTCGTGAGGCTCTTCTTTCAGAGGTGTCCAGGTATTATGTTCCTGAAAGGGGTGGTCACAATGCAATAACAAACTCGCTCACTCCCTGAGTTCATAGACTTTCAGCTCGATGGTTGCGGTCAATTCTAATGGCAAACCGAAAGCTCGGACTTTTCTTGGCGAGTCCACTCAGGAAGTGAGTGGGTGAACAGACTGGGGGCCAACCTGGAGACCAATGGGTTTGCCACTGGCAGGGTGTCTCAAAGCCACTTTAATCGACTTCCAAGAGAAACCCATCAAAGCGGTCTGACTTGTTGGCACAGCCAAACCAGGTGCCGAATTGTTGTTTTCGTGTTTGGATGTGTATTCCCTACAAAGTAAAACAACACAAACAGGTACATCTTGATTTGTCCGGAAGCTTCAGGCAAGGGCACCATGTTGTGGGCCTTTCATTTCGCCCAGGAAACTCCTCTCAGACCAGCCGTTCCCGGGGTATGTGAGCTATAAGCTATCCCTTGGTGGTTTGGATTGGGGCTTTGGGACTTGAACCTGTGGTTGAGGTTAAATGGGAAATTGTGCCCATGTTGCCACACCACCAATCCAAACCACCAATTTGTTTGTTGGAAGCTGAAGCTGTGGGTGATGTTGTGTGGTTCTGCTTTAGTTGTTGTCCGAGCCTTGGTCGTTCCAGCGAATCGTCCGGTTCTTTAGGTGTTTCGCCTCTTAGCTGGTTTAGTGGGGTTTCTAAATTTGACCCATTGGAATTTAAGCGTTTGGCAGGGGATTTGAGGACAGGCCAGGAGCTTTTTTTAACATTCCTTAAATCGGTTGGAGGGCTCGAGCAGGGGCCTTGGATTGGCGCTTCGGCGGGCGTGATCAGTTTGCATCACCAGCCCTTTCGGGTGTGCTCAACCGAATCGCCAGTGGCTTCCCGAAGCAAGGACTTGCACATTCCTTGGACTGGTTTTGTTGTTTATCATTTATGAAGTTGAAACGGAATTCCTTTCCCAAAGAAAGGACCACAAGCACTGGAGGTGTGGGGCAGGGAGAACTGGAGACACCAATGTTTTTTTCATTGTTTGGCGGTTGCTGGCTTGTTTTTTGAGCCTTTCGGGTTGGTGGTTCAAAGGGACAGCCCCCTATGTGGGTGTCTTTTGTGGTAACCCCCCGCTTTTGGTGGGTGTATCTTTCAGGACCACCGGCCCGGTGAATTTTTTTGGGCGGTCCAATCCAAACAAGATCAGGCGAGCCACCCAGTTCGACGGTCGCCTTCGCCAGGCGCAGCTGCATTGCTTCGCGGGCTTTTGGAGCCCTGCCAGCTTCGTATGCCAGGCGATGCAAAGCGAGCGACGCGTTCGACAAAAGCCCCACTCACTTTGGGTTGATGGCCGGGTCTGTAGGTTTTCCTGGTGTTTTGGTTCTGTTCATTTTTAGCGGGGCTCAAAAACATGTTTATATTTTTGTTCTGCCACACCAAAGGTTGGAAAGCCTGAGATTCCCTTGTTGCGCCTCTTAACAGTGGCAGCTTCACCAGTGAACTGCGAATTGCAAGGGCTGGGGGCTGTATTGTTGGGTCTGCAAACAATTATCACTGAATGGAATCTCCCATTCCCCCAATTCCAGGTGGGCGTGAGTCAATTCTAGCTGTGGACTATCTCAGTGGTAATTAACGCAGCAACTGAGGCAGGTCAATATGGTCCACATTCGGATTGCCACACCAAGTAGATCTCCATTCCCAGATGTTCAGTGGCATTGAGGCCCTTGTTTGTGCCAAACCACCAAAGGTGCTCAACCCCAGTGCGAAACCTAATGACTTGGGTGTCGCGCGTGTCCCCATTGGTTGATGCCGGGGAGAATAGGCCGCCCATTTCCTCCAAATGTATAGTATGTTTAAACTAAGTTTGGACCAGAATCTGAACATCTCATTGTCTCATGATCCTTGCCAAGCCCAACGTCTGCCTAAACGGACATGTTTGACCAAGGCACACGTGAATATCCGGTACCCATTTCAGCCTGTCAGTTCACTGCAAGTTCGTTGATGGGCACTTGCTGATCGGGATTGGCCTGCAGCTTTGAGAGTCTGACATTTCGTGCCATTGTCATGAGTGTGTGTCTCCAAATGGGAGAACGCCCTGAGAACAAGTGTATCCCGGTTTCCCCAGAAAACAAGGTGCCCTCAGGAAAAGCTTCGCCTTTGTTTTTTCGTACGTGATCTCGACAAGTGTACGTTTTGAGAACCGCCTTTTGGGGGTGGGTTCCCCATAAGGCTAGTTTTGAGGATGTCACTGGACCCATCAGTCAGTTCAAGGATTTATCTCTTGGTATCACAGAAAGTGTCAACCTGAAACCCAATTCTCCACTCCCTGAGTTCCCGAACTTCAGCCATTGGGTTTGGAGACAAAAAGTTTGGACTTGCGTTGGCCAGTCCACAGCGAGCCCACATTGCTTCAACCGTTTCCGAAGCTCGCTCGGAGCTACCTGTCCTTATGTGGATGTGTTGTTTTTGTTCAGAGTACCCCGTTTAAGGTTGTTTTAAAGGGAACCATAAACTACGTTGTTGGCTTTGAGTTGGCACCCTTGCCCTTTTCTGCGGGGGCGAAGGCGAAGCCCCCATTTGTGAGGGTCACCCTTCGCCAAGTGTCGCCAGGCAACAGCGGCACAAGACAGCTGCCCCGTGCCAGCAGGCGCGGCCGCCTCTGCGATGGTTCAGGACCTGCGATCCAGTCCGCAAAGTCTCAAGCGAACCAGTTGGTGGCTGAAGAAACCAGGAATGATTCATGCGGCATTCATGCGGTGTCGTCCATCCCGATGCCCTGGCATCCATTTTGACCAGTCGCAGCATGTCCCCCTAAGGCCGATGGTGGACCCTTTCTGTTCCGGTCCAAAAGGACCGCTGGGTAGACAAAGGTTTGCAAGGGACCACCCCAACCACATCCCCCCCTTTTGATTGGTCTAATGGTTTTGGGTAAACCCCTGTAGTATCATTCATTGTCGCTGGGGAACTTCTCTTCAGTGGCCATTGTGTGCCATGCATCCATGTGCCCAACTTTGTTTTTTTGCGGGGGTCCCAAGTAAGAGTCTTCCTGACCGCAACTGGGGTCTCCTCCACGAATGTATACCTTGGGGCCATACGTGGGTGTGAAACATAACATCGAAAAACAACAAAGACATCTTGACCCCATGCGCCAAGCTATGCTGTGTAATCATTATTGTTGGGAACGTTGACCTCGAACTTGGGAAAATCATTTTGTTTCTCCGCGAAGCAGGCGAACCTATCTGGGGCGGGGGCAATAGCCAATTTAAGTCAGGCAATTGTTCTTTTGGTTTTTAAAGGAAGGTTCCCTTGGTTCCTGCCATAGTGGTAACTGGAATCGCTGGGGTAGTGTCATGTTAGCCATTTCGAGTAATGTCCAACTTCAAAAGGGGAATGCTCGGGTGTACCAAATTCTGACAGATAACAGACCCCGGACCCCGACAAGATAATAGAAAACCTCCGGTTCTGGGCATAGCATCGCGATTTGTTGGGCCTGGAGTTGGTCGCCGGCTTCCAACTCTTGTTGGTCGTGTTTGTTTTGCAGAAACCTCCCTTCGGTCAGTGTTAAAAGGAAACCCCAAAGAGAGGAACCAGGGTTTCGAGCGGCTTCTCCGCTGACAGCTATGACCCGTGTACTGGATTCTGGGTATTCGGAGACTAAGGTCATACGACCCATGCGGGCACCAAACGACTTACATGTCAAACCACTTTCGTGTAGCCCAAAACCCATTCGGGTTTGTGTGCGATTTTTGGACCCGCTGTCGGTTGGCTTCGGGATCGCGCAGGGGTGGCCCATGCAGCGGACCCGCCCTGCCAAGAAGCTGAGGCGCCGATCGAGAGAGTTGAACAGCTTGGCCGAGGAGTTCAGATTCATCCGGAGGGCCCCACTAAACAGAGCAATCCCCAAAAGTTGATGATTTCCTTAAGAGGAAGAATGCCCTTGATTCCAGATTCATCCGAAGTTAGTATATGAGTTGGTTGGGAGTCTCCAGACCAGGTTGGAGGGCTTCTACTACAAACCTTGCAATTGAAAACGCGACGCCACCTTCGCGCTGGTTTGCGACTTCGCAACGGTGAGGATTCCTCTCGTAAGGTTTCCCTATGTTCGATCTGTGAATTGTAGGACAGTTCGCGCTCCTGTCCAACTCCATCGGAGATGGACAACCCCATTCCCATCCGAAGCCATGCTTTCTGGACGGCTCAGCGACTTCAAGTCGAACTTCGTGCCCCAACCGGCTCACAAAGTGACAGCGGTTTGGGTTTACACCACCAAACAGAGTCGGAGTAGCATCCCCGCAAGCTCCCCTGCCCCTCCCCTTTCTCCGGAAACCTGGAGGAAACCTCAAGAAGGGTTCGTTCAAGACCTTGGATGCTTCATTCGGCCTAGTTGTCACCAATCTTGCTCATTGTGTTTAGTTGCTTCTGCTTTGGTTGGGTTCTGCTCGTGTTTGTTGTGGGGCTCTTTTTCCAGGGGTTGTCAACATACCATGGGTCAGACAGTTATCGGAAGGGAAGCGTGAAGCGTTTAGAAGATGCGGGCTGTGGTTGTTGAGTCTGTTGTTTCCTCGGGTATCAGGCAACCTGGGCAGCACGATGGTATGCTCATGTGAAGGGCAGCCAAATGGAAAACACCCATTTGAGCTCTGGAACCCCACCCCCATTGGGTTACAACAATGGTTATTAACCTCTTTCTAAGCCTCACTCCCTGAGTTCCGTTTCGGACGAGAGGTCACTTTTTGGGTGACCATTTGGGTCTGTCGTTTTTGAGGGTACCCGTTTTTGTGGTTGAAAGGAAGCCCAAAAGGAAAGCCGCCGTTTTTGGGAGTCACCTAAAACAAGACGCACTCATTTGAGTGGCTTTTCATGTTCAATCCACCCGATCGGACCCCTTTAAGGCTCCTATGCGCGTTTCCGGCGCGCCCCATAGGCCGGCTCGGTGCAGCGGGGCCAAGTGTGCACGCCACGCTGCAGCAGCGGCTGGGTGCCCACGGAAGCCGCGCCTTGAAAGCTAAGGCGCGACGAAATTTGAATATATGAAACCCAAATGTGTTGGCTGTTTTTAAAAGGCTTGTGGCACAAGGCGTGTGGTTTGGCGCCTCATCAATACAACTTGTCATTGCAAGAGTAACTTCGGACATGTGATGCAAACTATGATGCACAGGGATTTGTTAGGCACACTCTTTAACCTGGGGTGACAGGGCGGGTCATTTACTGTACCCGGTTGTGAGGATCCTTAATGACCATTATAAGGATTCCCAGTAAGGGAACCATGACCATATGCCATATAAGGAGTGAGCTCACAAATGCGCAGGTCCATCGAGCGGAGCATTTATGTATCTAAATCTATCTCTCTTTTTTTCTGTGCGTGTGTATTGGAGGGTACCCTTTTGCATCGGTTGAAAGGGCAACTTTCAGCAAAGCACATCTTTTGGGGGCCCCCAATTGGGACACTGGCTAGCGGCTAGATCCTCCCAATGGCCTCAATGGCTACCTAATGACAACCGGTAAGAGACGGCCTTTGCAAAGAGCGCCCGATATGTCATAAGCCGAATCTCAGAGAGAGATCCTTTGCGCCATGGTCAAAAGCCGCCACGGACCCAGAGAAGGAAGATGTCTGGACAGGCAGCTGGGTTGTTTTCATCCATCCCAACTGCTGCCAATCGGCATGGGGGTCCACAGTATGTTTCCTTAAGGCCTTAAGGGAGAAAACTGTCAGGAGCCATCGACTCTTCCCACTGGCTCAAGTTGGAAGTCTTGTTGGGGCCCGAAGCCGCAAGGTAAAGCTTCGGCTTTGGAGGCTTGGTTTCTTCCTGAGAAAGGATTCCATGGAAAGCTTGTTCTACCCTCTTCTGGATAGTATTTACAGGGAAGCCCAAGAAGAGAACCAAGCACATTTTAGTGGACACCTGCTTTGAGAAACACCCAGATACCTACTACAGCCTTTAAAGGCTTTTACCTTCAACCATTGACAAGCATACTTTGGACGGAAAAACAACTCACTAAATCCACGCACCACTTGGAATGTGCGGTCTGGCCAGGCAGGGTTTCATCCATCCCAACAGTTCGAAGATTTTGCCCAACAAGATGTCTTGTCGAGCTACGCAAGGGGATCATCACGTCCATGTGCTTATTGTGTTTCCCCCCCTGCCGGTTTTAAAGGGAATCTAGCACCACTTTTTGTTTTTTCCAGTGGACTTAAGCAACTGGACAATCACCGTTCCTTCACCGGACGTTTGCGGCATGGGTCGAAGTGGTCGGCTTCCTCACTTTTTGGTTCGTCAGGGTCAAGGTCCAGGAAGGTGACCCAATGAAGTAGCCACGGGGCTTCCTGGATAACATGTTTGGTTGGGGGATGTTGGGGGTAGACTAACTATGACTTACTGGTGCTCTACAGGACATGACCTTCTGGGTGTTGGGAATGAACCAGGGTCATTCCAACTCATTCCCTTCTGAGAACCAACCCAGGCGTCCCCTTCAGGGAAACCAGGGATGGGCAGGGTCATTCCATTTCTCATTCCTTGCCTATCGCACCAGCCAGCTTCAGGTAGAACTATGAAACAGGATCTCATGTCTGATGTTTCTATCCGGCGGGGCTTGGTTTGAGCTGGGAATCCAAAGGAATCAGTTGGACCTGGCCCTGGATTTTATGAAACCGTTTGAGGTGCTCGCCTGCGGCTCCTCGCTCCAGCCCAGCACCTTTGCCTGCGTCAAGCCGGAGCGGGAGTCCGACTTCGAACGGATTTGGTCGGTTGCCCAAGGGAAGAAGCGAGGCGATTAGCCTGGAAGTGACAGGTTTCCGAGTGGCAGACAGTTCGGACTTTGGCCCAAGGAAGCGAGGTTTTCTTTGAAATCAAGGGCCGGATAGGCCCTTTTTCCGATTCAATCCACAGGAGGTCTGCAGGTGGTCAGATTTGGTTGCTTTGCTTGGTAGCTCGCCGGGCGTGAAGACATAGCCTTCCGATTTTTGAAACAACTACTGCTGGCTGGTACTAGAGGGAAATTAGGGGCTAAGTTCATGCATCACGCTTCGGGCTTACATGAGTTTCCATTTGGTAGGCGATGCTCACGGCGCGAAATATAAACGATTCCAATGAGCAAACAGCAGGGTGGAGGTAGAGCGGCGTCGCCTGCCAGAAGCATGCCCTGAGACCCCAAAAGCAAGAGACGCGCACTCAAGCAGTCGAAAACTTGATCCCCCAATTTGTTTCACCCATCCTTCTGAGAGACCAGGTCTTTTGGTAGCCTATATGTCCCTTGTTGAAAGTGAGAAGCCCCGGAGAGGGTGGGTGCAGGTAGACAGAGGTTTTGGGCATTTGTTATTGGTGATGCTGGTAAGGAATCGGGTACTCATGGCCGGCGTTCTGAAAAGAACGAGATCCCCAAACACATGGACAGTTCAGGCACAATATGAAGGCTTCCCCAGTTCAGAAACCACATAACATTCTGATTTGTGTGTTGAGCACAACGACATGATAACACACACCAGGCAGTGCCTTGGTTCAGTAATCGAAAATATGACTTGCATGCTCATATAAATCCCAATGTTTTTGTGGTGTTGTCGAAAACACCAAGTCTCAAAGTTGTGATAGAGCATAATCAGGTGCTTATTCAGAGCCATACCAAGGACAGAGTTCCATTGCAGCTCGATGACTAGGTGGAAAGACCACAGGCCACCCATGGCTCGCTCTTGCCCTGAAGCAATGGACACAACAGCTGCTCCACTAAACAACAAAAAGCCACCCGTTATTTTCTGTTGTTGGCGTGATTTTAGGTGTTTGTTTTGTGTGTGGCTTCTGTTCATTTTTAGTGTGCCACAAACAACTTGACAAGTCTTTTGCAAGCTCATACCGTTTTTTTTTTCATAGGGGGTGATTCCATCCATTGCTTCCCTCCATCACCAGCGCTTTCCCCTGAGATCTCTGGGAACTGTTTGGATGCCTAGATCCATGTTGTGTTTGTTGGGATGACCCCCGACAACGGCTTCGGATTACCTTTTGGTTTCCCTTTACCACCGAGCAAAAAAGAGGGGCACCCTCCAAACAAACAGACACAGCCAGATTCATTCGTAGGGCAGGCGGTTTGATCGCGCAGGACTGCCGCGCGCCGGCGGTGGCCAACGCTGCCGAGCCCTCGTGCCTCGAGGGGCACTGGGTCACCTCCGGAAGGCCTTCCGGCGATCGGCGGGTCGCTTTTCTTTTTCAACCTCCCCAGTGTTTCCAGTTGCAATACTGTGGATGGTTGCGAAATCCGCCTAGGCACCACTCTGAAACCCTGAGAAACCATTCTTCGTTGATCTTTACAGGGGAATCATTTTTTTCTCGGGTTTCCTAGGTGGTGCGAAATGGATTTCGTCCTTCCACAGGTGTCCTTTTGAGTTTCGTTTGGCTAGACATGGGCTTGACTGGTTTGGATCGGTTTTATTCCATTTACCAGCGGGTCCTTCCCGGGCATCCCTAGGGTTTTTTTTTTCGTGTTTTTTGGGGGTTAGTTAGACTGTTAGTCTTGGTTTCGGATGTGTTTAGGGAGTCAGACCATGGGAACCGTGGATGGACGAAATCCGTTTCGCAACACAAAAGAGAGTCTGGAAAGATTCGAACCATGGTTTCACCCACGGGGCAGGATTTCGTCCATCCACAGCGGGTAGCCAAGGGAACCACCACTGCAAAACCAAAAGGAAGATGGCGAAGGGTTACCTAGTACACTGGGAAGTGGCTAAGACGGGCTCGTTTGGAACCTCCAAACGTGGCAGTTTCAATCGAATCCACCGGAAATTGGTCAACTTTTGAAGGGGAAATCCTGCGACCCCTGTTACACCCCTTGTGTTTGTTTTTTGGAGGGTCTTTTCTTGGTTGATGTTCCAGGGAAACAAAGGGGCCGCCATTTCTTTGGGGGGGGTCCCCTAGGAGCAACAATAGGATGGGTAACCAGGTTTCTCCAAAGGAGTTGGGCGGGATGTGGAGAGTGTTGTGGAAAAAGGTGCACGGAAAAGTTGCTTCCTGGAACCTGCCCCAATGGACTGATCCACTTGTTGCTTGAGAACTGAGGTGAGTTTCCTGCTGACCAGAAGCATGTTACCTCGTTGCAGGCGCCCAAGTTTGGCCAAGTAACAGGTGGACTTGGCGCGGGTTTTGGATTCAGTCCGGGACAGACCACAAAGATGTTTTGGGGGTCCAGTGAGTTTCAGGGAGTTTTTCTGAGCACCGACCGGTGTGGCCTTTTTTGAGGCTCGGGCTGTTGTCACGTCAGGTCAAAGTACCTTGTTGATTTTCCAGTTGCTTCCCCTTGTGCCTCTTCATCAGTTCAGTGGATACAACCTCCTAAGTGGCAAAGTGGTCTTGACGGATCTGGTTGGTATCAGACCTCCAATGAGGTCCGCTCTCCCTTTGGGAGGGGTTTCACTTTAAAGTCGCCTCCCCGCCAAAAATAGTACTGCCAGTTGTTTCCCCAAGGAAATCCACTTTTGCTGTCTCAGCAAGAGAGTATCCACACCCAACAGATTGAAGTTCTTTTGTGCTGGGGAAAAGAGCCGCTATAGGCGTTGTTTTCTCCCCAACTCCAAGGGTTTATGGGTACCCTGTTTTGAAGGCTACCCTGTTTGGTGTGTTTGGGAAATTAGACAGCATCTTTTTAGAGAGAAGCCATTTCTTTATGGGATTTTCCACTGCTACTTTTTGCTTTGAGGGAGGGGTCCCTGTTGTTGGGTCCAAGCCACTATGTATATTTTGTTGTTTTTTTGTGTTGGTTTTTTGAGGGGGGAGATGTTGCTCTGGATAGAGGGATACCGCCATAATTTCGAGCAGACCCTTTTCACTGTTTTTGGGAACTTAGAGGGAACCAGCCACATTTTTAAACACACAATTGTGTTTTACGTTGTTTTTTTTAATGACATGTTATTTTTGTTTTTTGAGGGTAGAAATACCCAGCTTGGCTTTTTCGGGTTGGGGCTCCCCGTGGTTTGAGAAGATCCAAGCCAGCCAGGCAGTGCACGGCCCGGTGCCTGCCGGGCTTCGTGGCCTCCGTGACCTTCCTGAGCTGCAGCTTGGGCACGCTGGCGCCCCCGCGCTTTCTCTGCCCCTCGGATCGGAGGAAAAATGCGGCGGCCGGCGCGGGGGGATTTTTGGATTTGGTTTCGTGGGGGTGGCCATGAGCACGCGAAAAAGATCTCATTTTTTCCTTTTTTTTTGGTGGACCTAAGTCCAGAAATCCATTGGATCCTTTCATGCTGAAATGAACTTGAATTGGCTTCCCCCGTTGGTTTTGAAGAAAAGTGGTGCGAGAGGGGAATGAGAACTGGAATGACCCCCAAGAAAAGACACCCAAGTGGCTTCCTTGAAGGTAATCCCACGGTTCATTCCCAAACTTCGGACTCGGTCATTCCCTACTGAGCAGCAAGTATTGGTGGCTCGTTTTGTGGCTTGGACCCTCCAAACTGGCGATTTCAGGTTTTACGGTTGGGTTCTCTTTAAAACCGCAACACAACAGTTACCAGTCCTCGGTCCAGTTTTTTCATGGCCGAAGAATAACGCCCAGGAAAAACAACAACGCGTACATTGGATGGTTGTGACATTCTGCACCAGTTGGTAGGTGTTGTTGTTTTATCCATGAATTTCTAGGGGCATTTCCGCCGACGTCACGACAGCAATGTTGTCGCGGAGGTTTCGGGGAATCGAGCGGACAAACATCCAACAAATCCCTAGACCCTGCTGTGGACGGTTGGGAACTTAATTTCGCACCACGAAATGAAAACATGGGAATGAAACCGGATGGTTTGTTCCGGGATATGGTTTGTTCCGGTATTTAGGTTGGGGAATCACATCAGAAACTCAGGGTTTCTGTTTTTTGGATTTCGCAACCATCCAGCGAATCTCCAAACCACAATTTATGCTCAGGGTGTTCGAGCCATTTTCCCTTTGTGGAACCTCCAAAAGTGGCACTTTCCCCTGAATTCACCAGGGAATTGGTCAACTTTTGAGGTGGACTCGTGACCGCTGTCTGCTGGGTAGGTGCAATATGACATAGAATCAGAACAATATCGTTAAAAATACAAGCGCTCTAGGGGTTGATTCCAACCATATTTTTCCAACCATTCTTTGCAATCACCAGATCCATTTCCCCTGAGTTTCCGGAGGTTTGACTTGAAAGATTCGGATCCCTGAGAAAGAATGGTTGGACAGTACCCCACCAAAGGGGCCCTCTGGTGAGTTTTTCGCGTAAACAGAAATAGGGTGGGTTCCAGTAGACACCCCATGCGTCTTAGACATTCCCAAGAAATCCCTAATTCTACATGCACAAGGCCAGAGCTCAGGTAATGCAACCGTCAGAACAATTACGAGTATGTGTCCCACGATAAATCATGACTATGGCTGCAAAGTCGAATTATCAAAAGGACCTTGATTCTTTCATCAATATTTGAATCTCACACTTAGCTTTCCCAAGGGGTGGGGCACTACCCCCAACAAAGGGTCGGTTGCATCAGCACTTTTCGGAAAAGATGGTTTGGCTTGGCGGTTTGGAGGTAGCGTGGGAAACCCCATTTGCCCTAGAAGGGGCTCAAATCCGCAAGCCAAGCCAAACCCACAAATTCAGGATTGTCTGATGGTGGGCACAAGTGACAACAGAAGTGAAAGTGGGGCCCGGCCCCTGCGTGTTTCCAAGGGTAAGCCAATCACAAGCCATGGCAGATTGCATGTTGTTTTTCATGACCAGAATGCACCATCGCCATGGAAACTCACACACACCATGGATCTAATTTGGTCTTTTTAAGGGGGGGTTGGGTGGGGTGGGGTGTAGTCTGTTGCTGAGTGGGCTCCCAAGGGGAGATATGACTATACCACTGTGACTTGCCGTAAGGCACCAACGCGAGCATCGTAGACACCGGAGATGCCGACGACGTGTGGGGCTCTCTGAACACGAGGTGGGACACTCACCAAACACGATGCGCTTTTCTAGGGGTGGCGATTATAAGGGTCTAAATAGTTAATGGTTTGCTACTATCGTCCTGACTGGTTCTAACGTACGCCACAACGCCATTCTGATTATTTCCGCCCTTGCACTGCCCGTTTCGCATGCTTCGGGCAATTGGTTTTAAGGGTCTTGCTCTTGTTCGTTTCATATGATTCCCAGTATCTCAGACAAATGTGGGTTGGTACTCAGGCCAAGGGGTGGATTTGTCTGAAATCAATTGGACCGGTTCCTTTTGTCCCTTTCAAGCAACCCAAAGGTGGGGTCCACGAGGACATACCCATGTACTTCCACGCTTAGAGCCTCTACTCTACCTTTTGTTGTTCACTTCTTTTGCGCTAGGGTTCTTCTTTCCAGTTGACCTCCAAAAGTCAACGAGTCCATCGGATCTTCCATTTGTTCTGGCAAGACTTAGGTGAGCATACGCCGCTCTGAAAGCCTCCCGTGTCAGGCCGGCGACTGCTTCCACAACTCAAGCTTCCTCTTCGAATTCCACAACCGCGGCAAACGAGGCGGGGGTTCCTCGATAGTGGTTCACTGCCTCCAACATGAGCCATGGAAATTGGGATTTGTTCAGCGCTCGGGGACTTTTACTAAACTTGTTCCAGCTTGCACCAAAGGACAATCATGTGTGTAGCATCCTAGAACCCAATTAGGCCAAATCCATTTAGGGCCACCCAGAGTGGTATCCTCTAAATCTCTGTTTGCTCGGTGCATTGCCCCCACTAAAAGTGCTCAGACCCAGTCAGCCTGTCAATCGCGCAGTTTCAGACTAGCTCGCTAAGCCCAAGCCAAAGATGGGTTAGCCTGGGATGCAATTCTTCAGGTTTTGGATCTCATTGAAATTGTGTTGCTGATCATCTGAAATCATCAAAACTCTGGAGCTGGAGCCATAGCTCCAGGCTTCGTAGGCTTCGGGGGTTCCTCATTTCAGGTTTCCGATCGATGGAGTTCCGGGTTTCTTGGGTCAAGTTGTGCCACTTTTCTTGGAGCTTGTGCTGTGAATACACTGTTCACCCCGGACGAACAAGCCACGCATGAGGGGTTCGGGTTTTTATTGCCGCTAGTCGGATAAGGGGGTTCTGCCAAAAGTGAACCGAATCCCTTCTACGATGGGTTGCAGCCACTTCTTCATAAAGCATGAGCCGATTGCTAGCAGTATGTTCGTAAGGTAAACGAGGTTTGGTCAACATGAATTGTCGTCCATGCTTCGTTTCAGAGAGTTGCGGGCACACATTTCCTTCCAGAAGCCAGGCGACGAGCCCGAATTTGGGCTCAATGGATCTGAGCAAGTCTGCGAACCACTGGCCTGATAGCGCACCGCTTCAAAGACCGTCGCGTCCAAAGGTTCAGAGATTCCGAAGCTGAACCGGAAGTGATCATGTTCAGGGGTCCTAACACGAGCGATTCCTCCTTGAGAGGCGTCTTTTGAAAATGTCACTTTGGACCGAGCAAAAGCCGGGTGAGCAGGTGTGGTGGTTTCACTTTCAGTACTGTCAATTGGAGTTGAAACTCTTAGGCGACTCTTAGGGGCTGGCCGGATCTGTTAGCTTCTTGAAGGTTACCTACAAACTCAACTCGCAACAAAATGTTGCTTTTCTTCTTCATGGAGATCTACTGGAGGTCTGGTCAAATGGTGTCACTGTGTGTTTCTCATAAACATAAAAAATAAAAATAAAAAAATAAAATTAAAAAAAAATGAACAAATCGGATCCCGCTTTCTGAAAATCTCAGGCTGTGCCAATGAAATCAGAGCAGTTGTTCAGGTGCAGAGTGAGGAGACTGTGCTTCTGAACCTGGTGCTAGCCTTAAGTCTGGAGTCTCGGGGTGGGCCACGTGGCAACATTTGCTGGCACAAACAAGCCAGGGAAGCCAATGAGCTTGTTTACACCATCCCAGACCCGCCTTTCGCGCCTGGTTCTCCTTTTTTTTGGAGTGGCGCCCCTTGCAAAAAAGGAAGGCTACCGAAAAAGATGGGCGCCCTGTTTCTCCACAGCCACTGGGGTCTGGGAAGCGTCTTATTTTAAACATGTAGCTGCCTGGTGACTAGACAAGGCAATTCTCTAAAGTTCTGGGGGTTGATTCCAACATGTTTTTCAATATCGTTCTTTTCAAAAACCGGATCCGTCTTTCCAGAGTTCCCGGAGGTTTAGAAAGATTTGGATTGGGTTAAGAATTAATTTCGTGGGATGAGAATCATAGCCCCTATTGGGGTCCACCGGTTGCTTTTTCCCCCCAGCCGCTTGAAGGTCTTGCTTGGTTGGTTTCCTTTCAATCTGAACAAGAAAGAGCGTTGTTGTTTTTCCAATTTTGCCATGGTCGAACACCTTTGTTTGGGTTGGTGAGGATGATCAGCCCCTCCATAGCAACTTGGACAACTTTGATAGGAGTTCTTAAGGGATCCCTGACCCTGAGCCACATAGCGAGTTTGACAATGGCGCGCATTAAAGACCGGGACTGCCCATCCCCGCATGACAGATCTGACATGTGCCATGGCTTTCCAGGGATGGTGTTGGATTCCTCAATGGGGAGTGTTTAGACAACAATGACATATATAAATATACATATAATCATAATGCATTATGTACGTGTAACCATATTATGTTCCCAACTGCGGTCACCAATCCTAAACACCCAAGGCCTTAAAGTTGGCGATGGATGTGAGAGTGGGCCACCTCACCATGCGTGGGATGAGCTGATGTTGTTTTGGGAAGATGGGAATCCAATGCACAGCCAGTGTCTGGGTGCTCAGACCACTTTGCACCATGTTTTTGGGGTTGGGGGGGAGTTGGGCTCACCCCAGTGACATGCGTGGTTAGCACTTGTACCCTTCGTGGGTTGACCATCCAAGCCCCAATTTCCGCTCCGGTTTCTGGGCAGCGGCCGACTCTGCGATCATTCCGTACCGAGCACCAGCAAGACCAACGATTTGTGTGCCCGTCCTTTCAAATGTGCATTCAACCCCTGAAGGTTCACCTATAGCCCACTTCCCTTGTTCACCAGGCAAGTCTCTCTGTTTTTTTTGGGGGGCCATCCCGGATGTGCGAAACCGAGTTCACCAGTGAGACCTTTGTTCTCGCAGCGGCCTCCACAGGTGGAGCAGCTCGGCAGCAAAAGCTGAGGTATCAAAAAGACACATGGCGTCCGCTATGGACCACTAGGCTGTTTGTTCAGCCCAATAATGAAGGTGGCCGGGCAAAACGGACCCCGATTCGTGTCCACCATGTCCGGCGCCCTCTGTTCAGCACGCCGAGTTGTTTGTCACTCGCCGGCATTGGACTTAAAGCTTGAGAAGGATTGAACGCAATCATTATACTCAGTTGTCCAAATGCGGTCCATGTTTGAACCTGTTGTTTGCCAGTGTTGGTAATTTTTTTGTAGTGACCCCAAAAGCTGAACCTTGTATTTCCGGGCCCAAACTGGGCAACTGAGTATAAGGATAAGGAAGCCTATGGATCGTGAGCGCCACCGTTTAGAAAGTCTCGACCCTGGCAATGAATCCCAAAACCCGCGTTTGCCGGAAGGCACTTGGGAAGCTGATTTGAACTGTAAACCCGAGTCAGGAAGCGAGGTCTGTTTTCCTTCAAGTTCATTTGGGGTTGGCCAACTCAATGGCAGACCGGTTGCCCTCTTTCAAACGGGACCCCTGAAGCTACAAGACCTTTGGCACCTCTTGGCCGGAGGTCTCTTTCCAAGGACCCAGCCGAAGCTTTCGGAGGCCTTATCTTTGAATTCGTGTATTGCGCCAATTCGGGGATTGGTGACACCTCCAGAAGCCAACCCCAAGGAAAAACATGCGCTGACGGAGGTAGTCACTCACAGGCAGGGAGTCAAGGAACCAAGCCAGGACCAAGCCGTGCCAAAGTCGCGCGAGGCGAGGCGCGAGGAGAAGCCTTACGCATAGCGGCCTTCAAGCTGCCATATGTCCATGTAACCCTCCACAAAGACGAACATCGCGACATGGGAACAGGCCCTTGGTTTTGATGTTAAGGGGGTGTTTTTGTTTAGCGGGGTTTCCCCTATTGGTTGGCTTTAGATGGAAACCAAGCCCACTTTTGCTCCCATGGTGGTTTTCCCCCTGCAATAGGTGAGCCCAGGTTTGATTTGGACTCAGTCGACGTTTTTGGGACTGAACCCAGAAATCCCCCGAAAAAGAAACCACAAGTTGGATGTTCAGTTCGTGGTCGTTCCCTCATTCTTTGCTGCGAACTAGGAAGTTTAAAGGGCCCGGTTTCGTTTGACTCAATCGAACCAGATTCTGTTCGGGGTGATGTTTGCAGAAATATCGGAAGCCCTGATGAAACATCTATTTGGGCGTGTCTTTTTGAGGATACCCATGTTTTGGCGGTTTTTCAGGGAAATCAACAGAACATCCGCCATTTTTGGAGGGACCCCTAATAAAAAGACACCCATCACCCATCTGTGTTCTCCAAAAAATGGGTCCGTCCAAGCTGACGCAAGGCAAACAGCTGCGAACGTCTCGCCGAGGCCTGCGGACTTTTCTTGGTGTGCTGCGTCTTTCTGCGGCTGCTGCGGCGCCGGCGCCGGCAGAGCAACCACGTACGGGAGGCCTGTTCGAACCGGGGAGATGTTGGGTTAAGGGCCTAAATAATTCGAACGTGGGAGGATGCGGGGTACTTAGGAAGCAAGCTTGGTCTCACTTCCTGAGTTCATGAACTTTAAACTTTTTGGGGTTGGACCATTTCAATGGTAAATATAAAGTTTGGACTTTTTTTGGGCCATCCACTCGGCAAGTGAGTAGTCATGACCATAGAATCAAATTCTTGGTAATCCTTCTTCTCCCTGCGTTACCTGCTTGCAGGCCCACAGATGTGCCGTATTGAAAAGCCACCTTTAGGGGTTGAAGGGATGGTTTACCCCTTAGGGCTAAACTATGTAGTGGATCACATAGGAGGCCATAACATAAGGAGCTTGAACCATGACTCACTTGGATTTATGCAATTTTCTGCCATGCCCAGACTTTCAGCGGGATCTTTCCTGTTCTTCCGTTTGGGAAGTTTTGCTGCAGAATCAGCGGAACAAAAGGGATCAAGAGACAAGACACAGGCCCTCGAAAGCCCAAGAACCTATCAGTTTCATCACTCGGGAGCGCCTCGTCTCAGACGGGTTTGCAGTTGTTTGTCTTTTTTGAGAGCTTCACTTTCAACTCGACTGCCCAAAAAGGGATCTTTTTTTGACAGAATCCTGATATAGGCTTCTAGCTGCAAACCTGGTCAGGCCGTGCTTTGGACATGGGTTGGAAAATGGGATCAACGGTTGGAAACATTTTGCATATTTGTCCATGAATAAAACACATCTTCAGGGCACCCAATGCCGGAAAGGCAATGCGGGGCAGCGGTCATTGATTGCTTGACCAAATTCCTGCTAATCCACCCCTTAGCAACTTGTACCTCAAACTGTGTGATGGTATCCTTCATGACTACTAGCATACTACCCTGGGTCTAAAAGGATTAGACTCAAAACCAAGATCAACCAAAGGTTGAAACATTGTGTTGCTTATTGCCGTGCTGCATGCACGCAGAATGTAAGTTTGGTCAGTGTGTAGTCTGTAGTTGATTTTGTCCCCGTCCTTCAGGGCACACTAAACGTGCACTAATCAGCGGGTTCGGACTGCTTGCGCCAGGGGACAAATGTGTGCAACATCCATTTGGGACCCATTTGAGGCACGGTCAAAGATATTGGTAGTCTATACGCGGCTCCCAGCCGTCCGGTTTTTTGGGTTTGTCTTTTTGGGGTTTAGAGGTACGGCCAGAGTTATTTCTATAGTGCTTTGGGAAGGACATCGGGAACCACACTACACCACGCACACAAATCAGGAAACTGACAAGAGTCCACTGTCCTCTTGGAGTAACAATGATTTCGACCGTTGCTCATGTGGGTGTGTCTTTTGTTTGAGTGTACCTTTTTGTTGTTTTGGTTTACAGGGAAACCAAAAGGAAAGCCACAATTGTGGGGGTCACATACCCATTTGCCGTAGTTCGTCCTTCTTGAAGGTTTATTTTGTGTGTGTTTTTGGCTTTCCTTTTGGAATCTTTTTTGCAACCGCAAAAACGCCGGGTACCAACTCCAAAAAAAGGACGAGCCACCCTGCCCTAGCTCGATAATTCGACAGGCCGCCGCTGGTTGGGAGTCGGCCATCGAGGAGATCCGACCAGCGCAACTCGGAGCAGCCAGTTGAGGGGTGCCTTTGCTTTATGGCTGTTACATGGCTGTTACTTGCTCTGGGATCATTGTTTTGACGGGTTCTGGGGGTTATCAAAGTCAGAAAATGGCGGTTGTTTCCGTTTAACCCACCACTTAGGGGGTGACTTTGATCATGGTAAAATAATGAGGCCAGCTGCTGGTGGTGCTCGGTCGGGAATGACCGAGTCCGGGCGAGGGATTCCCTTAAAGTAACCATAGGGGATGGTTTATAGGGGTCATTCCCGCATTCCCTACTCAGAACCAGCAAGCTATTTGGGAACGGATCTTTGGACTTTAGCTTTTTGGTTGAAACTGGTCGGAGTTTCCGAATTGGACCCAAAGATGAGTCACTTCTTGCAGAGGAGTCAACAGCAACCACGTTTGTTCCCCCCTTGTGGTTTGTAAAAACGCCAAAAGGAAACCGGGGACAAAGACCTGACTCAACCCAGCCACCTCGGCTACTCCCTTCAAATCCAACTGGCTGGGTCATGTTTACCATCCAGGTGTCCTTTTTTCGTTTCGCCCATCCAAAAAGGCCCCCCTGTTTTTTTTGTTCAAAGACCCATGTTGGGCCTTTGCCTGCTTTCGGTGGAATTGGTGTGCCTATGTGCATTGGCGAAATGGAACTTCCCGCACGTGGGTTTTGTGTCTATTCCGATTTCTTTGAGCTTTTGTGGTGGTTTGCATGGATCTGGCGACAATGGTCGAGTCCATAGCCCGGATCAATCTGCGGTCACATATTTTTGAAGCTTTCCAGGTGCTGCCTGGATTGACTGGGAGGAATCCAATTGCGAGGGGTGAGACAAAGGTCGATTCCACACATCTCCAGAGCGTCCCTCTAAACTCATCCAAAAAGGGTCCCCGCATGTTTCTTGCAAGTCTTACAAGGTTTAGGGAAAATCAACCCCCGCCCCAACACAGACACAAACACACACCTACCCACACACACACACACACTCGCAAGGGACCCCCGCAACCAGCGAGCTACCCTGAAGCATGGGTATTGCTCAAAGTTTTGTGGCGATTCCTCTTCTTATATTAAGGACAGTTGGAGGATCCAGGTACCCTTTGGGTCAACGTTTGGTACCATCTTACATCTTTGCCCATATGTATTTGGGTCAACGTTTGGTATCATTTGTTGCCCTCGACTTCACTGTCGTTTGCAAGCTGTTTACGCATTGTTTTTTTGGTGCTGATCATTTGTAGTGGGCTGCAAACAACTTCGTTTTGTGTGCTTCCGTACAAGGGGGTTGCAAAGTTCTTCTAACATGATTTTGGGGAGGTTCCGTGCACCATGCCCAATTGATCGAGGGCTTTGACCTTCCAGACACCTAGGATGGACTCCCCGCGCCGTAGCCCCCGGCGGCGCAAGAAGAGCGACGCTCGGGACAAGAAGATATGAGTTTGTCGCAAACGTAGGTTTGCCTTTTGTTCCCGTCAAAGCTGCGAAAAGGGGCACACCCATATCTTATATTTGTTGCCTAGCTCATCGGTACTAAAGTGGATGACATGAGGCACACGATGTCAGTTGGGCACACAACTAAAGATTGACTGTGGCTCGAATGAGACAGGGACACAACTGAATTAATATCTGGAAATCCCAATTCCGCGAGGGCTTGGACCCTGTCTCACATCTTCCAGGCAAAGACAGACCTAGGCAGCTGGGAATCCGATTTTTAGAGGCTCAAAATGTTGTCCCCGCAACAAATCTGTCCTACGGGGTGTTCCCCTGAGTGGTCTGTCTTCTTTCGGATTTTAGATCTCGTTTCGGTCCCAATTCTGATGTGGGGCTAATGAATATCCCAGGCCCCAAAATGACCATGGGTATCTGTTCGCATGTGGTGCAAGTATTTGTTTTTGGTGGTTTCCCTGATGGTCATCCCATGTAAAGGACCTTTTCATCAACCCCTTGTGTCGCGAAAGCTGTTGAGCTCAGAGTCTAGGCTGCCATGGGGTTGATTGATTGAGCTTGCCAGGTTGAGCGACATCTACCATGAACATGCGTCCGCACATTGGATTTATGGCTCGGTTTAAGGTAAGTTTGCGTTCAGAGTTGGCATCAACAATGCCAAGGGTTCAACAGGAGGTTGAACAAGGGTGGGGTCAGCGTTGTAAGGGCTACGTCCAAAAACTAGGGCGATATAAGTCACAGGTAAAGCCTGGGTACGTGAAGGTTAGGGACAGTGAATGACAGTCGCTGCCATAAATGTGTGCTGATATTTGCCCTTCTGATTCTTTACCATGTCTTCTTTGGGGTAGACCCCTTTGGTGATTTGCCAGGTTTTGTTAAGTCATTTAGGGTTGGTTTATTGTTTGGCTTTTGGGGACTGCTTTCTCTTTATTCAGGAGAGTTTCGGATGGTTACGCTTCGGCCTGACGGTTAGGCAAAGCCTTTCTTTGCTCCAGTGCAAATGGATTCCAGGCCGGACTTTGATTGACCACTTTTCGGGTTTGAACCATTTTAGGGGTATTCACAAATTTGGACTCGCTCTGACCAATCCAGTGATCACTGCATCGCAAAAACGGAGTGCAATCGCACGGCTTTGGAACAGTTCAATGGCCCTACGAATTGGGTCCAAACGTCTTTGGGGTCTTAAGAGGGACACAAATTGTTCCTGTTAAACTCCGGGCGTACCCTTCGGAACCGTTTGAACCTGGTGTCATGTTTGTTTTTTGCAACGGATCACTGACAAACTAGGTTACCTAAGTTTCAGCGCAGAAGCATCGTCATGATTGTTCGATTTGATAGGAAGCTCGAGTAGAAAAAGGTAAACCCAAAGTCTCAGCAGAGGCAACCAACCCCTGGTCAGACAACTTTCCAGGTCTGGGCTGAAACACAGCAGATCACTATCCTGGTGCGGATCCGAATCTTTCAAGCACCCCAAACAAGAACCAGGTGTTGCAAAAGGCAATGGTTGCAGGTATTGAAGGTGAGCCCTTGAACTGGAAAACCCTGAGACTGGTTTCACCCTATCTGAGGGCGTGACAAGCGGCTCTGAGACGAGCGAGGCTCTGGGTGGGATACCTTTGAGCTGCAAGGAAGAAAACATTCGCCCAAACTATGTTTGCCTCCATGTTGTACATTTGCCAAACAGATATGCTGACATACGTGTCCAGGAGGTATGGAGGGAACTGGCGACTGAGAGGGCTTGTAGTTGTTGTAAACATGCAGATAGGATGCATCTCCCAAAACAAGTGCACTTTGAGCCTTTGAGTTATTAAGACAAGGGTAGAACAAATCAAGAAGGAAAACAACTGGGAATGTCAGTTTGCCTGCGTAAATTACAACGGTATCATCTGGGGATGATTAGCGCGAGCTCACCATGATGAAGATCCTTTACTTGGGGATCCCTTGGGGTGTTGTCATTGCTTGTCCTTCAGATAGGATGCATGTTGAGACAATGCAGATACCAAGCACAGCCAACAGCCTGCAACTTGTTACATCGTCATAATATATAACTCCGGTCCTTGCAAAACCACACACTTTGTTTGGTGAGTCCGAACATCGCAGGAGAAGGTCCTGAACAAACTGGCTCACTAGTTTGCAGGTTTGGATCATGCCAGCGATTTATCCAACAGATTGGCTCTCTAATGATTTAACGTTGTGCTGTTACACTTTCGAGTTTGCGCTGTTGAACCACCTGCGAAAAAGCCCTTCACAAACCACATGAATCTTGAAACACCTGAGAGTGTTGCTGGTGATGCCTTGCCCTGTTACATAGATTATAACAGATACCGCATTGTCTTGGCAGGCGGCCAATGTCAAAGCATCACTCGAGGTGTGTGTGAAGCACTACTTGTTGCTTACTAAATACATAGGCATATGAGAATGTCATGTCGTGTGTTGCGTTTGTCTGTGTGTGTGGTTGCTTGTTTGTTTGCTTGTTTGTTTGTTTGTTTGTCTGTTTGCTTGTTTAACGTGTTTGCTTGTTTGCTTGCTTCTTTGTTTGTGTGGTTCTTTGTGTGTTTTTTGTAATTTGCTTGAATTTGTTTGTTTGTTTTTGCTTGTCCTCAATCAAGCGTAGCTGGTTTACTTGCCGGCCTGCTTGCCACCAACTGAGTTCCCATTCACAGGCCGGTGAGGAGGCACGCCGCGCGAGTCGAGTCAAGCCGACGTTCTGTTTCTCACACGGAGGAACAGGTTTTCTGCGCGTGGATTTTGGTTGTTTGTGTGTTTTTCTCGAACCTAGAAAGATGTTAAAGCAAACACGAAGACACATGGAGGGTGCCCTTGAAAAACTAAATGCCAAGCATAAGGTGTTGTTTCTGTATAGCCACTGCAGGTTTGGTTTGCGGAGCTGGGTTGGCATTTGTTGTGTGCCTGCGCGTCAGTCTTTTCCATTGTCCGGCTAGCCCCAGGATTTTACCCCCCCCCCCTGGTTCTTGCAGAGGGAACATGGGAAACCACCCCTCACCCCCAAAGCACCAACGCCAACGCACCAATGTGAGGGAAGCTGAATTCTGGACGAATGGAACTGGTGGGACCGTGCAGGCTAGTTTGTAGACCCGACCCGTCAGAAACTGCGCAAACTGCGCACTGGAGAAGGACCTCGGGCTTTGAATCACTTTAAACAAGCAAAGGGTGATACGGTGCATGGACGAATTCATGCACCACTTTGAAATCATGGGCAACCATTGTGTGTTCGTATTTACAGGGGAATCATCATGCCAGGGTTCTTTTAGGTGGTGCAGGATTTTGTCCATCCACAGTATGGGCGCTGAAAACTCTGAAAATCAAATGGGACACCTTGTGTGGTTCTTGAGCCCGAAGCTTCTCCATTCATCGTTCAGCTTTGGGCGGCTCGAGCTGAATCCAAGAAGCGCGCATTTGTGAACCTCGGCCTTTGGTTCCTCTCAGCTGATGTTCAGAGCCTCGGAGCCTTTTGGAGCGGCAGCGGGGTCCCAAAAGCACACACACTCCGCCCTTTTGTTAGGCGCAGGCATATCGATCCATATCTTATCACAGTACATGAAAATGACCTTGGTGGCTTGCGTAAATTGCCAGGCAAGCTCCAGTTGGGGATAGCCCGTAGTTTACTCGCATGTTTGTTAGCACCTGGGGCGCAAACCCACAAAACCCACCTTCGGACCCAGGCGAAGGGGGAGCTCTTCGAGATCGATGGCTTGGAAGGCGCGGCCAAGCTTTCCTCGAGGTCGAGCAAAGGACACTACCCTAGACTAGAAAAAACACAACCTGGGGTCTCAAATCCTTTGCCTATTGCAAGTTGACGAAGTATGAAACATAGTCTTCCATTTGCTCAATATGTTTATTGTTTTTCCTTTTTAGTTCTAAAAGAAATCTATCACTACATGGCAGTATGTTTTCTTACAGGGGGGCTGAACCAAATGGAAGTATTCTGAAAACGTGAGTTTTGCTGCCCTGGGCTTATGCGACACAGACCACACCCAAGCTGAGAACCGGACAGAAGATCGTTTAGGGGCTCATTTGCTCCCCCAAGTACTGCTCATTTGGCCCTCATGTAGCCGTTCACTCGCCCTTTGCGTATTCTTCATGCATCCTTTGCTTACTTCTTAGTCACCTCGTTCATCTTTGTTTTATCCTTCGCTAAGCGTTTATATTCCCTGATATTCCCTTCACTCATCCCTGTACCCCGTATGTTCCGTCATTTACCTTAGTTGCCCTTGATTAGTTTCACTGTTGCTGGCGTGTCTTTTGGTTTGCTCTGTGCATGTTTGGTGGCTGCAAAAGGCAAAGTGTGTTGCTGCCATAGGGTTCGAAAGATAGGTACCATCATGAAACTAGCCGCTTGTGGGTTGTGATGGTCATCAACGTCTCGATAGGGATTGAGAAACATTACGAGGAAGAGCACTTCGGAGAAGACTGGCTCAAAAACTTGAGTCCCCAGGCCAGATGGTAATATTGCTTTTCCTGGTGTCCCACTGCGGGAGGTGAGAGAGGTGAAGAATGATGTATTGACGCGGCAGTCCAGTCGACTTCCCCAAGACCTCCACTGCCGTTGTCTGGCATTTTCGGGGCTTTTTCACCCTCCACTACCAGCAAACGAGTGCCCGGATTTTCCCTCATGCAAATTGGAGGTTTGGGAATCAGGTCTTTGTTTTGCTAGGTACCCAACCCTAAGATTTCTTGGCGTACCTTGAGCCATGGTTGCCCGCTACTCATCGGGATGAATTGTGAAGTTCTGGTGCTGGGGTCTCCGAGGCTGCAAAAGATGGCAAAACATGGCGAAACCACAATCAACGCTTGCCTTGATTTCCTCTGGTTTCCATCTTCCCTTTTGCAGGGACTGACTAAGCTGGATGTGCCCAGGGCTGAGCAACCCATAGGAACACAGGCTCTATGGCTTTGGGGATCCGTTGTAAAGGACCGAGCCCATGACCGAAGCTGAGTTGTTCAACTTGCTAGGGTCGTGAGGGATCCCCTTTCCAGCCATTCTCCAGGGATTGGGACTGGCCGCCTCGTAATTCTTTGCGGTATAGGTTTTCATGGACTTCTGGTGTTATATTCCTGCTGGTTCTCAGCAGGGAATGTGGGACTAGCCCCTATAACCCATCGCCTATGGTGTCCTTTAAGGGAGTGAAATGGTTCATTCCCAACGCTCTGGGCCATTCCCTACTGAGCGCCAGCAAGTATCAGGCATTCTCCAGACACCTCTACCATCTGGCAAAGTGCCAACTTCGGATCTATCAGGATGTAGTCGGAATGAGAACCATACGAATCAGGGGTGGTCTCCTTTGAATTCTTTTGGTGGGGAATCAAATAGTTTCAGCAGGGTCTTGGCCAACATCCGTGGCCCATCTGGGGCATAACACAAACAGCATATGTCTGCCTCTGTTCCATATTCAGTCTACCCTGTAGCATAATCCGAACAGCCCCAGGTTGATTCCATGGGACTAGCCAAATTGGCCACGGAGTACGGATTCAGGGACCTGCATCGGGTTCTGCTACACGGGCTCCGATCTCTTGCACCCAAGGGCAATCATATGTGCCTCCGAAAGATTGCAGCAGGCCCAAGTTGGCAACGGAATTGTTCCCTCCCTTCGGTTTTTCCCAGGTCGGACTCGGAACATCGAAAGCCGTTGCTGGTCCATTTCCTTGGGTTGTTCGTGGTTTTTTGTTGGCTGTGGTTGGGTTTTCATTTAGCCGGCAAGTTAAACTTGCAGGGGATCAGTTGGGGAGCCCAAGAATTCGAGGCCCAGAGGAGGTCAAGGAGATCTTGAGGCTGGTGGCCGGGAAAGATGCCAAGCCTGAGGAGGTTCAGGAGCGATCACCGAAAACTGGGGGGGGGGACATGATGGGACAAGCAAAGAGATGGATGTAGGCTCGGCTCTTCTGGGGATCCATTCCTTGGCTTGGGATTGTATTTGCCGGAAGTCCGGAGCCAAGCACCTCGTGGATAGGGATGCCCCAAAAAAGTGATTGCTGATGGGACAGCCAATTCAAATCCACAAGAAGCTTATGAACATAAAGCTGCCTTTCCTCAGGCACGGGAAAAGCCACAAAGATGCCTTTCTATTTGGCAGATTCTCGCCAAAAGTGGAATCAGTCAGTTCCCCCCTAGGCGGCTTGGATTGATGAATTGGAAGTTTGGGGGGGGGGGCTTTGTCATTTACCCTCCACAAGAGCTAGGTTTTCAAATTCCCAAACCACCAACTAGGAGTTGTTTGAATCAAACCAAAGGAAATGGTTCCCTGTTTTTGCCAGGGTCACTGGTGGCAACTAACACCGTCCACTTGCTTCAAGACGATGTTTGTCCTTTTTTGTCATGGGGACATTCTTGCCTGGCCCCACAAATCAGATCGACGAAGAGCCTGAAAGAGGAGCAAGATGGGGCAAGCAATACGTATCTGGCCGTTTTGGTTTGAACCCAGCAGTTGCTTTCTGGTTTAAAGCAAACAAGCAAGCAACTAAGCAAATAGAATGGGAATTCGAGACAGACACGATCAGCATGACGTTCGTCTTGTGGCCTTTGCAAGGACGGAGGCGAGCAAACGCCGCGAGAGGAGGAGCATGAGGAGATGCGCGCTCGGTTCTCCCCTGACGGTGCTTTTCAGCCTGCGTTGAATTTTGTGAGCTACCCGGATCTGGGATCATCTTCTGAACATGTTGTTTTTTTTTGAGGATGCCCCTTTTTTTTAACAAACCTGAAGTGAAACCATCAGGAAAGCTGCCCTTTTGGCTTTTGGGGGGTCCCTTAACAAAAGACACAGCTCCTTTTGCCGGCTGGAAGTTTTGCAGTCTCCCAGGATCCGGAATGGAAGGGGGAGCAGCAGGCCAGGGTTCTGGAAGGGAGGGGGTTGTTGTGGGAACCACCTGGGCTTGTTTGTTTTTGTCCTTTTGCCCTTGGACATCAACCAACAAAGGTCCTGAAAAGTATGGAGAATTCATTGGTGGTGCTTCGGGGCCACTCGCCCCTCAAAGCGAAGGTGTTTCTTCCGCCTGCCCTTGAGACCAGCCAGGTTTTCCAATATACCACCCTTCCCCATGCAACTGATATCAATTCGAGAAGCAAAGCGACGGGAGGAGTGCGAAAAAGAAAATGCCCGATCCGAAAGCTCGGTGTCCGCTTAGTTTACTTGCTTCTTCATAGGGGATCCATCTCCACACCCGCACACACACGCACATACTGGTGGTCGCTTTCATGACTTGTTTGGCTTCAATCAAGCTTTCTTTGTTCGACTCATTGTGAAACTCCTGACTCCAAACCTAACGAGGACCAAACCACGGGCAATGTTGAGCCCGAATTAATAAACCCGTCCTAGAATTTTGTTTTTGGCTCCCAAAGTGATGATTCCCCGCCAGGGGACAACCCCCCCAATCAAGTTCATCCAGTTTGTTTGTTGTTTCCTTTGGTTTGTTTGTGGGTCAAGCTAGAAACTTAGTGTTGCATCCTCGTGTTTCCTTCGGGCGAGAGTAGCCAGGAGTTCCCCATTTAGCCATCCTGACATGGGGACATGTGTTGATCTACTTTCACGGGAGCGCAACCCTCCGCAACTTGCAGGCGAACATGCCGGAGGACGCCGACTTTCAGGAGGGAGTTGACGAGTCAAGGGCCGTGGTTGTTGCAAGCTGGGTCGTTGGCTGCCCCAGACACCCAGCAGGTTGCTTCCCTTTTTGGATTTTTCGTGCTTTGGAGGGGTTTCCCTACACAACCAAACTAAAAACAAGCGCGATGTTTCTCCTTGGCTCTGGGTTGCGGTTTCTGTAACAAGGGAATCCATATGACAACGTCACTCAAAGGGCCATTTCCCACGAGAGTCCATCCTATCTGATTCAATGTTCTGCGAGCGCTGCGAAAGAGTTACGAGCGAACACCCGTCCCTTTCTTGAGCATTCCTTTGCCATGTTCCTGTTCTAGTATCGCTAAGATATTCACCAGGTTCAAAAGCTTCAACGCAATCACCCAAAGACCCGGCCCCTCCAGAATTGAGGTATGAATCTCTATTGTGACGCTCGGGCATCATTTGGTTGGATTTGTGTCCACCAACCATTTTGAGGGGTTCCCGGTTGCAATCAGTTGCCATATTATGGTATCAAATGGGAAGCCAACCCAAGCGTGCTTGATAGACATAAAGCTTCACTCGAATGATGTCCACCAAAGGGTTTTGGACCGTTAGAGTAAGTAGTGCAAACCCATATGCCATGCGGCACCCCAAATTGGGGTTCCCACATGCTATCAACGTCCTTTGCCCCACCTTGCTTCCCAGCCATTTGGCTCCTCAGCTTTTCAGGTATTTTGTGTTTAGTGGTTGGCTTTCCAACTTGAACCAAGTTCCCTGAGCTGCTCAGGGAAGGTGGGAGTTGAACCCTGGCCCAGTCCCCTTAAAGGAAGCCACCTGAAGCCACCAGTTCCGTTCGAGGATCTGCCGCCGCAGCCGGAGCCGGAGCTTCTGCTGCTGGCCATCGAGGCGGCGAACGAGGCCGAGGCGCCGAGGCCGAGGCCGGGGAGACCCGAGAGCGGCGGCTCGGTGCGACTCTTTTGGCGTTGGAACCCCATTTGGCGGTGGCTCAAAAAACCGGAATTCCAAAATGGAACCCTGTTAAGTGGAAACATGGACCAAAACCTGCGTAACCCCTCCTGGTTAATTGTGAGCCACACCCATTTCTGGTAGGATTTTTAAGGGGAAGCCAACAGGAAAATCGTAGTTTCAGGGTCCTCTAAATATGTGTTCTGTGCCCTGAAATGGCGGGCTTTCCTTGTTGGGTTCGCTTTTGAGTACCCAAAAGGGGGTGCCGCGCCTTTGAGAGAGACGCTCATGTGATATGGCTACTTGGATGTTCACCCAACTTAGTAGGTTCTATTTAATTTAACCATGAGTATTTGAAGTATCTGACATATCCGGGCAACTGGAGTTAGTCCCCTGACATAGTTTTTATCTATAAGTTGCTTGAACACCCAAGTGTGTGTCAAAGTTGGGAATTGGACCCAACATTGCGGTGTTGCTTTTAATTTCCTTGAAACCAACCTGAAAAGGGTACCCTCTAAGCACACGCAAACCTAAATATGTTGAGGTCATCTACATTTGAACCAGAAGCTGAAGATGATATGTTGTACCCCGTGGGCCAAGTTGCCAAACCCAAGAAAACGAGAACCAGAGGTTCATTCAATTGAGACCTGGGAATTAAAACGGGCTTGTTGGTTTGATTGGCTGGGCTTTGGGGTTGGTTTGACGAATATGTGCCCCTGGGGCTTGGGGAAACCCTTCATGTTGTCCAGGGTTCCTCTCAAGGGAAGTTTTGACCGAGTTTCGATGGCACATGTCAGCTGAGCAAACTGCTAGGCGGCTAGTTTGGGGAAGTCATGGCCGCGCCCAAACAAGTTTCTTGATAGTCATTCCCAATCTCGGGACCTTCCACACAATTGTTGCATATTTTAGGCTTGGCTAAATATGACACAGAATCTGAACGGCCCAATACATCCCGAAGAAACTTTCATGCCACTGGATCTCAAGAGAACATAAACGCTTCAGGGAAAAGCCTTTTGGAAGACACCTGGACAGGAGGGGAATGGAACAACCACACGAGTTGGGGGCGCCCCTCAATTTTTTGGCACTGGTTGGCGGCTCAAGTGTTTTTGTCTTGGGTCAAAGGTGCAGAAACACTTCACCTCAGTGAGTTCCACCCTAAAGATCCACGTAGGTGGCGCCAGGAATGCCCTACACCCCGCATTGGCACATTTGCCGACATGTGCAAATGATTTAGAATTGTTCGACCCATGAAGGTTGCGTAGTCACGGTTGGTGAGTTATTGCTTCCCCATTCTTTTCAACCATTGTTATTTTCAATATCCAGCTGTTTTTCCTGGGTTGTTGATGGTTTTCTGCAGAGATTCGGATCCCTGAAAAGACTTTTGGAAGCTTCCGCTAGGAGAAAACAAATGTTGGGCCCAACTTGATCAACAATTTGCCCCGCAGAAACCTCAGGTCGAAGGACGCAGTCTTCGAGGCGATGGATCGTGAGCTCGGCGAGGCAGGATCGATCCGGATCCCGGACCCAGCGCTGTCCTTCCTCCCCCCAAACTGGAATTGGGCCCTCGAAAAGGGTGGGGGTGATGCCGACAGAAAACTGAGAAGCCACCCCACCCCCTTGCCGGGAAGCAGCATGGCTTTGTCAAAATTTCAAAGAGGCCGTTATTCTCTTCCTTCGGCTTGTTGGCGTCATCTTCGAGTTCGGAGTCGCGCTCTCCAAAAACTCCAAAGAGAAGGGCTGTCCAAAGGCTCGAAACGGATAACCCATGTTGGACCCTGTGACCTTTCTTAGACGTCGAAGCCACGGGGTATCTACAAGGGCAACGAGTCGCCCGGATTCGCTTTGAGAAAATATTTGGATACCCTGTCAAAACCATTGGGCAAAGCATCCCGATCAGGGCAGCTCAAACCAAGCAGGCATGTGAGACTATGTTCATCTGGGATCCGTTTGCTTCCGGCGGCGGGAGGGGGGGAGGTCATTTTGAGCTCATTTGTTCACATTGACATGTGCACCTAGGACACATACTAGTTGGGATTGTAATATTGCCCCTGTTGCCCCTGTAAATATATATATATAGATGTCCAAGATAAAATCACATATGACAAGTTGCCCGCCCTAACCCCGGTTTCACTCATATTTCGATGTGCGAGCCGCTTCCTTCAGATTGCAAGCATGATCATAGGTCAACCAATCCTTGTTGTGCCATATAGATTTATCGCATGAATCTACCAAGAGGTCCACTCAACATCCAAGAAGTGGGTGTATTAGAATGGGGACCCCCCTCCCCGAAAACCACCCCAAGATGGCAACCCTCAGCACCCAAGCGTTATGTGTAGCTTTGCCGGGCCGTGCCGTAAAAAGGGCACCCTTTTTGGCTGGTCATCTTTTTGGGATGGTGTTTTTGGGCAAACTGCTTGCAATGAAGACTTAAGGCCATTCTCATGGGGTGCATATCTGATTTTAAGAACACAAGTAAGAGGCTTGGGTAAATCTCCAGTGCCCTTCACTCCCGGAAGTGGGGTCGCAAAAGGGTCGCATTGGCTTTTTGGACCCCTTTCGTGTAGTTTTGCCATGCCTCTGCCTTGCCCCGCAAAGCAATCGCCTGAAGTCTATGAAACCTTGGAAAAACCCGGCCCGTTTCCCAAAAGCCGACAGGGCATCTCTGCACATGGTGGTTGCAGGTTGCATGTTACCAGACACCCAGTGGGTTGCTTGCTTTTTTCCTTTTAGGGAGTTCTTTAAGAGACCGACCAAAAAGAATCGGCCGAATTGTTTTTGCCATCCGCTGGGAATCCGGGTGGGTCCCATCCCGGGACCCTGCCAGGCTTGCGACTCCGCCCGGGAGGTTCCTCCACTGAGCTTGAGCCTGAGGTGACATTCGTTGGAACCGCTGGACGACGTTGACACCTGTGGACTTCTTTTTTTTCAGAGGCATCACCCTCTTTTTTGCAGAACAGGACACCCTGAGCGTGCGCTGTTCTATGGTTTGTATGAACAAAACACGATGCGTTTGACACTTTTCCCCAAACACAACAAAAGCTCAATTAAACAAAATGCAAAAACAAAAACAAACTATGTTACATGTCCTGGCTCGGGGGAGGGAGTCATCTTGTTGTTTTTTCACAATTTCCCAAAAACACAAAACACCTCGAGAAAACCAAGAAACCGAACAAAAAACAAAGACTCTGTCACATCTCCTGGCTTTGGGGGGGGGGGGGGGAGTAGTCTTGTGATTTGTTTTGTGGTTTTCGAGCTTTTGCACATTTTTCCCAAAAACACAGAAACACTCGAGAAAACCAACAAGACAAGACTCTGTCAGCTGTCCTGACTTGAGGGGACAGAATATGTGTTTGCTTGGTTGTCTCGGGTTGTTTTTTGGTACTTTACCGTTTCCAGCCTGTTTGCAAGAGCTTCTGTGTTCAAGTGCGCTGGTGTAGTTAATTAGAATTATACAAGTACAACTTGATACATATATTAAGTAGAGTTCATAGGAAGGAAGTTAGAGGTCCCACAATTGTTAAGCTGTTCAAATGCCTACTGATCTGCAAAGACAATTCTATTGCACTGGACAACCAGTGTAGCATCCATTTTGAAATAGAAAACACATCATTCAAGTTCAACGTTAAACCAAAACTGATGTTTGGATTATTTCCTTGTTAAATTCTATTTAATGTGAGATAGAAATTAAGTAGAGCTTGATAAATATATTGAGTAGAATTCGTAAGGAAAGAACTTAAAGGTTTAATACATGTTGTTTAGATGCGTTCTGATTTTGTAAGGACAATTCTATTGGAAAAGGAATTCCCGTGTAACATGTATATTGAAATAGATTAATCATAATTGAAGATCTAATTTGAATTGTACAATTTTATTGGAGTCTTTCCTTAATGATTTCTAGTTAATTTCAGTTAGACATTGGGTGGAATTGGAAGATAGTAAGTACAAAAGGAGAGAATTCAGAGGTTCTAAAATTGTTTTTTTGTGTTTACTAACTCCAGAACTACCATGGTCAGAAAACAGCGTAAAACAGTGTTTGGCAGAGTTTTTCGTACTCAATTCACATCCAACGGCCGCTCTGTAAAATTGAGTTTGAATTTGAATAGGATTTCAATAGGACACAATAAGGAAATACTTGATCAGAAATCCTCCTGGAAGTTACATCTTAAATTTAGAATCTAGATGTAAATCCTTTCCGAATAGACACTGCAATTAAATTAGAGTTTAAACATAGTTTGATAAGGAATGAATCCAATCACAACTTCTGTTTTATATTTTAGAATTTGAATTAGAAAAAGTATATTTTAATTGATAGTCTATACTGTATGTTCTTTCCAACCGATTTTCTTTACAATTCAGCTGACGTTCAACGACACATTATGCAAACATAGTTCAACTCGAGCCTCCACTCAAACAGTCAAAACAGCGCACGCTCACAGCGTCCCGCTCTTCTTTTTTGAGGGTAGACTTGTTTAAGTTGTTTTCAGTCAGTATCAGTTCTTCTTTGCGATCATCTAATACGTCTGTAACCCAGCTGCGTGGTAGAGGAAGCGTTGTTCAAAGTGTTATTCAAACAACACACTCAGCAACCCCACGCTGATGCCAGTCCAGGGCTGCTGCATACATATATATATATATATATGTATATATATATACATATTTCATGTTCCCCAAGCCTTCTTAGTTGCCGTTTGACTGGCGGGAGACGTTGCAGATCCAAAGCGACGTGGCACGACTTCTCACCCGTGGCTTTAACGGGAACCCCGTATAACCCCAGTTTAGGGAGGTGTTTGCGGGTTTTCTGGAAAACTGCACTGCAGAGTACGGACGCCCAAAAAGAGATCGCTTCCCAAAAGGAGTTCCAGCGGATTCGGCATTGTCAGTTCCGTGTCCATCTGCACGTAGGCACCAAAAACCCTGCCAGGAGGAATGCTTGCTATTGGCCCTTAAGCTTGTTCAATATTTGTACCTCTTTGCATGGTAGGGGCAAAAGAACACCACCTGCAAGCAACTGGCCTCCGAACACGGAGGGACATGGTTGCATGCGTCCTTTCTTTTAAACGACCCCTTTCATGCCTGACTTGGACGAGAAGCATTCTGGTCAGTAAAGTTGACCCCGGATAAATAACCCCATCCATTGATTGGGGCTGTGCGTTTCCCAATCAAGTGATGGTTCCACACTAAACCCAGGACACCATTCTGGAGTGGAGTTTTGTGTTTTTGAAGCATCCCTCTCTTCAAAGACCGCGATATCCCCATGGCTTGTGTCAAATGCATTTGGGCCAAGTAACGAACAACAACATAGCTCGTGTTGCTCCCCGAATCAGTGAGGCTCACAATGAGCAAATGGTTCAATGGGACTGGTAGCTGCAGCCCAAATGCATTCCAGGCATCCTGAAACTCCAGCAACCACAAGCCTGGGGCATTTACATGTCCAGGTTTCAGTGTTGGAGGTATGGATGCATATATGCCACCAATACAAGCTTGAAGGGCGTTACACACCCCTTATATAATTGATACAGAACCTCGTACCTACAAATAAGCCATGCATGATGAAGCCTCGGGGATGAAATCACATATGCAAGCAAGCAGCAGGCATACGTGCGTGCGCATGTGGTTTCCTGAGTGCATGTTGGTCCTTGACGAGATGGATGTGATGGCCCGGACTGTGCGCAGGTGGGAGGGATGCTTGTGACTGTGCAAGTTTGTGCATAATCCGTTCCCCCTATTAATAAATACGCCCCCCCCCCAATTGGGGTCATTCATTAGTAGGGGGAGCGGATTATTTTCTTACGCCTAGAAGAACCCTTCGTGAACTCTCTTTTTTTGGGGGGCGCGGGTGTCCAGAGCCACAGGTCGCTCCGCCGTGGCCCAGCAGCCGAAGAAGCACCGATGAGAGGCGCCATTCACTCGGGAGCAACGTGACCGTTGTTAGCATGTGCTTGGTGTTGTTTGTTTTTTTGTTTTCCGGTTATGTTCATGTTTCGCTCCCCGAGTTCATGGACTTGAGTAACTTTTTTGGGTTTGCTCCATTTTGGTGGTAAACAGAAAGTGTGGTTACTTGTTGTGGCCAATCCACTCAGGAAGTGAGCTTTCTGATATACAAGACGGGTTTATGGGGTACTGTATAACTATGGCTATAGGGGTAAGCTATGAGTAAAATGATTTGTTGTCCCTTATATGATTTGGCCGAGCTCACCTAGACATTAACCCATTAACCTAGAAGGTTCGGGCGTGACAAACCCAGATAGTACGTGTCCTAAGACTCTTCCTACACACGATCCACTTAAAACACGAAGCCCAACAATGGTTATGAGCCACTTCCCAACTGGCGCGGCAGTCCAAGCACGCATGCCAATTATTCCACCAAAGTCCACAACTCCCAAAGTATTGATTGAATCTCGGCCGCGAATCATGATAACTGTTCCACAGGTCAGATGTTTGTGAGCGGGCCCAAGCAACCCGCTCATATTTGACCCGCGGGAAGCGGCGTGGGGCCTCCTAGCGGAAAACTCGGAGCTTGCGGCAGGGAGCGATAATATGCCAGTTGGGAATGATGGCGTATCAATCAGACTTAACATCGGGGTTCATCCATCCTAAGTGCTTGGTGGTACGGGTTTTGTCCATTGACTGTATTTCATTCCGATTCAGCATGAAGTTGTTCAGCCCTGCATGGCCTGGCATGCAGCTGTACAGGGATTGGTGAGAGGCAGAAACGCAAACCCCCAAAAGGCGACTCGGGGGCCACTGAAAGCATCACCCCCAGCCGCTGTGGGCGGTGGCAACTCAAGGTCCAACAATGTCATGAGGTCATCTGCTTTTGTCAGGCGCGAACTTCAACACAGGCCAGTATTTACCTTTTGCCGGTTTTGAACATCACCTGCTGCGCCAGATGGGTGATGTTAGGGGAAGGATTTGGAACCCTTTTCACGCCCTGGAGGTTTGATGAACCAATACCACTTGAATAGGGGAAACCACCCCCGTTACTTTCTGGCTATTTGGTAGCGGATCTTTGGGCTTTAGCTTCTTGGCTGAAACAGTGGGACTTGTTCCATTCCATTGCACCCACAAGTTGTCCCTTTTTGCCGAGGGGTCGGTAATTACAGCAACGAACAAAGTGAATCAATGTCACCCCGGTCTTCTGGCTTTAGCTGAATCCGATGGCCTCTGACTGAGACGGATCCTTTCGCAAAGCGGATCTAGTTCATTCGGGGCCGAAAGGCCCGAATAAGTTGTACAGGCCTGGTGGTGGGTTCCCCCATTGGGCTCTTGAGAAGACAAAAAGGCTTTATTGTTTAATCATGTTACAAGGGCTTGGCCCAACCCTAGTTGGGCGGCTTATGCAGGATTGCCAAGGAGCCATAAAATTTAACAGCTTGTCTCCTCACTTCCTGAGTTCATGAACTTTAGACTTTTTGGGATGACCATTTTAGTGGCAAATACAAAGTTTGGACTTTTTTTGGGCCATCCACTCAGCCAGTGAGTCTCTTGGTGTTCTCTGAGTCCTTTGAGGCTCCACTTGCTGGAACGAACTCGCTCAAAAGCCCAGCAACACCTCACTGGCTAAGGAACACCCCAGAAACCCGAAGGGTGCAGCAACCGCAACCGCCATTGGCGAGCGGCTCGCAACGGCCAGGCCTTCGGCCGAAGTGACTCGAGCGATGGTCTCGCTCTTTGCGCCGCGGTTCTGGCAGAAATCTTGGCTTTCCTTGCCATCCCCTTAGTTGTTTTTTAGGTTTTTTGGGTTTATTGAAAAATTCCATTTAACCACTAAAAGTGAATCTTTGAGCAGGGGATCTGAGGACAGCACAGAAATGGGGGTCACCTGGTTGATCAAGAGAGAGGGTGGTCCCTTTTAGTTTGCGATCCCTTCGGTTCAGGGGAAAAACACATGACACAAATGGTGCCCCTAATAGCTGACGTATCGAAATTTGGCCGACTGGTTCAGAAGACATCCAGAATCTCATTTCGCCGTAGGTTCCTTATGTCCGACGTGTGAATCCGAGTAATGCTCCCAGATCTGCCTTGGAACCTAAACGCAGAGAGCAGTTGGCGGTCTTTCCCTTTTCTCTGAAGGAGCAAAGGGCTGGCCCGACAGCGTGTGAAAATGAACGCCGGCTTAGATTTCTCCGGGCCCTGCAGGTGCGACGTTTTTTGTTTGGAGGGGTGTGCTTTGACTACCAACGGGTGCCGGATCTTTTTTCCATGGCCACTGGGTGTCTGGAAACAGCTGCAATGATGTCTATCAGCAGCATTTCTGTGTCAGTGCTTTTCCAGGGTGGTAGCACCAGACTTATTGATTGAGTCGGCAAACTCAAATAACTGTTTGACTGGTGGCTTCATTTCTGCAAAGCCTGCCAAAGGCCCCTTGAAGGGTTTGGCAATTGTTTTCTAGCCATTCAGGTCAGCAAGTCACCGGAAACACGAGCACAGTTGGGTTAGCCAGATTGTTCCGGAAGCGGAGCTCAGGGTGGTTCAAGGTGGACGACTTGTGCAATCAAGACGAGGCTAGATGAAGATTAGAGGCAAGCCCAACTGAACGGTTTTGACGCTCTGTTCGTTCTCATCGTGGTGCGGGGCGTTGAATACTTGTACAGCCTACCTGACATGCCCCAAAGAGCAGATGGTAGTTCGGATCAGCTACTGCTTTGTTTGTCCAAAAGGGGCGAAAAGGATCTGGTGAACGTGGAGCACGGGTTCCAACAGGTGATGACCTTTGATTCGCAGGTCCTTCTTGGACCCCGGACTTATCTGCGTGAAAAATCCGTCAACGGTTTCTTGTCGCCCGCAGGGAACGCCCTCCAACAAGATGGCGCATTGGGATGCCTGCAGCGCGGGGCCCAAGGTTTCGGACCTCGAAATCCAAGTGGTTTTGTTTTCCAGTTGCTCATGTTGTTGATCCGTTAAGGATGCCAACCGATGAAGCCGAACCCCCCCTTCAAGCGGTGCAAGCAGCCGTTTGCCGGTTGGAGGACGAGCCACGGGGATGCAGTGCTTCGTTCTTTCCCATGGAACCCGCGAACTAATGTCGATCCACCAGTAGCTGAGGTCGCTGGGAATCCGATGAACCGGTGGGGTTTGCTAGAGACCTTCCCGTGGTGTCACTTGGTGGCTTCCCCAGTAGGGAAATTCCCTAACAAGACGCTGGGTCGGGAACCCTAAGGAAGCCTCGGAGCACATTTGTTTTTGTCCTCACCCAACGGATCACCCAACAAGTGGGCTTGTCTAAAGACAGGAATCTGCGTTTTTAAGTTGGTTTCCCTCTAAGCCCAAACAGGGTACAGTACAAGGGTAAGACGAGCCGCCCGTGTGTGTGTGTGTGTAGTGAGGTTCCCACGGCAGGCAACTCGATCCATTTTTCTGTTGGTTTAAAAATGTCGGGTCGCAAGCCCCTGGTAAATGCCGACCCCATATTATTCAACCCCAGTTTAGTAATAGCGGGGTGTCCCTGGGTTTAGTGGGAAATCATCACTATTGGAGGGGCCCCCACCCCCCCTTATTAAACAGGTTGGTTGATGAAATTGGGGTCAACATTACCTACCATAGTGGCTGTCCTCGAACGTTGACGCGCGAATGAGGCGTGGCCTCAGAGCAGAGGGCCCGCCATGCCGTGGCGGCGGCACAGGCGGCTGCGCAGGCGAGGGAACTGCGTTTTTTCCTGGGCGGTTTCACCTGAGGCTTTTAGGCGTTTGGTTTGGTGAAAAGCGAGGGTCTCCATTTAATCCAGAAGTGAAGCTTTTAGCAGGGGAGAGGACAACCCAGATCTTTTGCTTTTTGCTTTTCATTTTGGATTCTGTCTTGGGTTCTCAAATAGGGAATAGCTAAAGATGGGTGGTTTCCTTTCGGTTTCCCTTTGAATTGGGTGGGTCTTTTTGAGGGCGCCCCCCTTTGCGCTTCAGGGAGACCAACAAAGAAGCCACCAAGTCGGGGGTCCAACTTGAAAATAAGCTCGGGCGATATCCCCAACAGCACCACACCCTCCCAGAATCCTCGCGGAACGCCCCGGGACCATCCTCCCTGATCGGGGCCCGACAGCGCAATCGGGGCCCGATCGGGGCCCGACGGCGCAATCGGGGCCCGATCGGGGCCCGATCGGGGCCCGGGCCCCGATCAGCCACCCATATTATAGCTCAACGCCGGTTTTTCTTAGCATGCGGATTGCAACTGTATCTATAGCAAAGATAGGCCATGCCAGCTTGGTACAATTGACAGGGCCCGACTGAGTCGGGGCCCGACGGCGCGATCGGGGCCCGATCGGGCCCCGACGGTGCAACCGGGGCCCGATCGGGGCCCGGGCCCCGATCGTCCCGTGGTGTAATCCCACCCACCCATCTTATAGCTCAACGCCGGTTTTCCTTAGTATGCGGATTGCAACTGTATCTATAGCAAAACTAGGCGATGCCAGCGATCGGGGCGCGATGGCGCAATCGGGGCCGATCGGGCCCAAACGGTGCAAAGTGTTGCTGGAACCTTTCCTCAGGGCTGCCCCATAGCTTTTGCACAATTTGGTGGAAACCTTCTGACCTCATAGCCCTCGCAGCCTCGTGGAATTCTTGGAACCAAGCAGCACCAAGCATTTACTCTGCTGCACCGTGAGTTCCGCAGCGACGTGATCTGATTTGCCACAAAGCCAGCATTTGCCTGAGCAAGTGAGCAAGTCACAAAACAGTGAAAGTGTGCTAAAAAACATTGATTTCGGTTTTGCTTAGTGTTCCGCCCATGAGCAAAGCGATCTTGATCCGATGGCTTTTCAGACGACGGGCGCACGACACACCCTTGGTGGAGCATTGTGGAGCCTTGTGGAACCCGTGTGGAATCCTTGCAGAGCTTTGTGTGAAACCTCAGGGCCCACAGCCCTCGCAGAATCTTGTGGAACCCTGAAACCCTCATACAACCTTACCTCAAACCACCCCGGACCACCCCGCAGCCCTTGCAGAACCTCGTGGGACCCTGCTAGAACCGTGCTGGAATGGAACCTTACCTTGCAAAACCTGGTGGAATTCTGGTGGAATTCTCATGGAACATTACCTCAAACCAGCCCGGACCGCTGGTGGAACCCTGGTGAAACCCTGGTGGAACCCTCGTGGAACCTTCCCCGGACCACGCCGCACCCTCGAAGAAATTGGTGGAACCCTGGTGGAACCACCGTCCGGAGCACGACGGGCTGGTGGAACCCTGGTGGAAACCTGGTGGAACCCTCGCGGAACCTTACCTCAAACCACCTCGGACCACCCTGCAGCCCTCGCAGAACCTGGTGAAACCCTGGCAGAATTTTGATGGAACCCTTCCTCAAACCAACCAGACCACCCCAGCACTCGAAGAAATTGCTGGAACCCTGGTGGAACCCTCGTGGAACCTTACCTCAAACCACCCAGACCACCCCGCAGCCTGGTGGAACCCTGGCGGAACCCTCGTGAACCTTCCTCAAACCCGCAGCCCTCAAAGAAATTGGTGGAACCCTGGTGGAACCCTCGTGGAACCTTACCTCAAACCACCCAGACCACCCCCCGCCCTTGCAGAAACGTGGTGGAACCCTGGTGGAACCCTGGTGAAACCCTGGTAAAACCCTGGTGGAACCCTGGTGGAACCCTGGTGGAACCCTGGTGGAACCCTGGTGGAACCCTGGTGGAACCCTGGTGGAACCTTAGCTCAGGGTCGCCCCGAACCCGGAGCCTATCTGGGCTGAGACCCCAAAGCTTTCAGCTGTTGGGGAAAAAATGGACGAGCCATTGAACAAACATGTTTTTTTTTCTGTTTTTGGGGGGTTGGCCGCGTTGCCCAGCCTACTTCCCCAATCCCCTTGTAACCTTTGTGGGCGTTTATTGCGCCTACCTAATGCTTCCAGTTCGCGTCGCCGGAATCAATTTGCTTCAGCAAGTGGAAGCCTGGCAGCGAGAGTATCTCAAACCATCCATGTGCTCAAGATATGTCGTTTCAAATGGGATTCAATCTATCGCTGATGGACATAGTGTTCCTCATTTTTTTGGCCAGAAGAGTTGCAGCAAGCAGAAGAAAGTGTTTGAGCCCCGGATCACTTTGCACGTGCGAGGGCTCGCCCTTGAGCACGCGCTACAGCGTGCCGCCGCTGGAGCCGCTGCCGGGCGGCCTGCACCCGGGGGTCAAAGGAAGGGCCAACCCAACGAGGCTTACGTGGGTGTGCAATCGGCGAAGTCTGGTGGGCATCATCTTGGCGGGGTTCACTCAAATTCCTGTCCGCCAACCACTTGAGGTGGTTCCCAGAAATTGATTCATTGTCACCTGGAACCCCTCAAAGAATTGGCAGTGTACACAGGACCGGTCAAGAAGCCGGTAGCGTTCGCAGGCAGGCACCGTGTGGTCACATTCGGAGGTGGTCACCGTGCGGCTTGGCCAACGGAGCTGAAGTCTGGCGAACTGCGGACCTGGCCGCTCGGAACTGCACGTGGCATGCCTTGGCGCGATTGCTGGTACAAGGCCCGTTTTGAAAGAGCAACGGCGCGGCCCAGCGCCGTTGAGAAGCTCGGAGTCGGAGAAATTTTCGGCAAAGCCGCATCAGTGTTGCGAGAACAAGTGAAAACTAAGTGTCACCATGATTAGATTAGATCTTAAGATGCCTATTGCCTACAGAGAGATGTGTGAAGGGAGTCGCAAAGGCAAAACCTGGCGACAGGTGGAGAAAGCCCCGGGTGGGTCCTGATCCCCGAAAGGGCCAAGCGGTATATCCTGCCTCTTTCGGATTTAGACCTCTGGACAAGTAGCGAGCTCGTGTGCAAAGAAACGCGCCAGGGCCAAAAGGTCCAGTACACTTGGGGATTACGAGTTCACAGGTATTCACAGTTTGTGCCTGAGTCACTGAGGGTAATTCTTGCTCAGGGTCAACCTCCTTGATCTGAGTCTGCCAACTTTATGGCAAACGATTTGGACACCATGTACGTACACGCATGTGACACACCCTAGGATGGTGTGCAAGCTGCATGACTTGCTGGGTTTGATGCGATCAGGGTTTCCCGAAATTCTCCCGATGGTGGCTTTAAACGGCACGTGCTTTTGGGGCCAATTCCCACTGAGTTTTCCTGGTGATGTTTGCAGGGGAAATATGGGAAGCTTTGCCAACCTCAGGTTTTGGGCTGCTTGTACCATTTGCGCAGTTGTCAAAATATGGGGACCCTGTACACCGTATATTGGGTGGGTCCTTCGGTGTCCCATTTCAATCCACCCCAAAGAAGAAGTAAACAGTGAATACCCATTTGCAAAAAAATGTGTGCGGTAGGTTGGTGCGGGCCCTTGAAGCCAACCCGTTCTCGTTTAGGTGGGTATGATACGGAGACCCTGTAATGACCCCGGATGAGTAACCCCCAAGTAGAAGGTGGGTGTTTTTGTGAGGATTCAGCACTTCTGGAGGGCAGTACCCTGCTAATAGAACATAGCTTCTTTCTTTCTTTTTTTTTTGGGGGGGGGTCTGAATTTATATTCAAACCCCGTTGAACCAACCCGTTAACACGTGTTTGCAACTTGGTCAGGGGCTTTGGACGAGTCAAATCCAGGCCCTTTTGTTGCTCAGAAGGGCTAGCCAAAACACCGACAGCGCGAGGAAAGCAGATCATTTCAGCTGGAAACGTTTGGCGGCCAACTCTGAAATTGGTTGCATCCTCTTGATGTGCCAAGCTTGGATTGAATTCGGCGATAAGGACCAGCCTGGTTCTCAGAGGCACGGGGAGTGAGGTGGCCCCCTGGAATTCTGTCCTTCTCTTTTAGTGGGGAGGACTAGAACAATGGGCACGGGGGACCCTCTAAATCTCTTTTGGTTTGGGCTTCCCGCCATGGGTTCCAAACCAAAGAAACGGGCTCTATCCCTCTTGCACCTTTCGGTCACTGGTTTCAACTTGGAGGTCCTCACTCTTTCTTTTCTTACGGCGGGGGTCCGTTGTCTCCATTCCCCGTGGTTTCCTTAATGGGGACGTCCAAGTGGTGCATTTGGGAGGGACGTCGGATGTGCGGAATCCAGCCTTGACGAAGCTTCATGAGGGGGGAGTTCCAAAAACCACACGACCTACGTCCCAATGGCATCAAGCTATCGCCAAGGTCCCCTACTCGAGTGCGAGGCCGCCAGCCTGTGAGGCGGGAAGCATAGCCCAAAGGTGGATAGACAACATGTCCTCAACCAGCGCAACCCCTCACTCGCGAAATGGAGCTCCAAGGCTCTGGAAGTCTGAAGGTTGGTGTCATGTTTTGTTTCAGGGTGTCTAGATTCATGGACCTAGAGGTTAATATGGGGTGTCTTTTTTTAGGGATTTCCCAAAATGAGGTGTCCTTTTTAGCTCCCATTCAAGCCCATCAACAAGGGGCCTTCCCAACCCACATCCACTTTGCACGAGTTAGGATGAATGAAGCCCTTGAATACTGGATGACAAATTACCTGCAACATTTTGTCGCAGATCCCCCGAAGCAACTCTGATCTCTTGCGGAATGATCTTTGCAGTTTAGGGTCGCTAAATATAGACCAGAAGCAAGCACATATGTTTTTTTTGGTTGGGGGGGGGGGCAAGAACTGAGACAACGGTCTATGTGAGAGGGGTGGGGGAGAGAACAGAATCTAAGAACCCGATTGAGCATTGCCGAAAACCGATTCCTCTTGGTTTGATTGAATTTGTGATGAGGCCCCAGAAAGCATCAAAAACATGTTGATCCCTATAGGGATCTACGATATTCACTGTGGTTGAAACAATGAGCAAAGAAGGAGCACAAACATAGTACCAGAGCGACACCGTACCTACCCATTCAAAACCACAGTTTCAGGAAAGCTTACTTGCAGTCTACAGGAGCACTTAGACCACAATCCGAGCTTTGAGCAAAGTTCAATATTCACCACCATCTCATGCAATGCGAATGACATCAGGTACTTTTAGATCATAGGGCTACATACTCACTCACCAATATCCTATGTCAGGGAGGGATCGCAACAAATGCTGACAATAGGATATTCGAGTCACTCTTTTGCCTTTTTCTAGATCTTACAGCTAGGAGTTGGCCCCCCGACAACTCGCCGGGGACAACTAAAGAGATGTCAAAAAGCACATAAAGGATCACACAAGAAGTTCACTCCCAATTACTGCTTGCACTGTCTACGACTCTTCCATGTCCAAGGCGTGGTGGCTTTAAACATCACCCAAAAAAACGGTCCCAAGATTCGGGTTTCTTTTTGGCGCAATGTGGTTCTCGTGTTTTTTTTACTTGGGTCCGGGAGGTTTGCTGAACGCCCCCGATTTCTTGGTCAACCTTCCGGGTTCAGGCGCAGCTTCGCCAAGGCCCGGGGGCTGCACCGCTTTTTCGACGGGAGCCCGGGAGGTCTCCCGAAGTGGGTCCCGACTCCCGAAGCGCGGCAAATCAACGCGGCGGCCCTCCAAAAACATGGAAAGGGTCTCCCAAAAAATGTTCGATTTTAAAGATATGAAACGGGGCTCCGCGTACCACGAAATGTCCCGTCACTTTCTGAGTTCCTGGACTTGGTCACTTTTTGAGAAGACCGTTTTAGTGTTCAAAGTTTGAACTTTCTTGGCCAGGAAATACGGTCTTGGGGAAGCAAGTAGTTTTGAGCATAGCTCAAGCAGCTCAGGTGAGATTCCTCTTAAGGCAAGAGAGCCGTAGCGTTTTGCGCATGGCCTGTTTGAATACCATGCAAATCAACCACCACACACAATCACCCAGAGACACTTCTTCAGCTTCCAAGTGGGTTTGGCTACCAGTTTAAACTGTCGTCCATTCGCCGTTTCCCGGAATTCTCGCACAAGCCGCGCGCTCACCTCCGGGTAAAACGAGTTAGACGTCTAGGGCAGGGTTATAGCATTTCCAGAAGATTCTCTTATGTGGTCTGTTGGGTTTCTTCCTGTTTGGGGATGTTAAGCAAACCAAAACACAGGGAGCTCCTTGCCGTGCTTCACCAGTGTTTGATGTCCGCTGCCCGTTTGGAGAGCTGTTTGTTCCTTAGTCGGGCAGGAAAGTTGACTGAGCAGCAACAGGCTTCTCGTTGCTAGCGTGCCTCATTTTTGCTTGCACCTTCCGGCGCCTGGGATCACGCCAGAGCTCATCAGCAGACGGGCCTTGAAGATTTGGGCTGGGCCATCCATGAAGCTACTTCGCTAGTGTGTGTGGTTGCGAAATCCATTTCTCGCACGACGAAATGAAACCATGGTTGAAACCATAGCGTTTGTTGATATTCACAGGAGAATCATCCGAAACCAGGGTTTCCTATAGGTGGTGCAGGATTCCGTCTATGCGCTGTATGAAAGGATTACTTTCAGTTGATTGCGGTTGCAAGGCCCCAATGTTGCACGGAACGAAGCTGGGCTGCATTTCCGAAGTCCTCAATGCTGGGACCTTGCACAGATCACTGAGATGCACTGGATGCCCTGGACCGAAACATGTACGCAGGTAGTTGTCAAGGGATAGATGGCCGCCAAGGCCAACTAGGCGCTCTTCTTTGAACCTTCAGATGGCAGAACGGTCATGAAGGTACTCTACTTTGGGATTCCTGAATTCAGGTTGGAAGACTCACTTCCTGAGTTCATGAACTTTAAACTTTTGGGGAAGACCATTTTAGTGGTAGAGATAAAGTTTGGACTTTTTTGGGCCATCCACTCAGCCAGGGAGAAGAGACTTGTAGATGGGCATGCCTCTCAAACTCGCTGCTAGGATCTGTTGGACCGCTTCCGGCGTGCACCCGGCTGACGTTTTTCGGCGCCATGGGTGGAACTGTCAGACGCTTCGGTGTGTCGACAAGGGAGCCAGGAGGAAACAATGTCTCTGGGCTGCAGGACTTCACAACCCCGTTGTATCCTCAACCATAACCAAGACGTTCCTAGTACGCTGGGGCTCCATGTTCTTCCTAAGATTTCCACTTACCATAAGGCCCAGTCTTGCAATAGAGCATATGCCCCCCTCAACTGGCGCCCAAATACGCAGCAGTGCCCCTTTTCTCATTTTTTGGGGGTGAGTACCGATTCCCACAAGGGGTCCGGGGCTCTAGAGCCCGGCAAGCAAATGGGCGTACAAACTCGGGGTCCCCAAAATAGGGAACTTCAACCAGATCTCGGCCATACCAAAACAGCACCCTCAAGAATCAGCTTTCGACTAATTGGATCCAATTGGTGGTTTGGGGCCCTGTGGTTTAGCGGTCAGGGTTCAAATCCCCAAACCACCACAAACAAACCACCAACTAGGGTTTACCTGAAAGGCGAGCCAGCCGAATCCATTCAGAAAAACAAAGAACACGTTCGCCCGAGCAGTTCGAGCGATCTCGCCAGAAACTACCACGGAATGGCAGCTGCGAGAGCTGGGTCTTGTGGCGCCCCTTGGCCAAACGAGTCGCACACAAGTCGTTCGGCGTCGATTGGTTGGATATGCTGGAAAAGCGCGGGACCGCAAAACTGGATTTGTGTTGTCCGTTTAGTCTTACTTCTGGCCAAGGTGACCCTCAACAGCGCAAACCTGGTTGTTTGGGGTTTGACCTCTGACTTGTTGCGCAATGTGTGTCCAAGTTTCCTGCAAAACGTGCTTGTTGTTGTTTGTTTCCCGCACGGGGCAAAACGTGTTTGTTGCTTTTTCCCGCACGGGGCAATACCCGGCGAGTTTGGCTCTTCGAACAAGTAACTGAGTTCGGTTCTCCAACAACCCATTTTCTTCGAAGTACTTCCCACGCTTGCAATCCGACACACACCCACACAAGATGTGTGTTCGTCCGGAAACAAAAAGGACAAAAAGCCCGTTTGGCAAATTCTTGGACCAAAAAGGGCTGCAACCGTTTGGTTTGACTTCACTTCCCCAGTTTTTGGACTTTTTGAAGCCGCGGAAGTGAGAAGGGCAACCCAAATTGGTCGTCGGTCTGCTTTCCCGCAACCCAAGAGGTACCAACTCCATGGAGAAGGCCCCGCGGGGCCAAATTGGCTGCACGACTTTCTTTCCGGAGGCATGTGTCTGTGTGTGTATGTGCGCAGCATCCTCGAGCACGTTTGTAAGACCCAAGTTTGCGTCGCGCAAGATAAGCCAGAGAACCAGCATGAACTCACCAAAAGCTTTGGAACGGTCCATGCTACATGTGGAACCGGCACTTGCACTTGCAGCTTGCAGTTGCCCGGCCAAGGCTAGGCGTTCTGGCCTTCATTTGCCTCATTTGCTCGTTGGCGGCTGCTTGGCTGCAGTTTGGTTGGACCTTTCAGATGTATGTAAGACCCTCTAGGTAAAGATTAACCTTGGACTTCGAAGCAGGCAAAAGACAAACGAAATTTGGGCAGGCGCTGTCATCACCTTGCGGGATTGAGACAAGCGAGCTGTCCTTGTTTGCCCTTTGGCCAAGATGATGTGATGCAGAACCCTTTTGCTAAACTCACATAATACGAGCTCGCAGCGTTTTGTAAGCTGTTTCCTTCATCCATTTCTCACACCTCAGGTTCTGGAACGATTGCATAAAGTGCATACCGCTTTGGCGAATCCACCCCAAAGTCGGAAGATTGCGAAGAGAGGGCAGAGGGGCTTGGGAACAAGCGGATCTGCGCTAGTGACTTGGGTCTAGTGACATCAGCGAGTGACACAACCTGATGAGTTCATGAAATGGTCAAAGACAACCACTCCATCGGGTTCCCCCTAAAAAAGGAGAGTCAGAGGCAATGGTGCTCATTTGCCATGACCCCCCCCACACACAGAAATCCGAACCGGGGATCTCTTCTAACGTTTCTTTTGGTTTACATTGCTAAGTTCACCAAATGACCGGACTTGGACTTATCGTGTGTGGTTGGGCAACAAGCTGATAGCATTCATGCTGGACTTTAAGGTCCTATGGCTGTTCCTTAATACCCCGCGTAAAAGCTATACGTTGTGGCTAGGGTCTAGATGTCCCTGCCCCATTTAAAACCAATTTGTATTTCAACAGGGCCTTAAGCCTTGAAGTCGCTGATCCTGTTGCCCCTCGGAACGCTTTTCGCGTGATTCAAGAGCCGTTCTAGGGCTGGTTTTATTCTCAACGTTGCCCAGTTGTTTCTGTTAAAAGGGTTTTGAAAATGTGTGTAACTGTGTGTAACTGACATCTCCCCAAAAGAAACACAAATTGTGATTTGAAACATAAGCAGTAGGAGCCCATATTCATACTGCATCTCATCATCCATACTCTATGGATGTACGTGTATATATGACTCATGGTTTATGCACAATATGGCTTATTCTGGTTGTCCAGGGCCCCCGCCTCCCAATAGGGGGCTAATAGCAACTAATAAAGCTTGGGGGCTTTGTCGGGATCCTTTTGGGTGCCCTTTTTGGGAGTCCTTTCTTTAAAGAGGACAACCATGGGAATGTTTGTTGTTTGCCTTAGCATATTTTGGAATTATTCAAAAGCTCCTTTAGATGGGGTGACCATTGCGGGAAACCACTAAACAGGTATGATATTTCAACCACAGAATGGGACAAAAGTGAGCCTTGGTCGCTTGCGGGCCACGTCTCTTCAGCGCCCCAAATTCTCTGAGGGCTCAGAGGACCCGCACCCCTTGGCGGCGGTGCTGGCAGCGCTACTGGGGTGGCTGAGCCTCTATGCGTACATGCTGCAGGTCCGGCTGCAGGTTTTCAATTTGTTGTTTTTACTCCTTGGGTCTGTTCATGCTTCAGGTAACCCTTGGTGGGAGAGGAGGTTTGGGAGGTTTTGACGCCTCCATCTCCGGATTCCATCGTGATCCCCTTTTTCAAAGCCTTAGGGTTTCAGAAGGGCAAAGCAAGCCATCCATCGAAACAGACAGCTGATTTGCAGAAGATTCAGTTGAGCGCCAAGCTCAATTGAGGTATTCCCCCTTGCTATGGCTCGAAGTCAGGGTATGTTGGGTTCTTCAAAGTCATTCCGGTTTCCCTGTAGTGCTGCACTGTGGAATACAGATGAGAATCAGCATCCCCCTGCCCACCCAGAAATCACCCTCCAAAGAACCTCCCCCCCAACGCACGGTGGTTAAGAAGCCAAACACTTGCTGGTTCGATAGAGGGAATGAGTTGGAATGACCCCTATAAGCCATCCAACTGGTGGTTTCCTTGAAGAGAATCCCCTTCCGGTTCATTCCTAGAAACGGACTCGGTCATTCCCCACCTATCGCACCAGCAAGAAAAGCCTCCTTTCAGGCGGAGTGCCAGCGCCTGTCGCGGAGCCCGCGGCCAAGCTTTGGCTTCCATTTGCTGAAATGTGTTTTTTTGTTTTTTTTTCATTGTCCGTTGTTGGTGTCAAAGGAATCTGTCACTGCTGGGTTTGCTTTTATTGCTTTCCAGGCTTAAGCAAATGGAAGTTGCTGGCGAGAGGTTGCTTGGGGGTGCGGGGTCGCCGCTGAGGTGTTCTTTTCGGCTTCTTGTCAATTCCATGCCAGGGTTTCTCATCCAAGACTTGCGAAGTAGAAGAACTCTAGGGAAGATCAGCCATATCGAGCCATTCTTTAGCTAATTTAGGAAACCCTTTGCGTGAGCTTCCCTCAGGAAGTGCAGCCTTTTGAGTGCTCAAACATCACGCTTCCACTTCATGCGTGTCGTTTTGGGCGATGCGTCTAGAATCTTTCCCCGCGCGTCTGAAACGGAAATGGCTGGACTACGTTTATCGTTTTGAAGTCGCAGCGAGCATGAAAAAGAGACCAGGGAGCTTAGCGTGTATGGGATGTCCGCCAAAGGGTCGCAAATCATTCAGAGACCGTCAAAGGCGATCAAAAGCTCGGCGGTCTTCGCTTGCCAGGCAAGCCCCGCCATGCCGTAGGGATTTATACATCGCACGAACAGTTGCGTTTTGCAAGGGGATCAATGAGCCGCAAGCGTATGACCATCTCCTTTTGCTCTCCCTTTTCAGGGTGCCAGGGCTCTATATTGGACCCAAATTCTACAAGGCATGCTCAGACGAAATGTAGGTTCCAAGTTGAAAGGCCAGTTCTACATTCGGGGTATATTCCTTCGATCCCTATGGATCTCACCTGGGGTAAACCGAGCTCGCCCAGAGGGAGATTTACAGATTCCAGAAGTCTAGGAGTGAAAAAGATCTTAGACCCTAAACCCACTAGGGGCAGATCTTTTCTGGACCCTACCCCTTGAGGCACCTGCCTTGAATCGCATGACCATTGCGAGTGCGTCGCAGTGGCCCACACATATGCCTTGGTGGGGCCCCTTTTTGGGGTTGGTTTCAAGGCGAAAAGAAGACGACCCTAGGTACGGCTCCCGGTTTGACTAAATCCCGGAAACCGAGAGCTTGAGTAAAGCCCAAAGAGCCCAGAGAAAACCAGGCCACAGTAGAGCTTTGGATTCCAGAGTGCTTCATCCATCCCAACGCAGGATGTTCCTCCAAGGAAAAAACCGCGACAGCAACGACTTGGATTCATCTCAGAGTGAGCAATGAATACGGAGACGGGACAAGAGTTCACCCAGAAATCCGCGGGCTCCGCCAGGAAAGTAAAAACCGTTAAACCACCCCCCCCCCGCGGGCCCTCTCAAACCCCCTGCCTGCCGCTTGTGTAAGGAAAGTCAGGTCATTTTAGCACGGGTGTGAAACCAGAAGTGGGCTCGCTTCACAATGTTGGCCGGTGCAGATGATTCATCAATGACCCTGCCACAGATAAGTGTTGCGTCCTTGTACTTTTTTGCAGCAATTGTGTGTCATTCCTCCTCTTGATTATTGATCCTAGTTCAATCATTTATTTCACATGCTGGTCATAAACTAGACTGATTTCAGCACAAGCTAGTGGCAATTTGAACATAGTATCAGAAGCAACTTTAGGTAAAGAGCACGCATATGTAGGCGTGTTACATGTGTGGTGTTACATGTTTTAGTTATCATAACTACTGTTACCTCGCTCGGTCGACTGCAAACCATCTCTGTAAGGGTACCGGTGCAAAGGTATCAAACATACAGCTGGCAGTATCTCTTCTGTGTTGCCCGATGTCTCATCTCAACTCATGAGCGTACCCTGTACGTCCGTCAACTTGCAAACCTCTGCTCGGATCATCTGGCATCTTATGTGCCTTGACCAATGCCAAGCTGTTTGGTATAACAACTAATTTCCCTGAACGAAATCTGGTGTGCACAGAACCTGCTAGAAGTCATGCAAGCTGGTTATTGCAGCGTTTGTTTCGATATCCAGGGGTAGATGTGGATTTCTTTACGTCATGCTTGAAAGAACTAATTATCCAATGTCCACATGCTGAACTATCAGCTGTATTTGCCCCGCACAAGTCCAAAAGGAAAATAAGGTGCACACCCGAACAGGACTGACTGAAAGCAGACACTTTAAAGCGCGTTAAGACACGTTTGGATCTAAGAGTCGAGATTCCCAGGACTCTAGATCTTGAATCTTGAATCCAGTATGGAGCTCCCCAAAACACTTTAAAGCGCTTTGAGAAGCGCTTTAATTTAAAGTGCTCAAATGGCGGGGTACCTGAAATGGAGGCGGAAATCATCCAAATTTTCAGGTTGCTAAACAAAAAGACATAGCTTTTCATGATTGGCCCTGCGAATGTCCGGGGAGAATCATGGTCTTCAGTATGCCCACATCAGCTGATATTCCAAGGTAGTGTTTTCCCAACAATAAGAAGCACACACGCATGTAATATATATCTATATATGTATGGTACAGCGTTGCCAGCCCCCCCCCCCCCCCCCCCCAATGGTCATGGGTCAGGCAAGTACCCCCCCCCCCTGTGGTTGTGGTCCTGTGGTTGGGTTGTGGTGGTTTAGGGTTGGTTTAGAATTGGTTTAGGGTATATTTAGGGTGTATTTAGGGTTAGTTTAGGGTTGGTTCAGGGTTGATTTAGGTTGATTTAGGGTTGGTTTAGGGTTGGTTTAGGTTCAGAGGTGTACGGTCGGTTTAGGGTTTGGTTTAGGGTGTATTTAGGGTTGGTTTAGGGTTAGTTTAGGGTTGGTTTAGGTTCAGGGTTTATTGTTTAGGGATTGGTTTAGGGTGTATTTGGGGTTAGTTTAGGGTTGGTTTAGGGTTAGTTTAGGGTTGGTTTATGTTGATTTAGGGTTGGTTTAGGTTTAGAGGTCTACGGTTTAGGGTTTGGTTTAGGGTGTATTTAGGGTTGGTTTAGGGTTAGTTTAGGGTTGGTTTATGGTTGGTTGCGGGTTGGCTTGTCCTGGGGGTGGGGGTGCCGGGGTGTCGGGGTGCGAGTTCAGGGGGTCGGGGTGGGGGTGGGACCGTAGGTGCCAGGATCCGGGGGCTCGGGGTCTCGGGCCGGGGGGGGGTCCTGGGGGACCATACCATATTGGGGGGGGGGGGGGGGGGGGGGGGGGGGGGAAAAAATGGAGAAAAGGGGGGGCCCGGGGGGTGGCCTGTTGAGGGTTGCCTGTTCTGGTTTTTATGTTCATCTCAAATCTGTGTTCCCCCTTGTTTGTTTTTTAAAAGGGGTGTTTTGGGGAGCTTATTTATCGTTTTCGTTAAGGTAATCATTTGGGTAATTGCCCCCCTTGTTCATTGTTGGGCTGGGGGCCGACATTTTTTTCATTTGAAAGAGTTGGCCCTTTTAGTAGTTATCAAGTTCTGGGGTGTTGGTGGTGTATTTGTTTTGTTAGTGTTTTTCTCACTAATTTTCATTTATAGGTTAAAAGTTCAGTATAATTATAACATATAAGATTTTACATGTTATTATTATATTATGATTATAATTTCAGTTCAGGATAATAATCTAATTGGTTTGTCTTACTTCTTTCATACATCATTTTAAAAATAATATTAACATCTCTCACTGTATTCTGAACATTAAACTTTTTACTTTCAATAAATAATTTGATATTTTCTTTAACATCTTCTCCTTTCTCTTGACTATAACCCAACATCCATAATATATCATCAATCATTTCATATTTTTTCTTACTGATTTTAAGAAATTGTTTAACACAATCGTAAGGTGGTATTTTATTTATAGTTAGAAACATTAAAATATCATCTTCTACATTTCTATTATGTATTCTTTTTATTCCCAACAGACATTTGATTAAAAATTGATTATCTCTCCATGTTTTACAATTTTTACATATGTCTTCTTCACCATCCATTGAATAATTAATAATATTATTCACTATTTCATTAGGTAAACTCAATTTATACAATTCCATATTTTCTTTTTTGAAGTGACAACAATCATAGCATTTTTTATCGATATAATTATTGATTCCATCACCGTTCATTTTTCTCTTAATATATAAGGTAATATTTCTTTAAGTAGTTTTGGCTAGGGGGTTGCTGGTCGGCTGGTCTGGGTTTCAGGTTTAATTTAAATGTCTTAACCTTGTTGTTAGATTATAAAAACTAGGTTTAATCATATTAGAATTGAATAATATCATTAAGCTAAATCACTCACGCTTTCCATCCACCTATTCCATCCCACCAGAATTCAATAATTCGCATCTGTCCATCTACTAGACTGTCTTCTTTGTTTAGTTTCCGTATCGCTCCTGATAAGATATAGTGGTTAATAATCATTGCATTAAACTTTCCATCTCGGTTTAACTTTTTACCACAGTCTTTTATGATGTCTTCATCTGTTAGGTTTTCATACATTTCTTTCATGATGTCAAACCTAACAAATGAGTATATCGCCATCAAGTTTAATCCGCTATTATCCCTAAACCTGCTAATGACATCTTTCCAGAATTCTTCGTTTTCATCAACTGGTGGCAAAGGGTGTCTTTTGATGAAATCCTTTATTTTGTTTAACTCTTCATCTAATTCCTTTTTATAACTGTCATTATCATCATCTTCTTCGTCTGATAGCACCAAGTTTGATAAGTCAGCAATCACTCCGACATTTTCTAAATTCAAGTCATCTAATCTTATTTCAGCCATAATTTTCACTTAATATAATAAGTTAATATTTCTTTTTTTTTAATTTTATGTTAAGGGGTGGGGCTTTATATTGAAAAAATATTTTCTAACAATTTAATATAATGGCGAGATTAACAAAAGACCAAATAATCAGCAACATCTATTGCGACTTAGACGAGGGTTTCGGAAGCACACAAGCGACACACAAGAAGGCAAAGGAAGAAGACCCAACAATAACAATAGACGATGTAAAGTCTTTCTTAAAGAAACAACCAAATAAACAAATCAAAAATTATAGAGGTACTAATTCCTATACCGCTCCATTCGCGCGATATGAATATCAAATAGACATAATGCA